AATACCAATCAAGTCTCTTGACGGAGAAGAGAGCTGTGTGGTTACAGCAATGTGGGCTGCACTTGCCAATTACCCCTGCCCCAAATGTTTGGTTCATCACAACGAGCTACATAACATCAATGGAACATTTGAGCCCCGCATTACCAAGACTATGCAGAAGGCTTATCTTGATTCTACTCGAGCGCCAAACAAAAGCGAAGCTGAACGAATCTTACAGAGCCGGGGGCTTCATGCTACGCAGGTAAGTGCATACCCTGTATTCATTGCTGATAATCCTATAAATAATGTATTTTCTATATTTACAGAATTTCTTCTGGTCTTTACACTACTTGGACCCGTATCTATTAGTTTCCTACGACAAACTTCACTCGGACGACTTAGGAAAGTGGGGGAAACACTTGTGGCCCCTGTTGCTTAGTGTTCTAGCCGAAGATGGAGTCAAAGGGCAGCTAGCAAGGAAGTGAGTCTTCATGATTATCATTGAATCATAGCTAAAAACTCGACACCAGCATGCGAAACGTTTCTCGCTGGCGCAACCTTAAACACTTTGGTAATGTCACAACAGTTGATTACGCAGATGGTCAAGTATTTTTTGATATTCTAAAGGTAGACATTTCTCAACGCAGTATTTTCAAAGTACTTACTTTGCTATTTTAGTGTATACTACCTTGTGTTGTTCAGCTTCTGCCCGAAGACTGTTCACTTGTCCACTGCATTCGGGCCTATGCTCAATATCGGACAATGATTGGATTGTCCTGTTTGACTGACGAGCGGCTGCAACAGATAAATAGCATAATATTATCCTATAAGAACACTTGTGAGGTAACTATTCTACATTTGTAGAATCAATGAATTGCTGGCACTAACAATTTACTAGGACGTCTCAAGAGACTACGGAAAATCATTCGATTTCTTCAAACAACATTTCGTCAATCATGTTATTGAGGATATCCAACAAAAGGGTGCTACTGACAACTATGAAACAAGAGTCGGTGAAGGAATTCACCAGGAGGTTCGTCAAGCTTACAAACAGACTAATTGCAAGAACACGGATCCACAGGTATGCTCCTGTCTTTCTATCAAAATCTGAAAATCACACAACTATTCTACAGATGGCCCGAATAGACGAGAATCAAGAATCCATTGCGTATCTACGTATGGTCGTTGACGAGTATGACAAAGCACAACAAGAACAAGAGCAGGTAGGGAACGCACGAGAAGCTGAGACAGAGGATACAACAGAGCAGGCCGAGACGGAGGACACAAGAGAGCACATAATAGAGAGTACAGACGACCACTGGACACTTGGATCGCCAACAAGCCTGAGTGACTCTATTGCAATGGAGACCATGCATTCAGCATTTGATAAGTCTCTGCGACGGTTTTTTTCGATTGATGTTCCGGATGCTAGCCTCGGTGTTGAACCCATTAAGGTATATATATTTATGTTGTTTTTTGGTCTCATTGACCTTAGTACGCCATACAATAGATCCGACAATATCATTGCGTCTATCTTCGGTACCAGTTGCAAGAAGACTGGACCGAAGGGCGAGATATCCTCAGGTGTAACCCTCGATTCAATGGAGTGCCCCGCCACGATTGCATACTCATCAACACGGACACTGTTAAACCTACACCGGCTCGACTTATAGGGATTTACAGGTGTTATATCAAGTCCAAAACATATGATGTCGTCCTCGTCAATTACTTCAAGCCCTCCACTACAAAACCAAGGACAAAATGGGCTGGTGCTCGTCTTTATGAGGAGGCAAGGGAAAGCAGGTTCGCACTGGTGAAATATTTTATTCGTGGGGCACATATGATTACAGCGTTTGGAATGAGGGAGGGTCGCTTTTATCTCAACGATACCGTAGACGGCGACATGTTTCTACACTTTTCAAATGATTCCTACTGTATTATCTAACTGTACTAATGAATCTTGTATCTCTGGCACTAAAATTGATCCAACCTAACGTCGTTCGAATTATGGACCATTGATTTGGCCTCACAGAGCCCTGAATAGCCTTCGAGGACTTCTTAGTTCTTAAACAAGGTGTGATGACGCCTTTTCATTTTTCGCTGCGATTTTATAGAGCTTGATCACATCTTATCACGTCCTCTATTCCCCTTGTAAGGTCTCATAAGACATGATGATAGGCTTTTCATTTGCACTATGATTTTATAGGGCCCGCTCATACCTTACCTGATACTCCAGCTCCCTCATAAGGTCGTCAGGCGACACCGTACTCGCAGCATGCTCCAGCAGTCCTGATCAGGTGAATTGGATTTTTCCGACATAGACATCATTACAACCTATCTCTCTCCGAAAGGCCTCACAATGTCTATCTGATGACAAAGTCCAAACCATCCAAGATTGGCCTGCATCAGGAAATCGGGAGGAGTGGAGACAAGCTTTATAAGACCTTGTAATACATACAAGGACTATCATAAATATCAGTGTGATGGACACAATTTTAGGCTCTTATATAGCTAGATAGAGTTTTATGTGTCTGTCAACAAAATCAGACCGATAGTCCTTTGTAAGATTTATAATTCTGATTGTTGGTTATAAGGTCTATCTGTAGGTATATTGCTAGCTATAGTTTATGTCGGCCCATGTATGTCAGACTGGCATTAAATTATCAAATATATAAACACTCATATAATACTATCAGTAGTATTTTGACGACACTTAGTTACAACACCTTAATAACCACATCTGTACTCTACTGAAGGGCGAGACATTTCAGCCATATCTCAATGACATGGGTTTATAATGCCTGATAAAATATATCAAATTTTCAGCAAAAGCAAGATGTGTTGCACTGTTGTTAATTAGAATCCATTACAAGGAACAGTATCACTTCTGGGACAGGACCATGCAAGAAAATGACAAAACCGGATAAACCCGGTCTCTGCCGAAGCAGCCATTGTTCTCTATGGAGCATAGCCACCACTCCATGGAGTAACCATTGTTCTCCTAGGAGTCATTATACTGTAGCGAGTAGCACCTCCGACTATAAGTAGTAGGGGGTTTAGTATAGGAATACCTCAGTCGTTTCTATAGCCTCTCGGGTAGCGGCTGAGGTATGTTACATTACATTTATTAGAGATCACCTTAAACTAACATCTATTGTAGTTTCACTTAGGTAAATAATAAAGTCGTTTCTATAGCCTCTCGGGCAGCGGCTGAGTTTCACTTAGTTTTATTACCTCCAACTATAAGTAGTAGGGGGTTTAGTATAGAAATACCTCAGTCGTTTCTATAGCCTCTTGGGCAGCGGCTGAGGTATGTTACATTACATTTATTAGAGATCACCTTAAAACTAACATCCATTATAGTTTCACATAGGTTTATTAGGTTATGAGCCCTGGTGCGCAAAAGCTACGCAGGAAATAATTCTTATTTGAAACGGCAACCTCGGAACCATGACCACAGCACGCAATACATCCGCATATCCAGTTCTCACTGGACCCAACAATTTTCAGATATGGAAACTCCGGATCATCTCAAAGCTACATCGGGAAAAAGTTCTCTGGGTTGTTACTGGAGAGGAGCTTAAGCCCTCACCAGGAAAACCTACCTCCTCGGAGGATCCTGAGATCACATGGATACTTAAGGATGAGAAGGCACATGGAATCATCCAGGACCACATCTCTGATGCCCTCCTAATGAGGACTGGAGACCTCACCAGCTCCAAGGAGTTATTTGATAAACTTGTCTCACTCCATTAAATGTCCAACATTGCCTTGGCCTTCTATTCATTCCAGCAACTCACCAAATTGTCCTGGGATGGGACATCAACTATCTACGACCACATTGCAAAAATCTGGACAATTGATTCACACCTCTCCAGAATGAAACTAGGAGTTGATACCAAACTCATGGCTTTTGCTCTTCTCCAATCTCTCCCATGCACTCCTGAATGGCAAATATTTCAGTCATCAGTAATCAACACGATTGAAGAAAATAAACTTACCTTTGATGCAGTTGAGATCCGGATCACTGCAGAAGTTGCACGACAGTCAGGGAAGGCCCCTGGAGGTTCAGAATCAGCACTCAAATCCGAGGAGAAATGGTGTAACTTCCACAAAGCCAAATCACACAACACCTCGGAGTGTCGAACACTTCAGTCAGCTGAAAAAGGTCAAAGGAAGAAGGGAAAGGAAAGACACAAGGATAAAGGAAAAGAGAAGGAAAAGGCAAATACAGCGGAGCAATCATCTGGATCTGACTCCGAGGAGGAACAAAGTCATATTGCATTTGTTACGCACGAAGTGCTTAACAAAGTCTGAGGGTTCGTCAAGGTTTGTAAAGAGACTTATCCGAAGACAAGTTTGAGAACATAGTTCTGAGTGGAGGTTTTCCAACGGGAGTTGGTCTTCTTCTGAATAGAAGTCTGATCTTAGGAGTCTAGCTTTGTAAGCGTAAACTGCGTAGAATCGTATTAGAGAATACTACTGCTGTTACATGGTATTTATGATGAAAAGGAATCGGTGATAGGAGTTAGGTCCTATCTAGGGCAGGTCCGTCTGTTGAGGACTAAGTACTATAATAGGTACTGTGAATGCGAGAGGAACGGAAGTGTACGTGAAGGAAATGAGTCATCGGTCCGATGGTATAACCGATGAGTAAAAAGAAATGAGTAGTCCTTAAATGTCCAATAGAGATCGTAACATTACCCCCTTACTTGCTCCGAGTTTCACCAAAATTTGGTACCTTCGCTGTCCATATTGTAACTGTTGTCGTAGCTGACATCTCCATGTAATCCTTCCATCAGAATCCTATCCTCATCTTCCCTGCGGATGGGACACCAATTGAAACTATGTCCCGGTGCACAACAGTCACAGTCAGGGCAATAGTAGGCTTCGCAATAGTATGTGCGATGATCGCTCCAACCGCAGTTTTGGCAGTATGGAGCGTTGTTACGAACACCTTCATGGTATCTTTGTCGGGTGTTGGATGAGGTGTCGGATTGGGGAGTGGTTGGATCGTCATCTCCCAGGTCGTACGTTCCTGCGTACAACTGATTGATCATGGCTGCATTGTCATCTACATTGATTGGGTTGGAGGGAGAGCCAGTCTCAGGCCTGTGCATTGCGCCAGGCGGACTGTCTTTCTGTCCCTTCGACATACGAGACTGCCCTTTTGATGAAGTTCTGGCGGCGGGGATCTGGAGTATCACCTCTTGCCGGCCGCGTCGGGCTCCTCGTCGGTTCGTCAGACAACGGTTTTGGGTGTTTGGTACTGGTCGAGGTGGAGATGATGGGGGAGACGGTGGTTTTGGGTTCGACCCAATGGAACGGGGACTGGAGTGGCTCGACTCTTGTGAGATCGGGCTGGTTGGGACGGTGGGAATATATTTTTCCCCCGACGGGATGGGCGTAGGTCGACGGGTGATGATGTGGTAAGTGTGCTCCGGGGTAACACTGGTCTGGTCTGGGTGCGACCGGGACCGGAGGGACAAACCGGGTGGAGGAGTACTCGTACAACCGTCTCGCTCTATCCGCGTGCAAGCTTTGTTTAGCAATGTCCTCCCGCCTGATTCCAAATATTCCCTTGCTGAGTCCATCTGCCCATTCAAGGAGCTCATCCTCAAGCGTCGTTCCAAAGATTCCAAAACTAACTTTTCCATCCGGAGTGCCCGACAGATACTCAAGTCCTGACTGTTGAGCCATGAATGCTCGCTTTCCAACGAATGTATTGAGTCTATGGGTTTTAGGAGTTTGTCAGCTATGAGGACTATGGCAAGGAAGGTATGCATGGAAGAAAGAGCGTGATACGCATGGGGGCAGCGTTTTTTGGTCTCGTAAAAGAGATAGGTATAGGCGTCTTTTGCTGACATCAATTCTATGGTGTCAGTGACGTCGGCTTGGTTGTGTTGTTGCCCACGGGCGAAAGACACTCGTTCATCGGCTAGCAAGTTGGCGTCGCCGGGTATCGAGTAGGTGGTGATAGGGAAGCCGGTGGAGTTAGAAGTAGACATGTTTTGTGTTGAGAGACAGAGGATTGTTGGTAGTGGGGTGATTGTCTCTTCAACGCAGCTTGTGGTCCTTCTTATAGGCTTCCAGTATCTCCGCAACATTGGTTGAATGTTCTTCCGGTTCCCATGAGTTTTCGGAATGAGGGTAATGGTGCCATTTGATCAGGTAGCGGCGCCCTCGTTTCCAGGGTTTGTGTCTAAGAATACTTTCTACTTCGTATTCCTCTTCTTTGTTGACCAGGTCAGGTGGTGGTCGGATAAAGTTCGGGCTGTGAGTGTTGGTTTCCGTATACGGCATGAGAAGGGATGCGTGGAAAACATTGTGTATCCTCCAATGGGGAGGCAGGGATAGTCGGTAGTTCACCAGGGAAATCTTTTCTTGGATGCGAAAAGGTCCGATGTGTTTCATGTTAAACTTCTTGTATTTGGTAGCTTTTTCTCGCAGGTTGGTGTTCTCTAACCACACCTTTTGTCCTTCGGAGAATCGCGTGAACTTTCCGTTGTTTCGTTTTATCATCTTGCTTCTCGCGAGTTTGTGTGCTTTTAGGGCATTTTCCCTTGCCCTAAGCAGTTCGGATAATCGTTTTTCCACTGATGGGATATTTGTGGATCTGTGTTTAGTCGGGATTCCTCGGGGTTCATATCCCATGAGGAGGTAGAATGGTGATTGGTTGTTTGTGGAGTGTGGTCTTTGATTGTGACAGAATTCGGCAGTTGTAAGGTATTTTTCCCAGCTGTGTGGTTGGTTCTGGCAAAATATGCAGAGGTAGATCTCCAGTTCTTGATTGGATCGTTCTGTTTGTCCATCCGTCTGGGGATGATACACAGAGGAGAGTGCGGTTTTAATGTTCAGGATTTTGTGGAGTTCTTTGGATACTTCAGAGGCGAACTGTGGTCCCCTGTCGGATATGAGTTTATCGTGCAATCTGAATCGTTTGAAGATGGAATCGTGAAAGATTCATGCGGTTTTGAGTGCGTTGATGGTTTTATGACAAGGTGAGAGGATTACCCCCTTACTAAGTCCTTGGTCTACCACGACCATTATACTGTCGTATCCTGAAGATTCTGGTAAATCAGTTATGAAGTCTATGGATAAGTACTTCATCGGTTTGGTGGTTTTTGGGGTCTGGTTCGGGATTAATGGTACAGTGGTGGGATGCGTGTTTACTTTCGCTTGTTGACAAGTTGCACATCCTTTCACGTATTCTTCCACTTGTTTCATCATTCCTGGCCACCAATAGGTCTTTTTGATCAACTGGTAGGTTTTGAGCCTTCCTGGGTGTCCTGCGGACAGGGAATTGTGGTGATCTTTGATGATCATCTTTTGTTCTTCTACTTCATCAATCAGTAATTTATTCTGATAAAAGAACTGTCCTTCTTCTTTTCTCCAATCGTCTTTCTTCGTTCTTCCTGGATAATTATCGTTTGTGAGCATGGCTTGCTCGACCGTGTTTTTAACCGTTCGTATGTGATACAGGAACGCTGAGGCGGGTATCATTGGCGTGTTATCGTCATCTCCTTCTGTTTCGATGTATAAAGCAGGTCTTCTTGAGAGTGCGTTGGGTACCACCATGCGGGTTCCTGGTACGTGCTCCAAGGTGTAATTGTATTATGACAGTTCCAGCTGCCATCTTCTTTGTCGTGGTGTGAGTTTCCTGGCTTCTTGCCAGTATGTCAGGTTCTTATGATCTGTCAGGATTTGGATCGTGTGGGGGCTTCCTAAAAGTAAGTGTTTCCACTCTTTTAAAGCTCTCATTACCGCTAATAACTCTTTGTCATAGATCTGGTAGTTCTTTTCGGCGGGGGATAGAGTTTTGGAGAAAAATGCACATGGGTGCCATTGTCCTTGGTCATTGGTGTCGATGATGAGAACTGCAGTTAGAAAACCACACACAAAAACAAACTAACACACAATCCTCCCAGATTCCACGGAACTTGTTTATGGGCTTTGCCTCCTAGAATAGTGGGTGCTCTGGTTGTTCGTGGGGTGGTATGTATAAGGGTCCTTCAAAGTAAAACCCAGAGATGTATGGGTGTGGGTTTTGAGGAGGAGGGATAGTTGGACTATAGAAAGATAGGGGCTTTGTGGCGAGTATAGACGAGCACTACCTTGCTAATTGTAGCACAAGGTAGGTTTGAGAACAATGAGGATGACAAGGTGACAAGGTTCCCAGTGATAGCAGGCTCCTGATGCACAAACTGTAGTGCTCAGAAGGACTCTAATCGAAGGGGATGACAATCACTTTCAAAAAGTGACGAGTGACGATGACAGCAGTTAACAGTGGTAGAAGTGGGAAGTGTTGTAACCACACTGGATCACAAGTAGCAGTAAGAAGTGGACTTAAGATTAGAGAAGAAGTCTGGATTGGAGTTCTTGTTGTTTTACAAGGTAAAATACAGGGGTTTGTATAGTGAAAGAAAAGTAGGCTATGCACAGTATAGCTGTGCAAAAAGAATGAGAAAGAACATGAAGGAAGGAATGTATGCTGACGAATCCTGCGTAGGTAGTACAGGATAAGATTGTCAAAAAAGGAAAAGAAAGAGATAGAACAATGAATGCTGTGAGTAATGTCACAGGTTTGTACAGCCATAAAGTAAAGTCCAATAGCAAAAAGAGAGCAGGAAAATCATGATGTCATGGGAAGATGCAGTAAAAAAAGGGCAAGGCAAAACACTATCAGTATCAACACAGTTCCTTTATTGTCAGTCAGGCATTCTAAAAAAATATGTGTCCATAAAAATGATTCAAAAATCAAAAATAATCGCACTGTAAATGAATGTTCTGCTGAAGAAAAAGAAACTGGAGCCACCAGTCCACCACCTAGTCCAAATCCGACAGTTCCATGGCCTTACCAATGGACTGGTTGTGTTGGACCACCTGATCAAACGAGGGAGGGAGAGGAGTAGTTCCAATTTGGAACAAGTGAGTCCCAGGCAGCGTGTGGTAGGTGTAGCTGTAGCGAAGACGATGGACAAAAGATAAGTGTACCCAAGTGAATGGGACAGCGATGAACATGGGCGACGCAAGGGGATGAACCTTCTCCAGCTCAAAAACTACCCACCCACGCTCCAACCAGGCAAGACGAGCGACTGATGTTTTGATAGTATATGATGGCAGATCGACGTCATGAAGATGGACCTGTTGCCCTATCTGGACCGGCCGCCAGGGCTTTGCTGATATCAGCAGTGGCACGTGGTAGTCAATGGATTGGCGACGGAAGCGGATAGGAAGTGGTGACATCAGAAATGGTGGGGGTGCAAATAAGATGAGGAGGAGGAGGGTGGAGGTGACGAAAAAGTGGATTAGAATGGGGATCCAGAAACGACCGTCAGGTGAGAATAAAAAGGAGAGGAAGGGGCCCATGGTGGGGCTAGGCAAAGGAAGGGGAGTAAGGGAAACAACAAAAGCGAGGGCGCAATGCAATGTGTAGCCAGTGGCGACGCGAAAATTTGCCGAAATGCTGAAACGCGGAAAGTACCGGATGGAAAAGCAAAGGTGAGCGCGACTGGATTGCCTAATAGAGGTGGTGCTGATCACAGTACATAAGTACAAACACTCTGTATTACAGTGCGCGACACACTTTGGCCGTGCCTCTGTAGCGGGCCAAATTTTTTGCCGATTCGATTTCTGTCAACGGGGATGTAATCTATGCGTTAAAATAGGCAATATCTGATGTTTTAAATTTTCCATAAAAAGTCTCAATTTTCAGTCGCAAAATTTGGAGCTAAAAGTACCGAAATTGACACGCACTCTCTCCCTCTACTCAAAACCTGTTGACGCACTTGACAAACTCGAATTTACGATGGGACGTACTGGAAAGAAGGCCGCACGGGCCAAACTGCAGAGAACCTCAGCCCAGGGCAAGTTCGTATCTGGGCCAACCCAGTGTGACGGCGAATCAGACTACGAAGATTCTGGCAGTGACAGTGATGCCAGTGTGTCATCGACTGGTTCTCTCACAGTTGCAAGGCAGTTGTATGCGAAAAAGTTTTCTGTGCAACAGAACCCAATGAAGGTGAGCAACATGGTAATTCACCATAAAAAGTTTTGATTGAAAATTTGACAGCGCAAGCAGCCCGTGGTGTACACAAAAGATTCTCGAGCAACCTTTTACCGCCATAAAGCACACTGGAAAAAGGCAGCTGAAGACTGTGCGAAGCTCAAGAGATTTGGCTTCTCACGCGACACCACTCTAATGCGCAAGGACGCCGTTTACAATCCCGAGACAGAAGATGTCGATGTTGAGGGTTGGTATGACATTGAGGAAGCCATAACCGACATGGATCTGATGGAGTTTTGCATCTCCCGCACTGAATCTGGCCCTATCGAGGATGATGAACTCGATGAACAGGAGCTTCAGGTGTGATCAGTAACCATGGTCCAGTGATTATAAGTGACTTACCAATGCATCGGAACAGAATACCCAAAAGGATCTCGCAGAAGCAGTAGCCGGAGAAGATGAAGATCTTGCCAATGATGAAGCCATGCATACAGCAGAAGTCGAAGCAGCTCGCGAGTGGCTTGTCCTCGATGATGATGACAGTGCTCCGTCCCAAAAAAACATATTCGAGATTGTCAAGACCTGTCTCAAGGAAGTAAAGCGGCTCAAAACAAGTAAAACAGTCAAAATGATGACTCAACTTACTGCTGTCACCGAGTACGCGAAGCTTCACGAGCAGTATGCTGGCCACCCAAAATGCCAGCGCCCAGCACTCAATGCGAGCTTGGCCATTGCATATTGCATGGGGAAGGGCCCCTACTTTGCCCGCCAAATTCGCGAAAATGCAAGATACCTCCTCAGGCACCAGCGATTGCCGCTGTCACTTCGGAGTGCCCAGAATGGCCAATACATGCTACTGGATGATGAAAATGTCCTGCAGGCAGTTCGTTCCTACCTCGCGGCCCAGGCTATTGGTACCATCACACCCTTTGAGCTTTGCCGCCATGTCAACAACGTCATAATTCCCGCATTGGACCTGACAGGGAAGAAAAGCACGATCTGTGAAAGAACAGCCATCAGATGGCTGGGAAAGCTGGGATATCAGTGCCGAGATGTCAAGAAAGGTCTTTATTATGATGGCCATGAAAGGCCTGATGTCGTCGAAGCACGGACCAAGTATTTGGAGGAGATGAAACGGTTAGAGCGGTACGAGCATATTCTGCAATCTCAAAGGAAGACAAACTTACAATTATTGGTCTCGAAGGTTGATGTGCAAATATGACGATGACACGCTCGAGCCAATTCCACCAGAACTTGGTCCAGGCGAAAAGGAGCATGTTGTTGTGATGTCGGATGAATCCATTGTCGGCACAAATGAGTCAGCTCATCGGCGCTGGTTGAAAGAAGGTGAACAGCCTCTCAGGAGGAAAGGGAACGGGCGGGGAGTCCACATCTGTGGTTATATCTGCGAAACAGTTGGCCAACTAAAGCTATCCGACGAGCAAATCACAGAGCAGCTGAAGTTGCCCGAAGATCAGCGTCTAAAGGTGACGAATTTGTGCAAGATAATCTACCCTGGAAAAAACCATGACACGTGGTGGGATCTCCAACAGTTGATGGATCAAACAGTCCACGCGATCGACATTTTCGAATACCTCCATCCCGACAAAGTAGGCATCTGGGTCTTTGATTGCTCATCGGCGCACGAGGGACTCGCACATGACGCGTTGAACGTCAACAATATGAATATCAATCCCGGCGGCAAACAACGTTCACTACACACCACGATCATCCCTCTCAACAACCCTCCCCCACTCCCTGGCAAAGATGACACCCGCGGAAGACCCCAGTCCATGGTTTTCCCTGCTGATCACCCCAACGAGGAGCTTCAAAACAAACCTAAAGGCATGCGGGTGGTTCTTCAAGAGCGCGAGTCGGTCTGGGATGAGCTGATGAAGAGGTCAAAGGCCGGGAAACCAGTGGGGAAGTGCAAGGAGTGCAAAATGTCGGAGGTGAAGAAAGACGCCGCGAGACGTGTTGCAGAGGCAGAGGCTATGGGCCAAGAGGATGCAGTGCCGGAAGATGATGTCGTGCAGGCTGATCAGCCCAATATTCAACCAGTGAGTGATTGGTGCTGTATGTATCGTGTTCTCTCGTTGCAGGACGACTTTGCGAACGAAAAACCGATGCTACAAAAATACATTGAGGGGCGCGGTCACATTTGCATGTATCTGCCCAAGTTCCATTGCGAACTTAACCCTATCAAAATGCTATGGGGATTTATGAAGTACCATGAGTCTTTTCACTCTCGTTTAATTCAAATCATTCTTATTCTATTTGAACCAGGCTATCGCAAAGTATCAGATGGCAAGTTCTCAACTGCCAAAGTCCTCGTGCCGCAGTGTCTCAACATGTGTGACACAATCACGATCCGACACTTTTTCCGTAAGACATGGCGCTACATGGACTCATACTCGTGAGTTTCTTCACTTCTATTTTACATATACATCCTTGGTTTAATCATGAGCAACATTCAGGAAAGGACTTGATGCTTATCAGACTGCATTTGCAGTCAAAGTGTTCAAGTCACACCGTAGAGTCGGTCATCCTGCCAAGATTAAGGCTCTCATGAGCCGCCGATAAGGTCCCCGCCCGTTCCTCGATACTTACATGCATGTAATGCTGCATACTCTACCAGAAAGCGATGTTTCGGTACCAATAGTCGTCACAGTCTCAATTTTTGTCGTGATTTTTACTTTGTTTGAATTCATCGCATTTTGTTCAGCATACCTTACAGTAGTATCTAATACAGTCCTATTGCAATAGTTTTCGCAAAAAAACATGGTATTTCCAGCGTGGAATAATGAATGCGCATCACTGACATTTGAGGCGCCGAAAAAGTGTGTCGCGCACTGTAGAATTATGGTAAACGAACGAAAAAGGAAAAGTGACAGTAACAAGTGACGAAGTAACACGTATCCGTTACACGTGCACAATAGATCACGATACTTGATTTTTCGGCTATGTTCGGTCGACATCGTGCTATGTTTTTTTGCTCTTGCAGCACCGGACGAATGTTCTGTAGTAATAGCATCGAGTCATAAGATTAAGATTCTTCCTTTAGAGGGCTTCGAAACCGCCCAGCAAGGTTTTCCACCAAAAGATGTCCTCAGACCGCTTGTCTAGAGTGCTAGGGAGACTGCAGAATCTTCCGTCTATATCTCTGCCTACAGATTATCCACGACCCACTGGTCCCAACAGGCTGGTCGAAGCCGTACATTTCGCTGACCTTTCAGACCAAACATCGCTGAGCCTGCTTAAGCTCGCATTGCATACAGAAGACGACCGTGTGGAGGAAGATGATGATAGTTTTTCGGAAAGCCGTCCTTCTGCGTTTCACCTTTTGCTCGCTGCCTTTGCCGTCTTGCTCCATCGATATACTGCCGACACAGATCTTGTCATCGGGTCCTCATCTGCATCTGCTAGGGATCCTTTGATTCTTCGCCTTTCTGTCGATCCAACAGATCCATTCTGGGCCGTCGTTCGTCGTGTGCAGCATGTCGAACGCGAAGCAGAATCAGACGTTCTGCCATTCGAGACGATAGTGCAAGCACTAGAAAAAAATAAGGAGGATTCTGGCGAGACCTCCCGCCCGATATTCCGTGTACGCTTCTTCGACGAGACGGATGAGCCCACGGAGAACTTCATTCGATCTACCAGCTTGACCTCTGATCTTACAATATTTGTTACTCGACCACCAGCATCTACGCGTGCTTCCCTTGCTCCCCATATCTCACTTAGAATCATATATAACTCATTGCTATTCACCTCCGCCCGGATATCGTCTATTGTCGACCAGCTCTCCGTTCTCCTGCGCAAAGTCTCTTCGAATCCACTGGCATCTGTTGGATCGGTACCTCTTTTGACTCCTTCACAACGCGACACCCTCCCAAACCCAACGGCCGATCTACATTGGTGTGACTGGAAGGGTGCTATTACAGATGTATTCTCAACCAATGCACGTCGGTGGCCAGACAGGCCGTGTGTTATACAAAGCCTCCCGGCTCTTTCTCTAAACGAACCTCAAGAAACAGTCACCTACAATTACGGAGCCATTCGTAGAGCGTCAAATATACTTGCACACTATCTTCTTCGAGGAGGAATCCAAAGAGAGGAAGTTGTCATGGTTTATGCTCACCGAAGTGTAGAACTCGTTGTCGCGGTGATGGCTGTTCTCAAAGCTGGCGCTACTTTCTCTGTCATAGGTGAGCATTTCATTGATTTTCTATCGTCCACTCCCTCCATCCGCCTGAGGTTGTCACTGATCTGACGCCGAAATATGCTTAGACCCTGCGTATCCCCCTTCTCGACAAACAATATATCTACAAGTCGCGCAACCTCGAGGCCTAGTGGTACTTAAAGGCGCAGGTTCAATCAGTCCTACAGTCCGGGAATTTTTATCTACAGAACTCAAAATACGCGTTGAGGTGCCTGCATTAGAACTCGAATGTGATGGCAACATTTTAGGTGGTAGCCGTGAGGGTGTCGATGTGCTCAGCTCTCATGTGAATATAGCTGAAACCGATCCCAACGTGTCCTTGGGGCCAGACAGCATCGGCACGTTATCTTTCACCAGCGGAAGTACCGGCATCCCCAAAGGTGTAAAGGGACGACATTATAGTCTCACTCACTTCTTTCCTTGGATGGGTGATCGTTTCCTTCTAGGCGAAACGTCCAAGTTTACGATGTTGAGTGGAATCGCACATGACCCCATTCAACGCGATAGTAAGTAACTAAGTGTCATCGCAGCATGATGGTTTCCCTGATGATATCATTCCCCAGTCTTTACTCCGCTCTTCTTCGGCGCACAACTTCATGTACCTACTGCTGATGACATAGGGACACCAGGGCGTCTCGCTGAGTGGATGGCTGATAGCAGTGTTAGCATAACTCATCTGACCCCGGCCATGGGACAACTGCTTTCTGCCCAGGCTACCCGTCAGATTCCTTCCCTCCGCAACGCGTTTTTCGTAGGAGATGTCTTGACAAAACGTGACTGCCTCCGACTTCAATCTCTAGCAGCCAATGTACGGATAGTCAATATGTACGGGACCACCGAGACCCAACGTGCCGTATCTTATTTTGCCATTCCTCCTGTCTCAGGAGACCCTACCTTCCTGACCACGCAGAAAGACATCATGCTCGCTGGCGAAGGAATGATTGACGTCCAACTTCTGGTCGTGAATCGAAACGACAGGAACGTCCCCTGTGCGATTGGCGAAGTGGGCGAAATATATGTTCGATCTGGGGGTCTGGCGGAAGGTTATTTGCAGCCAGATGCCTCAGCAGAGAAGTTCGTAGCAAACTGGTTCTCACCTCCCACAATCCCCTGGAAGGACACCATTCTTCACCCTCCTCAAGGTCTTGCAGGTCCTGAATCGCGGTACTGGAAAGGTATCCGCGATCGTATGTATCGTTCAGGTGACCTTGGGCGATACCTTCCTGATGGGACAGTCGAATGCACCGGGCGAGCTGATGATCAAGTCAAAATTCGTGGTTTCAGGATAGAGCTTGGAGAGATAGACACCCACATGAGCCAATATCCTTTGGTGCGAGAGAACGTCACCCTCGTACGCAGAGACAAGGACGAAGAGAAGATCCTCGTCAGCTACTTTGTGCCCTTGGAGAGCCCTCAGCTGGATGGTTTTGCCAGCGAACTGACAGATAACGATGACCAAACTGATGTCAAGGCTGCACCCAAATATAGGCGACTTATCAAAGATATCAGAGAACACCTCAAAAAGAAGCTGCCGAGTTACAGCGTTCCTTCATGTACGTATTATCATTTCATCGTTAGTACCTTGGAGAAACTGATGATATTACAGTATTCGTGCCCCTTCGTCGTATGCCCCTTACCCCTAATGGTAAGATAGACAAGCCTGCGCTTCCTTTCCCAGATACAGCTCATGCTGCCTCTGCGGAGCCAAGGCACAAAACTAAATCCCGTAAAGCCAATCGTACGGAAGAAAAAATGCGGGCCATTTGGGCAAGCATCTTACCTAGTGCACCTGTGCCCATACCGTTGGACGAAAATTTCTTTGATTTAGGTGGTCACTCCATCCTCGCTACACGTCTTATATTCGAGATACGTAAAGTATTCATAGTCAACGCGCCATTAGGCCTGATCTTTGACCAGCCAACAATTGGCGGTCTCGCGGCTGCTGTGGACGCTCTCCGTGATCCTGACTTTGGTATTGCTTATAAAGAGAAAGAAATCGATTCACAAGGTCAAACTAACGGTACAAAGATGTCCAAGAAACCTGCTGTAGTGATGGAGTATGGGCAAGATTACGACAGTCTGGTCCCCCAGCTTCGGGCATCATATCCATCTCTACCCTCGGATTTCGACAGTCATTCACTAACGATATTCCTCACTGGTGCCACTGGATACCTCGGTGCCTTCGTCCTTCGCGATCTTCTTCAACGTCAGACCCGAGTGAAGAAAGTCTTCTGCCTCGTACGCGCACCTAGTGTGGACAAAGCTTTGGCTAGGTTGAAAGAAGGCTCGAGCGATCGTGGCGTTTGGGACGATGAGTGGGTCTCATCTGGGAGATTAGAAGTCTTGATTGGGGACCTGGGACAAGAGTTGTTCGGCCTGGATCAAGATATGTGGTCTCATGTGGCAAACGAGGTCGATGCGATACTGCACAACGGCGCCTTGGTTTGTATCTCATCGTACCGATATCATTGGATCTGCTCACGCTGCTAATTGACAGGTCCACTGGGTATACCCGTATGAGAAACTCCGTGCTGCTAACGTCCTTGCAACTTTGACGGCCATCGAGCTGGCCTCTACAACCAAACAAAAACTTCTGGTGTTCGTTTCGTCAACGTCAGCCATGGACACCGAGCACTACGTCCGACTGTCCGATTCACTTTCGCACATGCATGGCAAATACAAAGGTGTCCCCGAATCTGATGATCTCGAAGGTGCAAGAAGCTTACTGAAAACTGGTTATGGACAAAGCAAGTGGGTCTCCGAGAAGTTACTGTTTGAAGCTGGTAAAAGGGGTTTGAATGGCCATATTGTTCGACCTGGTTACGTGGTGGGTGATTCGGTAACAGCAGGTTAGTAAATGTTTAAGAAGAATTCTTGCTCATGAATTAATCACTATGTGATAGTGACAAATACGGACGACTTTGTCTGGCGAATGGTCAAGGGGTGTGTCCAACTCGGTCTTGTGCCGAATATCAACAATACGGTCAATATGGTACCCGTTGACCATGTCGCTCGATGCACCGCTCTTGCTACGGTGGCCCCACTCCCCAGTTCTGCGATGACTGTCCTCCATATCACTGCCCGGCCCCTCCCCTCTTTCAACAATATACTATCTTCATTGGCCCAGTATGGCTTCGCTACAGAACAGTGCGAATACCTCGTGTGGCGGCGTAAATTGGAACAACACGTCATGGAAGTGCAAGATAACGCGCTATTCCCCTTGCTGCACTTCGTTTTGGACGATTTACCGACTAGTACCAAGGCACCCGAACTCGACGACTCCAACACTCAGGCTCTGCTTCACCCCCATTTGCAGGAGCCGAATATGACTGTATCGGATAAACTGATGGGAATGTACCTTTCGTGGCTCGTTGGCGCAGGCTTTTTACCTCAGCCTTCTTCGCTTTCACCACAGAGGTCATTGCCTTCCCTGAATAGTGATCAGATCATTAAGGCCGCTGGAAGGAGTGGAGTATGAATGATATGTGACTACTAGTAGTTACTATGTAGGGTCTTCTGCTTTGGATCAGCCTATGTATCGCTTCGTAGTATTCCAACAAAACAAAATTTTGGCGCTGTACAGTACTTGTACATATGTCGGAGTCTGCAAAACGTTTGTAAATTCAAAAATATGCAAAGGAGCAGACGCAAATGTTGACTCACAGCATTGATTTTTCGAATAGGGATGAGTTGCTTCGGTCGGAACACCTGAACTCTGTGGCGATTAACAGTTCATTTCGATAAAATAGTTCGTGAAACTCTTTTGGCAAATCCAGTTGGCTGTCAAAATTTAAAAGCGAAGAACAAAACACCCGCACGTGTGGCCTTCTAGTGAATCTGATGGGCCTACAACGTTCAATACAAACAAATCCGCCCCTTGAATAAAAAGACTGAATGTTCAGGTTGTAATGTAGTTTTGAAACCGCAGACATCCACCAAATTTAGACAATGAACTGGTTACAGTCCACACTTGGTTCAGTGAAGTTATTCAACGTTTCGGGACAAGACAGCTTACCTGTGGTTCCTGTCTCCGTAAATTATTTCCCCCACAGGTTAGTTATGGTCTCTATAGCATTCTAGCATATCGCTGACCGGCCTCTAGAAAATGCAACTATAGCTGCGACTTCTGTTTTCACACCACAAAGAACTTGTACATTTTGCCTATCGATGAAGCCAAGAAAGGTCTAAGACTGCTGGCACAGGCAGGAATGAAGAAACTGAATATTAGCGGTGGTGAACCGTTCCTGAAGCCAGACTTCATTGGCGAAATTTTCCGCTTTTGCAAAGAGGAACTCCATCTCGAATCCTGCTCTGTGGTGAACAATGGATCAAAAGTTACAGAAAAATGGATGGATACCTACGGCCGTTATTTGGACGTCATGGCTATATCCTGCGACAGTTTCGATGCCGATGTTAACGTGCAAATTGGCCGCTCTGAAAAGGGCACTGGTAACCACGTCGGTCGCGTGTTCCAAGTTGCCGAATGGTGTCGTAGAAGAGGTATCGAAGTGAAGATTAATACGGTTGTAACGAGGCAAGTTGTTTCTCGAATACGGATATGGCACCGCGATAAAATGCTTACTTGAATGTATGCTAGCCTGAACTGGGACGAAGACATGAGCGCTAGCATTGAGGAGCTCGCTCCTTTCCGGTGGAAGGTAATCAGTTCGAAGCGTTGAATCCGTTCGCCTAGCTCATGAAAGTCTCTTCAGGTTTTCCAGGTCCTTCTTCTAGATAGCGAAAACACCGGACAAGAGACTGGTTCTCTTCGAGATGCGCGGAAACTCGTTATCAAGGACGAACAATTCAAGGCATTCTTAGACAGACACAAAGATCAAAAATGTTTAGTTCCAGAAGACAACCAATCCATGAAGGATTCGTACCTTAATCTAGACGAAGAAATGAGGTATACCTTCGCTTTCGTGCGGCCCTCTTAGTACCTCACTGACGTTCTGATATCCTATAGGTTTCTCAGTTGCACGGACGGAGGTAAGACACCTGGCCGCTCGTTGCTGCAGGTTGGCGTTGCATTGGCATTGGCAGATGCAGGGTTTGATGAGCAGGCTTTCTTTGACCGAGGTGGTGTTTTCGAATGGACCAGGGACCAATCGTCAGATAATGATGCAAGTCTTGATTGGTAATTCATAGGTCGTTTGAACTTTTGAGCCGTCGTGTGCATAGTATCATTCTGTAATTTCGAAAAATTTATGTAATTAGTATAAATCTGCAAGGATCGGTCAACGAGCACATTGAAAACTGTTATAGAATAACATACTAGTTACATCGTTGTAAAGCATAAAAGCTTGGGCATGCAAGTGGCTCGGAGATGAAGGATTCCCTTTGAAACGTTTGTGGGCAATTGATGGAAGATCAGCGCTAGGTTCTAACCAGACTCCGCTACTAGTACCCATAACTACTTACTAGTAAGTTACTTATACCCGTACTAGTTGTACGCTCTTGCACTCACTTGTCATCGTTGCCCGTATAACAAGTATGGTTTGGTCTCGGGTTTCCAAGTGCTGGTACGCTTGTGCTGTAAGGTCTGGCTATTATGGTCAACCAGCAACGCAGGCGAGGTCACGGTCGTACTCGCATACCAGTCTCTTGCCTCTCGTTCGCGCGTCAAACAATCTTGTACTATCATCAGGATCCTTTCATGACGAGAATAAGACACATTGGATCGCTAGTAGGAAAGATGAAACGTTGGTTGACAAGGAGCACGTTTACCCTCTCTTCTTGTCTGCAGCACCTTTGTCTTGTTCTTCATCTCCTATCGGATTTTTGAGGCAGGACTTATTTTCGGCATTGCTCGATGACCACAGAGTTCAACTTAGATTGCAGGGGAAATCACCATGGGATATTCGAGTTCGTGGCTCGTCCGCAAATGGTGATCCAGCAGGCTCACCTTGGGCAATGGCTTTTGCGCCCTGGGTTAATGCTGGTGGAAGGGAGCTAAGGTCCCATCATATTGGGAGGTTGGTAGACGAATGGAGGGAAGGCGGCATGTTTCGTGATATGTTAAGAGGTGCGTCCGTCCACAAATTTATTCGTCGTCCGACTCATAGTACGCGTTGCATAGGCTGGAGTAACGAGGCATACCCAATTTATAACCCTGCTCGGATTGAATCTTTTGAAGATTCGGTTGCATTCACTGTAGAACGAACATCTCTTCCCCTTTTTGGCTTTGCAAACTTCGGGTGCTTGCTTACAGGTACGTGCCTCTTCTAAAAGTGTCTGCTAACGGTTGCTGATAGGTTTCACTCAGCATATTTCGACTCCAATGACACTGGCAAGAGGATGTTGTGGGTACCTCGGCGATCCAAGACAAAGCGCACGTATGTATATGAGTTTTTCGCGAGCACATTCGCTTGATGACATCTTTGCAGGTGGCCAGGCCGTTTGGACGTGACCGTTGGCGGGGGAATTGCTGCAGGCGATAGCGCTCTTTCCACAATAGTGCGCGAAAGCTCAGAAGAAGCATCTCTAGATGCATCATATGTTCGACAGCATATTCGCTCAGCTGGACTCCTTCCGTTCCCTAATCGCTCGCCAGCAGGATGGGTTCTTCCTGGCGTTTACTATCTATTTGATTTACCCCTACCTGCTGATGGCTCTGTCTTTCCAAGAACAAATGTGGCCGACGGAGAGGTGGAGAGCTTCGAGTTGATGGATGTGCAGATGGTGCTGGAGAACCTAATGGAGGGCATGTTCAAACCTAGTTCTGCCCTCGCTCTTGTGGATTTTTTGGTTCGTCATGGATATGTGACTGACGAAACAGACCCTGCATATGTGCAATTATGCCTTCAATTAAAAAAGGAGTTGCCCTGGCCCCTGCCTCGCTAGTCAGTTTGGTTCTTCCATTTCAGCAAAGGAGCTGGTCGAGCTTCAATGTCACATTATCTGCAATCATATTTTTGGAAGATTCTCTGTCTTGCATCTGAAAAAATCGGAGAAATGCGGTTGTCGGGTGAGATGACCACCTCTGTTCTATTTTATGATCACCATAACATTGTCACGTGTGGGACTGAGCGGACCGGCATCCGTATACCGAAGTGCAGCTCAGTGGTATCTTTCTCTGACACACGCCCTACCTTTTTTCCTTCCTATCATTTCACCTTTGCACTACCCGCTCCATCTCCTGTGAGTTGTAACGATCCTCAGTTAACATCAACTAACATTTTCATAGAACTTGCAATTAAGATGGCAGCATCCACTACTATGAAAGCTGTATATTATCATGCTGCACGTTGAGCTATTATCATCCGTGCTTTCATTTTGCTAAAGGATCACGATAGCCACGTCAGTTTGAAACACGCTATGTCCCAATTCCCACCATTTCTGACGACGAAGTTTTGATCAAAGGTGATCCTGATTCTTCAGCTGGTCTCCAATTTATCTTGATTATTGTGTCTAACAGTATCATATTGTGGTACGTGTTATCCTTTATTTTGCTCAGAGTAGTAGGTAACTTGAGTAGGAATGTGCGGAACTGATAACCACTTACATGAGGGAGAGTTTATCTCTAAATTTCCTGTAAGATCCATTTGGCAATATACATCTTGCTTGTCTGATCTGTTTTGGATCGGTTCAGCTGATCCCAGGCCATGAGGTGACCGGCACAATAACAAGTATAGGGAAGAATGTGCGCGGTTTTACTGAGGGTGATCGATGTGTAGCAGATCCTGGAGTGACCGTACGCCATAAGATTCACTCATGCTATTGTTATGGTGCTCAATAGCAATACAGTGCGAAACTTGCTTTTATTGTCGACGAGGTCAAACTCTTCTGTGCGAGAATTTCAATGGCCTGGGTGTCACCACAGATGGTGGATTTGCCGAATACGTGGTCTTGTAAGTCCTTCATTTTCTCATTGAAATTGATACCTAATTCACTTTTCCCGTTTAGTCACGGAAAAAAAGTGTACAAGATTCACAATCTCACCGATGAGGAGGCTACGTTAGTCGAACCTACCGCTTGTGCCATCCATGGCATGGACAAACTCAATGCTGCCGTTGGCATCGAAGCCCTAGTCATTGGAGCTGGACCCACTGGCCTCGTTCTTGCCCAGTTGCTGAAACTAAACGGGGCCACGAAGGTAGTCATAGCCGCCAACAAAGGTATCAAGACAAAAATTGCCCAAGAGTTGGACGCCGGGGACCAGTATTTCGAGCTAGACAGAGAAAACCCAGGTCCGCAGTGGGAGCAGATCAAGAGCGAATTCCCTTATGGCTTTGACGTTGTCGTATGTCTGTCTCCGTCAGTCCTGGAACCATATTTCTAAAGCCTCGAGTCCTATTTTTGAAGGTTGAAGCAACTGGATCGGAGAGCGTAGCCAATGACGCGATTAACTATGTGCGGAGGGGAGGAACGCTCATGATCTATGGCGTATATTCGAATGAGGCTCGTGTGCACTGGCCACCCTCGAAAATATTCGGAGACGAAATCAAGGTCCGTTGGAGTTTCTTGCCTCTGGCAAGCAATTACTAACGGAGGACATCATCACCAGATTATTGGCTCGTTCGCGCAGACGCATTGCTTCCCTCGCGCCGTAGCCTATCTGGACAGTGGTAAAATCAGAGTTAAGGGCATGGTAAGTCACTGCAGCACCTGCGCAGCACCTGGACTGACAATTTGCAATGCAAGGTGACCGATGTGTTCAAGATCGAAGAATATCAAGAGGCGCTGGATAAGATGAACTCTCGCGCGGCTCTGAAGATCGCGGTGAAACCATGAAGGCACAAGCTGGTACTAGTACACTGATCACATGCCCTTGTAGATTACCTTTGTATTACTAGTCTTGAAGGCGGATAAAATTCTACAATCACGCAAGGTTATTGTGACATGTATCAGAACATTGCTCCTGGATTTGTCTCCCCTATCGAACCAAATTACTACGAATACTATACTGGGTGGAACAACTAGATCACCATCAAGATATGACAGTGCAAATGAGGTACGTATTCATTGTTATTGTGAGACCTTCATAACTTCGACGCCGTACACATTAATGTGTCAGAGTACAGCGGAACGTTATCTTTTTCGTCCATTTGTTTCGTTCCAGGGTGTTGATTACTTTGTTGTATACGTTATATGAGCATTAACCAATAAATGGCTTCAGGTTGCAACGCAGGCTCAACTTCACCCGAAGGTACGCCAAATTCCAAAGATCATTACATTATTCCGAGTACTCCGTAGCGCTGCATCATAGACGCCTTTTTCAACGGGTTTACATTGCAGTACTACAGAGCATTTTCAGTATAGTCACGGATTCAGACTTGCAACTAATGTTACATATATCCTCTTTTGAAGTCCGTGCAGCGGGAGTGCCCATGGCGTAAAGCTCCCAACGGTTCTTGAATTTCACCAAGCATAATAAGAAGCGTTGGCCTTTGCCTTCGCCCAAGCCTCATTCACCATATCGACAACATCCTCGGATAGTGGACCACCCTCGCTGTGAACCAGACATGTCATAACAACAAAAGCGGAAAAGATCAAAGACAACCTACCACTGCTTCATATTGTCTTCCAGCTGCGAAGCGCTGCCTGCTCCGAGTATAACCGCATCTCCGGGCTGGAGCAAGCTGTGATGCTGAAGCCACCGTTGGGCGACTTCAGGAAGGGGTATGCCGTGTTTTTCCTAGGTCAGCCAAGAATAACTGTGAAGAAGTTCCCATTGACACGATATGAGACTTGGGAAAACTTACTGCTGCTTCTTTTAGCTCTTTGAGCACGGGCAAGAGTGGGGCATATATCCGGTGGAGTGTAGGCGCGAGATCTGTGACTTTAGGATCCCATCGGCCTCCCGTGCTGTTGCGTAGGTCCGTTTCATTAAGGAGCTTTCCTACCAGTAGTCCTCCGCTGAATAGTTAAACTTAGTTCAAACGGTCCAGAAAGCCCGATGTGACAGGAGAAAACTCACCACAGCGGGCTGTACGCGTAGAACCTGATGCCAAAATGACGAAGGCAGGGAAGCAGTCTGAAGAATAGATTAAAAGATGTCACAGTTCGTGAGAGCTAAACATACTCCGTTTCTACTGTGCGTTCGACAGCGTTGTAACACCCTTCATAGACAGTAGGGCCAATCCAGTCGTTGCGTTTCGCAATGCCAACGATCTCGGCAACCTAAGGGTTGGAGGTAAGCATGTGGGCTGACAATAGCGAAACGGCAGCTGAGAACATTACCTCCCAGGCATAAAAGTTGCTCAAGCCAAACTCCTCTCTGAGTAAATGTAAGCAACAGTTCTCAGTGAGAAAAACGGGGCTTACAGAAGGCCTTCCCTGTGCATTTCATTCACTTCTCTCAACGTGTCCTCATAAGGAACACTTCTATCTGCAGCGTGGAGGTATAGCGTATGAACCTTCTGCCCATTGAGAGCCTTGATCGACTCCCGGAAAATTGCCCGCAGCCTTGCTGGCGCGTGATCTCCAGGCTGCATAGGATAAACTCTAATCATTTCACAAAGTCACACATCTGTGAGAAGTGCGGGGTAAGGTATCGGAGGACGTACTTGGTGTCTACGGTGCAGCCTTTCACGTCGATCTCTCCCAGGAACTGCATATGCAACGGTTAGTTGGTGTGAAGGCAGACCTGATATCGTAAGGTCATACCTCTTCAGATGTCCCACCACCATATATGCGGGCCGTGTCGATCTTCTTGTGTCCATAGCGAACAAATGCATCCACCATCTCTCGACACTGTTCTACCGTATGAACGCGAGCACCATTGGACTTGGGCCCGGGTTTACCGAACGAGCCTGCGCCCTGCATGCGGAGTCACTTAAAAGTCAGGGGCTATTAACGTGGAGAAAGCAACTTACAAGGATGAGCTCAATGCGAGTTGACATATTGCCTTGTGAACAGAGTCGATGTAAGACTGTAGCGCCTTTTATAAATGATTGGTTCGGACAAATGCAATCCGTGAAGAGGGTATTAAATACCTTGAAAACTTAAAAGAGTTCAGTACATGAATGACTCTTTGCGCTTCTGGCAAAGCGGCACCGATCCACCACCTTGAGAGTCTTGATGTATTTTCCGATAAAGCGGCATAGCATCTGCAAAGTGGTCGAACTCGCTTGATAGTTTTATGGCTAAGCGCAATTCAAAAATCTGAGCTAATCCCATTTGGGTTTCCAAAACTTCCTCCAACATACTTTTGAAGACCAATTTCGGTCAGATGTAAGAAACACCATTTGCGTTATCGAGAACCGAGCTGCGAACATTATAGTGTACATAGTTATCATGGCGCTGCTAATGACTTGCTGCATGACTCACTGCTTACAAAGAGCCATATCAAGAGTCATATCACTGAGCGCTCAAAAACTGACTATGACTTCAACCAAAGTCAGAGCATCAACAAACCATCGATGACACTGCAGGCCAGACTTTTCCATGACTGCCACACTCCCATTGACAACTTGATTTGTATCGACAAGCCTCTGCAATAGATGTCGCTTCCAATAATATTAATTTAAGGCTCCCACAGCATCTAACTGTAACTGCTCGCTAACTTTCTTCTGCACCTTGTCTACTCCTCTCGAAGCTTTCGTGAGGCCAAAACCGAAACTGATGCCGCCTGACAATGAACGTTCTTCTCCACTTTCACCAGCTTTGATGTGCTCGTCGACTGTCTTACAAAGTCCCTGAAGAGATGTGAAGCAGCCGTTGTAGCCCAGACCACCCTTTGCTGGAGGAAGACGGGCTCGTGAATCATCAAAAACCAAGTGAATCGAAGTGAGTGCAAAGAGCGAAGGTTGCAAATTAATAATATCTCCCGTAATATTGGGTATAAACCGAGCGAAGAAGCGCATTAGCTGAGAAGACGATTCTGAAAGGAAGAATCGTGAAAGATATATAAATTCAAGGATATGGGCGAGAAGCAGCATGGCGGTGGGAGAGAAGACAGGAAATACCGGGTCGGGGGAGAGGGTAGTTAGAGCAGTGTAGCAATCGCCGAATGTGACGGGAGGTCCGGTATCTGTGATCGTAAAAGCTTGTCCTCCTATATCTGGGTTTGAGCTTCCTTGGTGGAGATCTATGAGGCGGCGCTCATAGCATAGATGGGCTTGAGAGCAGTTTTCTACGTAGGAAAAAGATTGTAGGATGTGGTTCACCCACGTAGGATTGTCCCTACGGACGAGGTAGGCCCCACATAAAATGTCTCCACCAGGGCCGAATATCCCATTTCCAGGACGAATACAGCCCGTCCTCAACGTTTTCTGGCCAGCAGCAGCACTCTTATCTGCCGCCCGCACAGCTCTCTCGCCTCGTATCTTTGTTGCAGCATAGTTGGAAAAGAACTGCTCGTGACGTTTGGGCACGATGCTGTCATCGTCGTTGAGCACTTGCACAAAGTATTTGGGCTGCTTTTCCCATGGCCACAGCCAGAATCGCGATCGATGAACGGCGACAGATCCTGATGAGGTGTAGATGAGGACAGTGGCGCCGACTGAGCAAGCTGCTTTGACGACGTTCTGGACGCCATCGAGATTGACCTTGGCAGAACGGGGGACAAGAGCGGTATGACGTTCGTAGAAGCGAATACTGGCGGCACTGTTGAAGACGGTGATTTCAGGCTCTGGTTGGCCGGCGTCGGCGTCGCAGGGAGGCCATGGCGCTTTGAATGCAGCCTCTACGGCTGCTGCATCGGATATATCTGCTTGATAAAAGGCGACCTTTTGTGCTTCTCCTTTCTTGAGGTCAGGTCGAGACGGCGCGCGGATGTCTATGATTCTTATTCGTCTTGGGTCTTCGCCTCGCTGAAGCAGATGCAAGACCATCCATCCTCCAAGGAAACCGGCCTTTTATCACGATAGCGGTAATCAGTCGTGGATTCCCAAAAAAGAAGCTGCTAGCAATGGACTCACCCCACCAACGACAATATATCTACGTCCAGTCCGCGGCAGGGTGTCCACAACCACAGGCGACTCTGCCATCTTCCTCGCAGCATCGCGCACGACGTCTGGGGTGAACCGCTTTGGCGAGAAGGAGAGCGCCTCTGAGGGAAGTTGGCATAAAAGCTTATCGTTGCGTCGGATGTAGAGATACAAAATCAGGGGGATGATGGCCAGAAGCCATACCAACGACAACGACATGTTATCTGCAATACTCTCTCGCTGTCAAAAACAAACCGGAAAGACAATTCATGCGTTCGGCGTCAACGAGAACGCCATTGCCGCTGCCGACGCCATCCGGCCTGTCCCACACTGTGCTTGCTATGGCGTAATGAATATATGTTTCCAAGATATTCTGATATGATTGTAAACTCGCTAACAGGCGGACTATACAGCTTTCAGACTGATAGACACTCGTGATGCTGCATTTTCAATAATAGCCAAACAGCGCTAGTACACTACTAGCCCTATTTAAGTGGATTTTCGCGTTCAATGAATCGGAACAGGGGGTATATCGTTATACCGAGAGGCGAGGACCCTGTGCAAGTTGCTCCTATGTCATATCAATAGTACACCAACCTTATATCGAGGCGAGGACCCTATGCAAGTGGCTCCTATGCCATATCAATAGTACACCAACCTTATATCGAAGGCTCTGAGATGGAGCAAGCGCCACATAATCCTATCTTTGAGTCTTATGAATGGCGCCTCATGTTCCGATCAAGACACGTTTCATTCGAGTACAGCAGCATCATGCATGACGCAAACTATAGACCAGCGCCAACTTGTCTATTCCCGGTATCGCGAGTTGCCTGTTGCGTAGAACGGAGACCGTGAGTTGTTGCATAGTTCACGATAGCCGGCGTGTAGCGAACGCGGCGAATAACGATGATGTATTAGCTGTTTATATCTTGATAAAGGATATCGTGACCTGCTTGAGAAACGCCCCAAGTCTGCTGGCTGCCCCGTATTGGCTAAATTCGAAAGCCACAATCATGGCCTTTAAGTCTGAGTCACGGTGAGTGCTGAAATAACCGAAGATTGCGAATGGATGTGGCGGGAATGCGAGCTAGCTCGCAAGAGATAAGCTATCGACCATGCTCGTAACCAACTTACATTGCAAATAGTATAGCTCGAGGGTGTCAAGGGGGCATAGAGCGTGTTTTTGGGAATGCGAACTGCGGGCTAACAATCTGCATATTCCATGTAAGCCAAGCATGATCTTCAAGCATTTGCGGCATAGACTATTAACCGCACATGTCTGCCTCATGGACGTTTGACGGGAAGCTGTAAATGCCACGAATGAGAGAGAGGCTACGAAACTGGTGTGCTCAGACAAGCGGGCAAGAGCGGATATTTGGATGCACCGTGCACAGCAGGTCACCCATAAACGTGGTACGATGGCATCCGGTGATGGAGGACATTGCTTATAGAGCGGTCAAAGGGAGAAAAAGTCGCTGAGCCGGCTGGATGATACAGGTATTTGCATCGGTGATACAGACGACCTTTTCTTGGAGCAGCGATATGGAGGCGTCATCGAGGTTCTCGACGGGATATCTCCTGTAACCTCCGGAGCGAGAACCGTTAGGTATCAATAGACGCTGAATATGAAGGAAATGAATGTGTCAGATAGCGTGATCATTCAGCGATATGACCGCCGCAACTAAGAAGATAACGATCTGCAGCCGTCCTGACATGAAAAATTGGAGATGCAGTTTAAAAGATTTCCTTTGAAGAAGCCAGGGGATAATCGAGTGGTCAATGGCCATGCAAGAAGAGGCCATCCGGGTCGGCGTCGGAACCGGAGAGAGGGACCGGTTACCCGCGGATGGATTACGGCGTCAGCGATTGGCTCAGGAACCAGACTCGGTGTAGAGGTATCACAGCTTTGGTGCATTGGCTAGCTGTGTTACGTTTGAGTTTGACGTTCTGAAGCAACTCTTCATTTGCGACGACAGTACAGGGAACATGTCGCAAAGCAGCGAGTGTGAAATGTGCAGACGCCTTGAATTGACGCCGTGCGGAAGTAAACCAAGAGAATGCATGGGGAACTGACTGGGCCCGGATCCATTCGAGGTGTCCATATCAAACCACAAGAAGTGCACAAGATCTATTGGAGATGTGCTTCTGGATTGGGTATACGGATCCAAGTTGGCAAAAAGAACAAAAGCTAATAACTGTTTCCACTTCTCAGGCTATGACCCCGAGATGAGTTTAGAAAGGCACCGCCGCAGAGCCCGTCACCATGCATCGCTACCGTATCAGCACCCATACGCCAATGGTCTCTTGACATCAAGACACAGGACTGGTTCCCCTGCAATTTGATGCGGTCATACACTGATAATTGGCCTGATGCACCACCATTCATTCGTCCTTAGTTTCGCAGGAATAGCGAGACCAGAATGTGACTTGAATGGGATTGGTTGCGGCGTTCGCTGGTTCTAGTGGTCTTGATATCATCCATGCTACTTGCATTACAGTTCTGTGGGCTCCAGTTTGATTTTCTAGAAAGGCCAATGACGGAAGACCATACAAACTGACCAAAGCGGAAGTAGCATGAATGTGGTGCCTAGGAGAGCGGCCGCAGGAAAACGTTTCCTAATAGCGAATCAGAGCCCTGCACAAGTCTTGGACGGCCATTGTGATTCGCTCTTGTTCATGTTTAATGCGACGGTGTGTTGCCCTCCAATAGACTTTTGGTGGCACAGTTAAACGCCTGCAACGAGCTGAAGGTGACAGTAGTGTCAAGGACAATGCATGGATGAAACCAGGAGCGAATCAATGAGCGCTCCATGGACAATGGTTTCTGGGGTCCTGTGCGAGTTTATGGGTGGTACTTATTTAGCCGATTAGATCCAAATAAAAAAGTTGTAAATTGCGGATAGCCCTCGTACCATTCTCTGCCTTTTTGCTGCGCTCAAGGTCTGCCCATACCTCGCTTCCTCCTTTGCTTTCCCCAGCGAGGACCACCTCATCACCTCCCTTTCGTTCTATTGTCGCATCTGCTTGCCATTATAGAGGTATAAAGGCTGCGCCATACATAGGTGAGCATCATTCCCAGCCTTGTGATGGTCGTTCGCAGTTGACTGTCTTTTTATATATAGGTCTGGGGTATTACCACTATACTTCAAGTATTATCCCTCTAGACCATATTTTGCCATGCGTGTCCTCCTCCATCCACTCGCCAGGCGCGTCGCATTCTCTCCAATCGAGACCATAGTCTTTTTCTCCGTGATTGGTACTCTCGCATATTTTCAAATCCTATCTGCTATCAAACACTCCGCATTCTTTGCTCCTACTTTCCCATCAACCCTACGTCCTGCACACGCATTACTGCGAGACGGTGAATGGGTTGGTGTCGATGAGAATTGGTACAATGGACGCTCGGCTGCCGGAGATAGCTCAAGACCTTTGGAATTACAGCAAATAATATTCTCATTAGACCCTGCGCCTACGCAGAAACTAGAAGAGGTGAGTGTTTGTGTACTGAGATTGCAACGAAATGAAATTGACCATTTTTATATCAAGTCCTCTGCAGACTCAACAACATTAGCCTTGGCTCCACTCGTCCAGTCAATTAACAACGTTACCCACTACATTACTCACGATTTCTCTGCTTATTCCGGCGAGAAATATACTTCTCTCTGCTACATCCCAACCGATGCTGCTGAGACGACAGCAGGCGACAGCACCCAGCTACCTGCCCAATGCTTCACCGCTACTTCTTCCATGTCATCAAGGTCCAAAGTGGTCACGCTTTCCTTTGCCGCGGATGCCCGAGGCAACTTCATCGACGCCCTTAAGGACTATGGAAAGTTCGCCGCGGATGAATTCGATGTGGTGTACCATCTTGAGGGACGCCAGACTGAGACCATTGGAGAGATGAAGAGTGGGAAATGGATTGCCTATGCTGCCAGTGCACTCGTCGTGCGCTTCTGGGAGCTTGCCAAGGTAAGAGCTGCACAAAGTTATTTTCGTGTAAATGTTCTAATGGGTCGTCTGAGCAGAAAGCCGACTCACTGGACATTCTCTTGGTCCTTCTCGGATACATTTTGATGCATGCCACATTCATTCGGCTTTTGTTGTCCTCGCGAGCTCTGGGATCCAACTTCTGGTTAAGCACGGCTATCGTATCATCGTCCGTTTTGGCTTTCCTTCTCGCCCTTCCTTTCGCACTCTACCTGCAAATTCCTCTCGACCCCATAAGTCTCACGGAGGCTCTGCCTTTCCTGGTCTGTACAGTTGGTTTCGATAAGCCTCTCCGTCTTGCACGCGCTGTCTTCAACCACCCTCACCTTACTACACCAGTTAAGGAAGGTCGCTTCCGTGGACAGATGAAACCTGCCGGGGATATCATCATGGAGGCACTTGACCGCAGTGGGAATGTTATCTTGCGTGACTATGCTCTTGAGATCGCTGTGCTCGCTATGGGTGCCAAAAGCAAAGTGGGGGGTCTGAAAGAATTTTGCGCCCTAGCGGCTGTGAGCCTGACTTTCGACTGCATCCTATTTGGTACTTTTTATACAGCCATTTTGGCTGTTATGGTAGAGGTAAGTCATATGATTCTTGACTACCGGACAAATGGCACCCAAATTAGGGTTGCCGCTATTTGTTCACCCGACGGCCCATTTTGCAATTCTTCTGTCCGATAGCTGGAGACGGAACTCATGTGTTTTTCTTATTGTTCCTTTGCTTAGGTCCGACGCATCAGACTTGTCCGTGAAATAACCAGGTCGAGGAGCTCGAACAATCTTTCTGGGGAAGGAAAAGCCAGCTCGCTTGCGCGCCCACCACCTCGCCACCAAGACAGCCTTCACGCGAGAATATCAGAAACGATCATCGGCGTGAAAGGGTCTATGCTCAAGCAGAAGAACAGCCGTCACCAAGATATCAAGGAAGAGAATCCCGTTGCCAGACTGAAACTCCTATTGGTGTGTGCTTTCCATCATAATGTATTGACATCTGACTGAGAGACAATAAATCATCAGATCGCCTCGTTCCTGACTTTGCACCTACTTAACCTCTCCACCACGCTTACTCCTGCCAAGTCTGTCAACCGCTACCAGTCTCAATCCACCATCGACACCTTCAGCACTCTGGGTGACTCGATTACGGGTGCTCGTAAGGTCGACATAACTTCCCCTGTCATCTCAGAAGTTCTTTCTCGCCTCGCTGTTGTGGACCAGATCGTGGACGCGAACACAAACATCACCTCTAACGTTGATCTCCTTGTCAAAATCTCGCCCCCACTCTACGTCAGAGTTGTACCTGCTGTCGCCCGTATTCGCCCTCGTGCACTTTTCAGGTCTAGTGAAATGATCGAGAACTTCATGTCCGGTTGGACTAGGCTCGTCGGTGATCCAGTCCTGTCCAAATGGATTGTCTTGGTTCTTGCAGCCAGCGTTGCTCTCAATGGTTACCTTCTAAGGGGTATTGCGGAAGGTGGTTTGCGAAGCTTCCAGCCTCAGAGTGTTAGGTTCTTGTCTGTTGGAGGTGATAGGAGGACTCGCGACACTGAGGACAAAGTCCTTTCGCCTCTTTCTGCCGATTCCGTCCCCCCTGCTTCTGCGGCTCCATGGAAGAAACCTTCTTTTGCTGTTGGAGACGACGAGCCTAAACCTCGTACTCCTGCGCCAACGAAAGATCTGTCGTTCGTCCCTTCTCCTGTTACTGCCCGACCCATGGTAGCGCCCATAGCTATCCCTGCCACCGGTGTTCCTCCCTTCATGCTCGATATGAAGTTGCGTGCACAGTCTGCTGTTGCAGCATTGAGAGAGCCCAAAGGCGACATTACCATTCGATCGCTCGAAGAGTGCCTTGACATCTTCGATAATGGACCAAGACCACTTTCTGTGTCGTTGTCTATGTTGAACGACGAGGAGATTATCATGTTGGCGCAGAATGGCAAGATCGCAGCGTATGCGCTTGAGAAGGTATTAGGTGATCTCGAACGTGCCGTCGCGATCCGGAGATCGCTGATATGTGAGTGTCACGAGAACAGACGAAATAGCTTCGTTACTGATGTCATGATTCACCAGCTCGTTCGACGGAAACGAAGACTTTGGAGTACTCTGATGTCCCTATGACCAATTACGATTACTCGCGAGTCTACGGAGCATGCTGCGAGAACGTTGTCGGATACATCCCTATTCCTCTCGGTATCGCTGGACCTCTTAACATCGATGGTCAACAAGTCCACATTCCCATGGCCACGGCTGAAGGTACACTTGTAGCTTCGACGTCTCGTGGTTGCAAGGCATTGAACTCGGGAGGAGGCGTAACGACTGTGATCACAGGGGACGGCATGACTCGTGGTCCTGCCATCGACTTCCCCTCTATCTCCTTGGCTGCCGAGGCCAAGGCCTGGGTTGACTCTGAGGAAGGTTACGCCATTATCAGAGAGGCTTTCGAGTCGACGTCACGTTTTGCCAAGCTGCAGAGATTGAAGACTGCTATGGCTGGTCGGACGTTGTTCGTGCGATTTGCTACGACGACAGGTGACGCAATGGGCATGAACATGATCTCAAAGGGAACGGAGAAGGCACTGGAAGTTATGCAGAAGCATTTCCCAGACATGATTACGCTTGCATTGTCGGGCAACTATTGCACAGACAAGAAACCTGCGGCCATTAACTGGATTGAAGGACGTGGAAAGAGCGTTGTCGCTGAAGCCGTTATTCCTGGAAAGGTTGTCAAGAGCGTGCTCAAGACCACCGTAGAGGCGCTTTGCAACCTGAACATCAAGAAGAACTTGGTGGGCAGCGCCATGGCTGGCTCGATTGGTGGCTTCAACGCACATGCTGCAAACATCCTGACCGCTGTCTTTTTGGCTACTGGCCAGGATCCTGCCCAGAATGTTGAAAGTTCAAACTGTATGACTCTCATGGAGCCGTAAGTTTTCCGTAGTATCATGATTCGCTGGCATTTACTGAATATGTCTGTCATTGCAGAACAAATGACGGTGAAGATCTCCTTATGACGGTGTCGATGCCGTCCATTGAAGTCGGCACGGTCGGAGGAGGCACGGTCCTTGCACCTCAAGGAGCTATCCTCGAAATGCTCGGGATCAAAGGCGCGCACTCCACCACCCCCGGTCAGAATTCTCAGCGTCTCGCTCGTATCATTGCCGCCTCCGTTATGGCTGGCGAGCTTTCCCTCATGAGCGCTCTGGCTGCCGGACATCTCGTGCGCGCACACTTGGTCCACAACCGATCGCAAACCAACACTCCCAATTCCTCACGGCCTGTGACACCAGGCTGGGAACAACAGGAAAAAGACAAGAGCCTTGGAATACCATCACGCAGTCTCACGCCATGTTCGTCGACGTCTTCGTTGCCTCCATATTCGGTGGATCCGAAGACGTGAGAATACCCTTCACAGTTTTCGCATTTCTTCGCATCGCCATTTTGTTATATATTGTCATATATATGCATTGCTGCTACAAAGTACCTTAATTCTCTGTTTTTACTTTTTTCTTTCAATCTGGAGTACAATCTGGCGTGCGAAGACGCTAATCATCATACTTGCATACTGCCTTTGGGCACGCTGCTGCACTTGCACATAACATTTTTTTTTTTGACTTCATTCGTTCGTTCCTAACACATTCGCAATTTGTATTTTCTTACTCAAATTGTCCTTGGATCTGACTTTCATTCGCGCGGGATGGATCTGGAACGATGAATAGTATTGGGGAGTTGTATATTTATTGTAGCAAAGAAGTTTATACATTCATTTAACACTCATGATCTAAGCTATCGTCCATAGTATGAGCTGGACGTCGGTATGTTTCCAAGTGTGAGATAGGCATTGACAAGATAGTCTGATTTAGAAGTGGAGAATTGCGTGAGCTGGGTTTTGTTGAAATGAAATGATAACAGCCATGGCTCCGACTCGTAACAGAATAGGTTGAATGAACTGAGGTTTGCGGAAACTTGTATTGGTGCAGTATTATATTATATGCATTAGAGAGATGTCATTATTGACCAGCTCAAACATCATATCTAATTTTGCATCTTCTAAATCTTTCTAGCTTTTCCACAGCAGATGATAAAAGAGGTGAACATTATATCGAATTTGTGTTTAGCTAGATGGTATAGGTTTCCCTGGTTGATATTACAACCAAACCTCGATGGGAAACGAACAGTCTCGACTCGTTCCGTAGGCAACAAATGGGAAGGGCGGGAGTTTGCTGTAGGCTCAAAGGTCGAATCCTTCGACATGAACAAGATCCATCGCTTCCTTCACCACCCAAGCGCCGACCCGCGCCCAACGCGCATCTCGACGGCGAAGGTATATTGCCACTTCCTCGCTGCTTGGTTCTTTACCACTACCCCGCCCCCGGGGATGAGCCTGCATAGCTTGTAGCGCATGGCGTACATGTGCGGCGAGTAAAGCAGGGGTCAGTGGCACATATGATTCTTCGTTCTCCTCTGGGTCCGACAACTGAGCGTCTTCCTCGTCTTCATCTAACGCAAGTACAGAGGATGACGAAGTAGATGATACCGAAAACATGGTGCTATTTGCTGTTTTCCACAGTGCGCTGGTCTCGCCCTGACAGTCCTGTGAATCTGAGAGGCCAGTGGGAGCTTTTCGAACAGGCCCGTCCCAGAGTATAATGCTACCCTCCTCATAGAGCTTGACAAGTGCCCATCCGAAAAGACGCTTCATCTTTAAACGTGAAGGTTCATTCTGTTTCGGCTTTGCATGCGATGATGTGCGGGAGTGACTTGATGCTGTCGGGCGCGTCATCTTCTCCTCCCGTTCAGCACGAAGCCGTCTCTTGGCTTCTGCGCGTACAACACGTGATGCAAGCAATGCTAACTCAGGTACACGCCGGAGGTAAGAGAGCGTGAAGCCGTAAGTGTGTGAGGATGGGTCAGTGTCTTTTTGTCTCCGTGAGGTATGAATACGGGAGTGCTGAGGTATGGAAATGGAAGGCGATTGCACAGGGGGTCGAGGCGTACTAATCGCGCAATTGTTATGTTTCGGACGGGGAGTCTCCAGTGACTGCCCGTGGAAGGTATGAGATAATCTGCGTTTGGTGGGTGTGGCCTGAAACACGTCTTCTTCGCTTGCACGATCATCCAAGTTTTCAGTCACATTATCTTGCAGCTCCGATGGGGCATTATCCATGTAATGTTTAAGATAAAAACGGAACGTAATTTCAGTAAGGTCGCGAGAGTGTAAGCGTGAGGGGTGGCGCAACTTAGGAGCAGACTGGAAACGCTAAATAAAGTCACGGATATCAGTATAGATAGACGTATGTTTACGTGCGAGGAGTTCATGGGGCTTACTGATGGTTTAGTAGGACTAGAGGCTACAGAAGACGATATAGATTCCGCTGTGCTGCTTCCTGTAGGCGAAGATGGCGCGGGAAACCTGGAATTGGGCGATGCTATGTGGTTTGAAGGAGGAATTGGCTGAGCATATGCACGGGGTGGGGAGCGAGATGGGAAAGCAGGAATAATAAAAGGATCTTTCAAAGAATATGATGTTTCATGTAAAACCTTGACATGATCCCAATGAAAAAGCTCGAGATTTGGGCCACAAGGTTCTACGAGGATCAAATTTCAACAAAGAAAGCTTATAAGCCAAGAGCAGTTATGATAAAATGAAGTAACTCAGACCTAGAGTGTCTGCCATAATCTGTCTGGTTTCAAAACGCCTCATAAGTTTTCCAGCCACCCTGACAGCGTATCCGATCTCCGTCACAGGTGGAGGTGGAGGTGGGGGATGAGATTCGGGATCTTTCTGAGCTACCACCGGTGCAAGGCGTGAAGTATTTATATTGTTTTTGTTACTTTGGGGGGCAACAGTTTGACGAGTTGGATGCCGAAGGACACAATCAATTACTCCGGTCCCGTCGTCCACTATTTGAGGATGAGACATATGCACAACGTCTTATTTGGTGGACAGACAAACCCGAATAGACTGTACGTTTCTCGTATACTTGTATCCCAACGACTACTCCAACAATAAGCACCGAACGACAAGGGACGCGTCCAAGCCAAAAGAAGTCTGCATCTGCGTATGTTTAATGCCACATAGGGTGAGGTCGCAATACGAAGAGCGTTGACTGTAAATGTGCTGATTAAATCACAAACGTTGGACAATGTACCTGCCTTTGAGGCCGCTCTCCTTCATGGCAAGTGCGTCCCTCACGAAGCACGGTGCAAGGGCTTCTTTTGTAAGCGTCCACTTCCATGCAGTTTGCAGCGATTTAGGCGATTTTGCGATAGAATTGTCCATATCAATTGGTATGGAATAACGAATGCAAGGTGGCCGAAAGCTCCTAAATTGAAACTCTGGTTACAATACGCTGCTATTTCCAAGGCCCTGCGACAAGACTCAAACTGTAAAAACCATCCGAATAAAAAGTATGTAAAGCAGCAAGTTATCTGACAGACTTGACGGTTTATGCAAAACTTCAAGCTTCAAGCTTCAAGAACTAGTAGTGTCTTGAAAAGTGGCACAGCTCGAAAGACATACTAGTGCAACCACCACGGTATAGACTCCGCCCGGGAGTGCCCATTGTCAATCCGGTTTCCTGATAAGGCTAATTGCTTGGTGGTTGATTAGTTTCCAAGCTTTGTCAACACTGTACGATGATACACGACACAGGCTTGATAAAGTTGCTCAAAGATACTTAGTACTGCCATACATTCTAGCTGGTATTAACCGCGGCTGTATCAATGTCTAATGCAAGTGTTTTCTCCGCAGAATCATACTTTATACAACGCAACCCCCACCGCGTTCATATTGAAGCAGGCCGAGCAAGGAAGGAATGTGGTTTTGGTGACAGTAAGCAGGGTATCTATCTACGTATCCAATATTTCAGAATAAAGATTTGTTAATTGCCATAGAGTGGTTGAACGGCCGTTCCTTTAGGGCTCAACGTGTGAGCGGGTCACACGCTTCACTTCAGCGAAGTTATGCAGCCTGCTCATTTTTTTTTTGCCGCGTTTCTTTTCAGTATCGCTACCGTTGTCCTTGCTGCAGACCATAATATTGACCGTGTTTATTGCTACTCTCGGGAATTAGAGGAGCAACTTCAGTGAAATACTTTCTGAAAGCCGGATATGCAGTTATATTATGCATCGCCACTTCAGTCTGCAACCATTTAGCAGGCACTGTTTGTATTCTACAAATACATTCCTCGAATCCCTCGAGATTAACTCGGCCTCATCACAGAACGCAACTCCCGAAATCAATGTTACGCCTTCAAAGTGTCCGGACCTCCTCCAAGTTTCTTACAGCTTGCAAAGCTGTACACACAGAAGGCACACTACACACGCTAACATTTTTCACCGTAAATGATTATCTGTGGCTCCTACGTGCGGTTATCCAGGAAATGTCGACACCGTTATGGTCACCAAGTAGTCATCGGTAACGACCTCCACCACAGAAAGTATTGCGTCGTTCTTGTTTATCCCTCATCTCCGTCTCCTACCGACACCGCGTCTTTTGAACATAAACGGTATCCTGGCCGATACCGCCGCCGCTCAGTACACTGAGTCATGGATAGAAATCGAGCCGTCTTTGGCAGCCAGCGGGACCAAAGAGATCGAAGAGAACATCACCTCCGAATTGCTCAGATGTCACCAGAGTTGGGTTGCAGCTGCGCCTTCGGGCTCAGTAGTTTTTTCTTCTTGTGTGTGGTAATACGAAGAGAAGATCTAATCATAAACTGAGCAGTCTATCTGTCATGCGTGATAAAATCATTGAATGAAAGTAAAATAAAAAGTGTACTAAAGGCTATACGGGCTCAATACCACCTACTGATAACAAGAATACTTAGCTTTAAGTGCATAACAAGATGTCATGGTTTGATGAGCCAAATGAAAGGTCATGTTGAAAAAAGATGTAATTTTGAATTCAAGTACGACAGTCTCAGAAAGAACAACAAACTCCAAATTAGAAAGTTAGAAAGTGAAAATAAGTGAAAACCATATGACGTGAGAGATGTGATAAGTGCGACACTACGAGTCAGCTCAACCGTACTCCCCTCCCCACTACTACAACGACCCAAAAGTAAACCACCGCTCCGCAGAACATTTCCACTCCTTAAAGGTTGACATTGATAGGGTTGCACTGGACGCCGAGACCATCTGATAACGCCGCATAAGATTCAAATAGACATTGCGTATAAGAAACACCTTACTTGTATAGGTATTGTCGCAGCAGGCGGGGTTAGCGTTGCTAGAAAAATTAAACCTTTGTGAGCACGATGTATGCCTATTAGCACTGTAAAAGAACCAACCAAGACGAGCCGCTGCCAGCACCAATACCAGTGATAGGGTTGCAGTTGATCCCGACGGGAACATTGGCACCAACGCCGCTCAAGCCCAATTGTTGAATGAGACCCGCAGCTTGGGAGTTGCTAGCGGTGGTGAGGGTGTTGCAGCATTGGACAGGGCCGGCGTTGCATTGGCTGGAGCCAGCGGCAACAACAGCAGCAAGAGCGGTGAAAACGAAAACAACTTTGGTGAACATGATTTCTGAGGAAAGATATAAGCTGGTGCTTTGGTTTGATGAAAGGGATGGAATGTGGTTTGGTTGAGGACTAGAGAGGGAGAACTGACTTGGCTTTAATAGATTTTCGAGGCTGGATTATCGGCTCGAGGTTGAGGTGGTCACGCTCAGAAAACGCTACGGTGGAACCATATTCGCGTCGGCCACATCAACAGAAAACGGGACTAGAAGGCGTGGTGGGGATCTCGCCGTTGAGAGACCTCGCCTGTTGGAACAAAAGGCGGCCTTGGAACATGGCTGAGACATAACGTACAACAGAAAAACGTATGATTTTTTTCCTTCCCATGAAATCGACATCTTTAGCGGCGAATCGTTTCGCCTTACCAAGAGGTAAGTAAGCATTCGTCGTTCAATGATTTGACGAAATCCTATGGCATGTAAATATTAGTCGTAAACTTGAAAATTCATTGATTTCATTAAGAACAACTCTTACCTGAGATGTCGCATCAATATCATGTTCTTCGCAACGTTCATGACATGCAGTGACAGATCATACTAGTGGATGCTGGCGTTAGCGGTTTCAGACTCATAAAAGAGTATGATTCTTAGAACCAGCCCAGCCATGGTTTCACTTGGGACATCGAAGGAATGCGGTGGTTCTGTTCGTCTGAGAGCTCGGTAGAAAAACAAAATATCCGATACGGTTTCAATCAACACACACTGGCAAGACTCATGGTATGCCATGGCAGTGACTGCGAAGGTGGTAGTGCGCACGTGGTGCTGTTTACCCATGTTTACCAAGGGCGTCTAACGAATGGACTCGCTTGATGCCGTAAAGTGTGGAACCTTAAATTTGGTACTGCACAGATCAACAAGCTCGGCGATTTCCGTGTAAGGAAATATACTGTACATCGTCGCGACCTCAAGACTAGCTTACGCCGACGCCGACAACAAAATGGTTAACATTCCCAAGTGCGTGTACATGCTGTTATCATGCACAACCAGTTTCTGACCGATTCTAAAACTACAGGACTCGCCGGACTTGTAAGTGGTGAACCGTTGAAATAAATATCTTCAAGATAAGAACCATTTCTCACAGACTGCAAGGGCAAGACCTGCAAGAAGCACACGTATGTTTCTTTGCGTGCAGTCGAATCTTTTTCTATATGCTAAAAACACAACCAGTCCCCACAAGGTGACCCAATACAAGAAGGGCAAAGATTCATTATTCGCCCAGGGAAAGCGTCGTTATGATCGCAAGCAATCAGGGTATGGTGGTCAGACCAAGCCTGTCTTCCACAAGAAGGTAAGCTCTTCCGGTTTCTCACAGAGCTTTTGCTTACTTCTATCTGGCTATCTAGGCAAAGACGACCAAGAAGGTCGTACTGCGGTTGGAGTGCACAGTGTGTAAATACAAGATGCAACTTTCTTTGAAGCGTTGCAAGCAGTAAGTGATTTAGTGTTGTCTCTGCGTATTCTTGCTAAGGTGCTCTGTAGCTTCGAGTTGGGTGGTGAGAAAAAGACCAAGGGTGCCGCCCTTACCTTCGTACGTTATCCACTTGCTTATGCTGTCGTGTTACTAATGTTATCTTGTCCATCAAGTGATCGTCTCAGAGTCGTTGTTTTTGTTTTTTTATACACTGCCATATCTACCAAGCCACTATGACATGCAATAAACCCTATGCATCTCATGACTTACTTTGACCGATGTGACGCTCAGCTCAAGGTTTCTTTGAACTCCATTGATCATAGTGTGTTGTTGTTTGGTGCTATCAAGACTATCAGTTATTCCAGGATCTCATTTTTGAGCCCGTCTCTAATGTTGTCCAAGGTGGCAATGAAATTTGACAGAAACACTTTGGTGGGACAACGTGCATCTATCTATAAAACTTCTCAAATATGTAGGAAGCTTAGACTTGAACGAAGTGTTGAATTTCTTTTCATTTATTACAGTCTCCTGGAGAAAATGTGAGATACCAATGTGAGATACCAATGTGAGTAGTTGTGGAACCAGGGAAGCATATTGTAGTGTTGACAGTGGTCCTGAAGGTATACATGTAATATGTAGGAGGTGCCAGGGCATAACGAACCAAGACGATAAAAATCATGCCCTGAGAGACCGCGGAAGATCTTATTAATTTCATTTATTGAGCCCAAGGTATGCCCCTTCGCCTTTTTATACCTGCTCTGGCTCCCGTCCCAGTATCAGATGACGAAAACCCGTCTACACCGTATCCATAGCCGTCTCCTTCATCGTCGTCTTCGCCTACTATCCATCTTCGTCCCCTTCCAGTCCCCCACGATCGATTTCTCCATTCCTCATCTTCACCTCCGTCCGTTGTGTCCCCTGCTGTCCATCGAGTCTGCATGGACTTTTTGCGCGTAAGCCCAAGAAGACTCCCAGTAGCACCATTCGATTTCTGAAGGTGTTTCCTTAGGCTCCTAATCGAGTGCTGTCGCCTGGCAGGAACGAGAAGGCGTTCTAGATTTAGCTCCCCGTCGTCGTCATCGTCATCATCGTCGTTTTCATCCGAGGAAGCGGCTTGTTTGTCGTTACTTTGTTCAGTATCAATCCCCCAGCCGCTCAGATGCCTAGTTCGTGGACTCCATTCATCATTTTCCGCCTTTGTCCGTGCCAATGAGGGCACCCCATCGGCTTCCCTTTTCTTCCCTTTGACCTTCACACTGCGGCTGGGGAGTTTTCCTCTGGTGCTCCCTTTTATCACACGCCTGCTCCCAGGAGAACCATGGTCTCCGTTTCTCGACCTGGACCCGGCCCTTGATGCAGGAGCAGATCGACACATCACCATGGTGCAGCTGACCTTCCCCTCACTAGTTCTACCCCGCCGATCCACCTGTGCACACAGAAACGGTGCTTTCACCTTCGCTGATGCGCCTTCACCGACAAGCTTTGGCAAGTTAGTATGGTCCGAGAGCGCAGCACCTGCATTTCTCGCAGGGGACCGCATAGTTAAGTCATGACTGGCGTTTGTATCTGGACCTCCGATGTGGGCACCCGCTCCACCGAACAAAATCGATCTGGCAACATTTTCGAGCCAATTTCGTGGCATCGGTGGCTCCATCTGATCCTGGTGTTCGCTATGATGATGGCTTTTATGGGAATCTCCTCGCTCTTGGATTTCGTCTATGTCACTTGCATTCAGTACGACAGTCTTACGCGATAATCGCCCCGTATCTTTTTGACCTTTACGATAGTTCGTGGATAGGTGACGTTTCGACGAAGGGTTGATATTTGGCGCTGAAGCCATGTGTCTGAGATAAGCACCTGCCCGGGATGGACGCAAAGAAGTATCAGGTAGCAGGTAGTTAGACGACGAAGAGTGGGTACGGAGGTGTTGACGTAAATGAGATTGTGAGTGGTGAGGGAGTCCTCTTGGTGAATGTTGAGAGTGAGGGCCTAGGCGTGACGGAGTGGTAGGCCTTGAAGGAACCGGCGGATGAACGGTAAGGGTAAGATTAGATCGTGAACCTCGGGAATATCTTTGGAGGCTTTCCGTAGATGTATTATACGAATACATGGACAAGGCCGCAGGGGAGTGTATATTCAAATGCCTGCCGTTATGTAGCGGTGAAAGCGGTGATGGGGGAGGTGACCAATCTTGTGCATCTCGAGCTTGTGAAGGGGGCGATATTGCTTCCCGTGCGAGACTGGTATTCCTGCTCACAAGACCTGCTATGAATCCTACAACAGCACCTACACCACCTCTCACGGTGCCGCTTGCACCGCGTTCCCGGTTGGCACACTCAGATTCTAGGCGTTCAGCCTCTGGAGTGAATACGCGCGTTTCTTTATATCCAGCTTCACGCAGTAGATCCTCCAATCGTTCGTATGTCTTTGATGTGCCTCGACGATGTAGAGGAACGCGCCCGAGAGATGAGGGATAACGGGAGGCTGAACGGCCTCTCGGAGGAGTCGAGGGTGGTGTTGTGTTGCTTGTATTAGTTGTCTGTGTGTGACTAGATATGGAGGTGGGCGGAGGCGATGATGAATCGGATGCGTCTCCCAGTGGATTGAATGTTTCACATTCGCTTGTCTACACAGACGTGAAAAAGGAGCAAGAACAAGAAAGAAAGAAAGGAACGCACCCTTTGCTCTTCATTCATCACGTCCTCCAGGTTCATAACTGTTCGTGCCGAAGACATGACAACCGTCCAAACTCCCTAGATGCCCCCTCTAATATGTGAAGGCCAGTGGCTTTGGGGATATCCCCCGGCTTCGTTCGAGGTTTGTATTGATCCTATAGTGGTGTATAGAATGAACGCTACGGATAATATAGTTGATCCCAAAGGTTGTCAAGAAGCAAAATGAGCAGCAAGAATGGAATAAAGGTGGAAAATGGTGATACACGAATGGCGGGGTGTTGCTGAGAAATGAAGACCGGAGTGAGACTCTGTATAGTAACTTAAGGCGTGAGCAAAGCTGACCATGATCCCACCCCTTACAGCAGTCTGCCCGGCATCAAATCTAATATGCAACGCATGCATGAGGCATAAACAGCCTTTTTTGCATATCCCAAAAAAAAAGAACGGAATGCTGTATTGTCTACAACATTGCCCTTCATAGGTAGCTGAACAAAAATGACCCAAAAAAACCATAGCCTCCCCTTCGAACACTCAAAACGATCATATTATCCTATTGTACCGCACAAATAAAAGTCACTTGGGACAAGTCCGAAGGCAGTGGTCACTGATGTTGTCTCCACTAGCCAATTCAGCAGCAACTGTCGCAGCTTGCTGATGCGGTCTAACCCTAAGAATACCTTACTTCCTCAGGATGGGTAAGCATCGGCGTCAATAAATCTGATGCTGATGGGCACCATAAACCGAGCTCAAAGAAAAAATTGAATATTAGCAACAGCATTACAAGCTATGGCGAAACGCTGTTTAACCAATGACTTCTAGCTTATCCTTATCTCCATCCGCAGCATCGGCTGCGATGCACTCCCTTCGCAGTGTAGCAAGTTCCTCTGGGCTCCTGAACACAGTGGATCGCTCATATTTGGCAGCACATGCAGAGCGGAATTCTTCAGCGCGAGACGACTTTATCTCTTCCAAGAAAGACATGATAGCCAGTAAACTCTATAAGCAGCCACATTCGTATTCAGCATTCCTGTGCATCAAGCCAGTTGGACTCGTTCTTACCTTGATGTCGAGGTTCACTTCCGCATTCAAGGCAGTGAATAACAAAGATTCTATTTCCGGCTGAGGTGAGATCAGCTTGTAAGAGACCTTGGCACAGGCGAGGATAGCCTGTGCCGAGTTCGAGTGCCGTTGAAGATATTGTGAGTTGTATGTTTCAAGGGTGACTTCTTCTGGGATGATTGATGACAGGAAATCCGTCAACACAGGTCCTACGGGTGCGGATATCGGTGGTTGAAGCGAAATCACTAAATTATGAAAAGATAGCCCAAATTCAGACAACAAATTATGGTAGTTGCATGAACCGAACCTAGCCTGCGGAATTCTATTGCACGGATATGTAGCTCTGGATGTTCGGCATCAATCGAGTGAGCAAGTTTTAGTGATTTGATGGCCTGAAGGAATTTTTCTGCGAATATTCAGAGGAACTCGCGTATAGACCAAGGATGCTTGCTCACTTCGCCGTAGTGCAACATCGAAAATAGCTAATGCAACATCAACATTGCGGGTGGAAAGAATCGTTAAAGGAGCGAGCAGTTTTGCGGCTCTTTCCAGAGGGTCAGTTGCTGAGATAAGCTTAATACCTTCTGAATCCTCGTCTTTGGCAGGTGGAGGTTCCAAGCCCTTATCCTCGTTTGACGCGGTTGCGTTTGCTAAAGAGGAATAAACATATAAGCAGGAAGGGATACCACATCAGGCTAACCCTTTTTGGAGTCTTCTTGCGTTTTCTGAGCTTTTTTGGCTTTCCTCTTGGCCTTTTTCTCTGACTCTGACAGAGAGCCTGTTAAATGTGGAGCGATCAACTTATGCTGATATGACAAGGTTAATAGCAGAAGCTACCTGTTGATGTACTGTTCGAAGCAAGTGTGGGATCATCATAGACTGCCACCCATATCTATATGATGAACACAATCCATCAGTTCTGACGCCAGAGAGTAGCAGCACTGAAGACTAACTCGAGAAGCCGATACGACAGCATGAATATAAGTAGGATGTAATCGAAGCTGATCCTCCCATTTGATGAGACTGTCACGTGTTATAAGCCATTAGTATACAAATAAATATTAATTCTTACTCAAGGTAGACGTTGAGGGTGAATTTTCTCATTGAATATCCATGGAAGTCAAATTGATCATCTTCCATCTCATCAAATACCTAAATCTGCGTGAGTCTTCGATACACCTACCGATGACTAAATTCTACGAACCTTGTTCACAGCGTAGTATTTTTTCAATGCCAAGTTCAATCTTCCGCTGCGATAGTGAGAATCACCCTCCTCAGTTAAATAAAGGAGAGACTGCATATCCTCTAGGTCTGCACCTGGACTTGATGCATCTTTCTGGTGAAGAGTATTAATCACCGACTAAATGAAGACACCTATAGGTTATTTTCAGAGTGCTCACCTTGGTGAAGAGACCCAAAATCTCGTTAGCTTCTTCCACTAAACCAGCTCGTAGCCTGTACTTTGCGCATTTCGTGTTCAAGAACCGATCTTGGCCATCAAGGAGCCGGGCATCATTGAGATAAACCGATGCACCGATGTAGTCACCAGTGCGTTTGAGGGCGCGAGCCTTACACAAGTATAATTCAGGAAGACTCGGTGTGTGGGCAATGGCAGTGTCGAGCATTGAGATAGCAACGGGATACCTTGAAAGAAATGAGTGGTGTTGCGCCAAGAAGTAGAGCGCCCAAATATATGTAGTTGGTGGTTCGGACGTGGACGATAAAGGCTCAGCAGCGAGCCGCTCGCGCAGTCCCTCAACAACACTTTCTATGACGTGCTGCTTCTCAGAGTCTCGATACAGCGACTTAACATCCACGAAAAGAGATGGGATACCCTTAGATAGGGCATTTAGTAGATAAGGTTCCACGATATCTTTGAACTCGTCTCCTACAAAGTCCAGTGAATTCACAGTTTAACTTCCATAAGAGAATTAGTCGTACCAGTAGCAATGTTCAGAGCCAATCTCCGAGGCGCAGTTGCTCGAGGAATCTGGTCTGAGAAAGTAATGAGAATGTCCAAAGCTTGTCTACGATTCTCGTCTGTGATAGTATCTGTAGATGTGCAGAATATGACTTTTTCTGCGCATTAATGAAGATGTATCGAACATACCCAATTCTATGCCTTGATTAGATAAGAAACCTCTATAATACTCGTAGCAATCTGGATTCTGTTCAATAAGGGCTCGCCACGCATTTTCTGCTTCTTCGTTGGAATTGGATTTTGAGAGGATGCGTGCTGCAGATATTTACAGTAAGTACTGTATCACATGGTTCTCAAGGAGATGCGAGCTGGGATAGACTGACCTCGGTATTCCATGATAGAAGTGCGATCAACAATTGCCCTCGATTTAGCACTGACATCTAGGAGCGAAAGTGCTTGGGAGAAATCGCCTAAATCTTCTAGCACGCGAATATGATATAGCAACATTTCGGAATGTTCGACGTCATAATCTGGTATGTTCTGCAGGACGTTCAGTGATAAAATTCTAAATCACGAAATAAGCTTGACAGTGACCTTCAGCATAGTCTCATAATTCTCAAGAATTTTCTTGGCTATAGGAAGATCCCCATTCAGATGGTGAGCGACTGCTAGTGCTACCCAGTTTTGTCGTAACTGTGGACGGATTTTGAGAAGGGTGTGTCGAGTATCGACTAAGCCGTCATAGATTCGCAGTTGTGTTTGAAGATGAGCTGTGTCTCGTAATATGTTGAGATTTTCCTAGCCCAATGCCAAAGGTTTCCATGTAAACCAATGATCGATGAATTTCCAAGTGACCTACGCACTTTATCAAACCGTAGGGCCTGCGTATACGACTTTAGAGCCTCCTCATAGTTTTTCTCGCCTTTTTGTATCAGTCCAAAGACATGCCAACATATATGAGAAGTGAGATCGAGTCGAATGCCTTTCTTCACCAGCTCGAGTCCCTCTTCTCGTTTACCCAGGTGTGTCAATATCAGTCCCTTCATACATATCGTTTCTGCGGGGAGACATGAGGTCATAGAATAGGGTTTCAAACAAAACATTCAAACCGCCATGCTCTGGAAACTTTTTGAGGATTTGATCCGCTGCTTTTTGACCTTTCTTGAGCTGCCTTGTTTCATACAGCGTCAGCAGTTCTCTGAAGACTGTTGCCTCCTTCGATGGCAGATTCCTCTTGTTGGCTGGTAGAGGCATATTTGTGTTGTTGCCGTGACAGCTTTTATCGCCAAAGCGGACAAATGGGACGTATAAGTAAAGTCTATGTAGACAGTTGAGGATGAGCGCGACAGCCTCAGGCTGTAAACTTGTAGTTTGCCCGGTGTTTTCCCTGCAGGGGAATGATTATGTAACCCTGTGAAAGCGCGATGGGACAACAAAGAACAAACAACGCGGGCACGCGCTCCTCATCGTTTGCAACGACGAGCACGACCACCGCTATGGTGACCCAGACACGAACTGGCAGCAATGCCTCTAAAAAGAAACTCGCCTTCAACGAGAAAATCGTTGCCAAAGGCCTTACGACCGATGCCCTCCTAAAAAAGCTCAAGGCCCTCCACACAGAACTCGCCGAAATGGACCAGGAGCTTATAGATGTCAATTCCTTGGGCATGGCGCGCTCCCAGCTCATCAACACGTCTATACTTCTACACAAAGATAGAGGTGTCAAAGCTTACACTGCTTGTTGTCTGGCCGACATCCTTAGGCTTTACGCTCCCGATGCCCCGTACACTCACACGGAACTCCGAGATATCTTCCAGTTCTTCTTCAGACAACTGTCTGCCGGCCTCAAAGGAGGCGCAGACTCATCATATTATAACGAATATTTTCACCTCCTCGAATCTTTATCCACCGTTAAAAGCGTCGTCCTGGTTTGCGATCTCCCTCATTCTGACGAGTTAATGGTTGATATATTCCGGGAAATCTTTGGCTTGATTCGCCGCGATCTTGCAAAAAAGATGGAGATTTTTCTGGCCGATATTCTCGTCGCGATAATAGATGAGTGTCATTCGCTGCCACAAGAAGTTCTAGAAACCATAATGGCTCAGTTTATGGACAAAAACGCTGTGAGCCCCTTATGCTCCATATTCTTCCAATTTCATGTTTACATTACCTTGAAAAGCGCATGGATCAACCTGCATATCGGCTTGCTGTACAAATATGTAATGCCACAGCTGACAAACTGCAACGGCATGTTTGTCAGTACTTCACCGACATCATAGTGGCACACTCCCGTGATGAGGAGTTTGGAGAAATACAGACAGCTCATGATCTGGTCAAACAGCTCAGCCGTTCCTGTCCTGCATTACTACATAGTGTGATACCTCAGCTTGAGGAAGAGTTACGGGTTGAAGAGATGCAGGTAAGGCTCATCGCAACTCAAGTCCTCGGCGAAATGTTCTCGGAAAAGGGAGGAGCCGACCTTGTGAAGAAGTATCCTTCTACCTGGAATGTATGGCTCATGCGCAAGATTGATAAATCCCCTGTTGTTCGACTGAAGCTTGTCGAAAGCGCCAAAGGTCTTCTGGTGCACCTTCCAGACGTACGTGAAGTGACTGAAGGTGAGTCTCTATCTTACGATGTTATAAAGTACCATTAATGTTCATATCTTGTAATGAACATCGCAGAAATGCTGCGAACAAAGCTCCTGGACCCTGACGAGAAAGTTCGGGCAGCTGTTTGCAAAGTGTATTCTCAACTTGACTACGAAACAGCGTTACATCACGTGTCTGAAATGCAGCTACGGTCTGTTGCTGGTCGAGGATTAGACAAAAAGGTAAAGCAGGTTTCTCTTGATATCGTGTTCCTTAGGCTGATCGATTCCCCAGCACTCTGTTCGTGTTGAGGCTCTTAATAGTATCGGTAAACTATATAGCCTAGCGTATCCTGAAATGTGAGAGCGGTATTGTCTATTCTACTATAGCTGACTTCGATATCTTCTCTAGTGAAAATGGCGATCCTGCAGCAATTCAGCAATTCTCCTGGATCCCCAATGAGGTTCTACATTCATTGAGTGCTCCTGAGGCAAAGTGTGACATCATTACATCATCTAGTGGACTATGTATTTATAATCATCTTTAGGGTCGTCGCTGAACAGGTCGCAGCCGATTTCATATTTCCAATACCGTCAATATCGCCCTCAGCATCAAAGAACCTAGAATTCGACGAAGCTACTTGGACCGATAAGTTGTTGAATACGATGAATTTCCTCGACGAGAAAGCTATACATGTAGCACTCAACTCTAGCGGCATTAAAAGCAGGTGGGTTAGCTGCGTATGTTTTTCCAAATATTTTAATGCCTATGTATATATCAATGTCCTACAGCCGACCCACTGTATACGAAGTTTATGTGCAATGCTGCGTGCAAAACAATGTATGTCTCGAATCCTGTATTTTGGATTGTCATCACCGCATTAATCTCCAGCACAGGGGGGTGTCATTGACGAAAATGAGGAATATATCAAGCAAAGACTAAGCAATATCATACGACATATCTCCCGTGCGCTCATTCACTACATCAGTTGATCTCAGGAGCTAAGTTTTTTTGTTGTAGGTACGTATCCCGATAACCAAAAGGCATCCGAAGATCTGCAGACATTCGCAGATTTGAACGAAGGGAGATTATACAAGCTGTTGAAGACATGTATGGACACACAAACTGACCTCAAAAGTTTGGCCAAAGCATCTGTGAGTGCCCCTATGATCCATGGAACTCGTGCGCATGGATTGAGTGTGAAATGGTCAACAGAATGAGTTTCTTCGTCGCATGGAACAATCTTCTTCAAGTATCTTGTCAACCATGACTGTATTTCTTCGCAGGGCCACTCTGCGCATTGTCAACCAATCATCGATTCCGACACTTATCAAACGTATACAGAAGTCTGGCGATAGCAATGCAAAGAATCAGTCGTCAGGGAAGCATGCTCAGACCCTGCTGACATATGTGTCAAAACATTGTCCTACACTTTACAAACCCCACGTAAGCGAATTAACGAAATCGATCGCTGATGAAAAGAACCCGAAACTCGTGGAAGTGAGCCTTCATGCATTAGCCTCCTTAGTAGCATCGGACAACACGCTATCGGTACTGGACAGGTTTGTATATCGCGATTTCTGCGTGTAGTGGTCAAGGAAGCTGAATCTTCGTCTAATTACAGGCGGACAACTGAAAGAATCATGCGCTTCGTCCTCGAGTCGAACCCTCGACATGCTAAATACGCAGCTCGCCTTCTCGCGCTTTCCAAAGATCGAGATGCTCTATGTACCGAGGTTGTAGAAGTAAGTTCGTTGTATTGGGCTGTTGTTGACGTATGATAACCGAGGAACGTCAAGTCGATAGCCGACAACCTCTCAGAAGCAGACCCTGACTTGCTGGTAGCGCACACAGCTGCCCTAGTGCAATTCTCCCGGCTAGCGCCTGATGCTTTTGAGCACAGAAGCGATGTTATCATGGCCTTTCTCCTAAAGAGAGTTCTTATGGTGCCCAGCCCGCCCGGTCCTGTAAGTCTTTCTCATAAACTCTATTGACTAATCCACTTACAACTAGATGGAAGGATGATATGGCAACAGATGTCGAATGGGTGGAAGATGTTGACGTATCGCCTTCTCTAAAAACGAAAGTTTTATCGCTCAAAGTGTGCAGAAATCGCTGTATTGCCCATGCCACCTCGGAAACAGCCCTTGAAATATCTGCTCCTGTTTTGAGAATGTTTATGACGCTGCTGGAACACGGGGGTTCCTTTACGGCGGATGCTTCAGACGAGTAAGTTGTATAGGTTCCACATAAACAGCTTTTTAAGCAATATATTCCTACAGTCCCAGTGTTAGGTCTCGTCTGCGGTTACAGGCAGCTATTTCCCTCCTTCGCCTAGCAACAATCGATGCTTACACCACTGTAATTGATGAAAATTTTATCCTATTGGCTATTACTGTTCAGGTACTGTGCAGTTATTTCGATAATACCTTATCCATCTTATTTCTATTTTTACAGGATTCATGCTATAATGTTCGAGTGACTTTCTTGGAAAAGTTGGTGGTTCTCCTTACGCAACGCAAATTATCGCCTCGTTACAATCTTATTCCTTTCTTGACTACGCATGATCCAGAAGCTGATGTGAAAACTCGAGTGCGTTATGTTACTTGTATACGCTGACCTGAAAGTCATTTTGTAAACAATCAGGCGTCAGCATATGTGGGATTCGCAGTTCGGAACTGCTCTCCATGTATGTCTTACGAGGGGTACACTTTTTACTCATGATTGAACTGTATTGTTATCAGCGGCTAGGATCGAACAATTTGAATCTATATTTATTCGCCTTCTTCATCTCCTCGCCCATCACCCCGACTTCGCAATCATTCACGAGAACGTGGAAGAAATGGCAAAGTGAGCTCTTTTTAACGTATATAATTACAGAGCTCTGCTGATACCACCAATCCCAAAGATATATCGACTTTTATCTTGATTTAGTTGCATCCGTTGAGAATATATCGCTCCTATATCACCTCGCAATGAAAGCGAAAACGATACGAGATGCCGAATCACAGGTTTTCAGCGAAGTAAGGCAACCACTCGATTATCATCTTTTACATTCACATCATTGCGCGACCATCTAGAACTTGTATGCCATGAGCGAACTTGCTCAAGAGTTAATCAAGTCTCGCGCGCGATCGAACTCTTGGAGCCTTCAAAGCTATCCGGGAAAGATTAAACTACCATCTGACATTCTTCGGGCCCTTCCTAATGCAGAAGCCGTTAATAAGGTAAAACTTAGGCTTTTTGTTAAATTCTGGTATTAAATATTTGTGCAGGTTGTCAAAACAGTATACCTTCCCGAGGAAACTTTAACCTGGCTCAGCGAGAATTCGAAAGGCCATAAAATATCAACAAATGTCAAGGTCAGCCTGACCTTACTTTTTACGATTTTATAGATTCAACGTCATTATCCACAGGCGAGGCGACGAGAACCCAAAGAATTAAAAGCAGCGAGCAAACGCAAGGCAGAGCCTAAAGCTAGGCCCAACGGTCAGACCAAGTTAGTGCAGCTGATTTCCCCGTCCTCTATTTTACCTTAATGTAAATACAGGCGCGCACGGCAGACAAATCGTTGGAATAGCGACCAGTCGGAATCAGACGACCAACCATCGTCTGACACCGAAGGGGAAGATAAGGGTGCAGATAGTCCTGGTCCTGAGACCTCGGACTCTGACGGAACTGCTAATGGTGACGACACCGAAAATACTGATGACAAGGAGACGGGACGAGGGAAAGAGCTGGGTCGAAGTGCCCGGACTCGAGCCAAGGTCCGTCATCTTCACTGCCATGTCTTCCTAAGCCTTTACTGACTTGCTCCACAACATCCTTAGGCAAAGATCAGGCAGCAGGTAAAGAAAGGAGGGAGAGGGAGGAAAGGATGACGAGTTGGTTGGTTACTAGGTTACTTGCGATTTACTCATCCTCTTTGGTCTATGCCGTGAATATTGTTTATCTCTATTGAGCTCTGGGCTTGCTATTCTCTGTATTTTAATTCTAGCGCTATCGATGGTCCATACTGACCTGAACATACTATGTCCACGATAGGTAAATTGAGAAGCGAGGTGAGCTACTGTGAACTAGCAGCATATCACATCAACAAGACAGTGAGTGGAACCTGCGACGTCTCGAGTAAAGCCTAAATTTATAAATCTCATGAATACAAAATATATTTATTTTGACTACAGCTTCAGCACTGATATCTTATTCTTACAGTAGATCTATATCTGTCAGACCAGTAGTAGTCGCATTCCAACGTTTGTATAACAAGTTGGAGTCTTCTCGTCCTATCATAGAAATACATCCAGGCTAGCAGCCGAAGTATGACACCAGTCATAGAAGATATAAACTCCGAATCTATGACAGGACATATGTTATTTCAGAAACATAGAGCATGTATTCGACGGGAAGGGAACTTTGTCACCTAGATGTTCCCTAAATCCTACCCCTTCAGCGATTCAGCTCCGACGCATTACAATGCATGCCAAAAACCTTCAGTTGAGTCTTCGTGATCTGATGTAGGTGAGTCGGCAGATGACGATGTATCATCCATCATATCCCACTCGTGCCCAAAAACATCGTCTTGGTCACGATTTTCTACTCTCGCAGGTGAAGGCAGCGATGGTGGGATAGGCAAAGGCCTGTGTATGATGATTTGCCCTTGCGAAAGTCTACGATGCGAGAGTTGGGAGTGGAAGGGTGAACCTCTCGAATGCGTCGTGAGCGGAAGGTCGAGCCTACACGCTGGAATGGTTGGAGAAGCTCCCTCGTCCCCCCACGGTCCCTCAGACGCTGAACTCAAGCTTGGTGATGGGGAGGATGGAGGGATGGGAACCGGTGAAGGGGCATACGAACTAGAACTAGGCGGGACAGTCGGTAACAAAAGAGGTGAGAGCAGTGAATGACTGGAGTGGCGCGACGATGATCGGGAACTCGAGCTCGATGATGCCCATTCTAATTCTTGCTGGCTGACCCTGTCACTGGGAGGTGGGAGCCTTTGGTATCTGCATAGCTCCTCCTCCGCATCTGTAACAATATCGTAACTCGAGGAGGGTCGTGGAGAAGGTGGAAGTGATCCATAATCCGAAGATTGGCAAGATGACGATGAGGACGCCATGTCGATAGCAAAGTCTGACCGGTCCGCGAATGGTGATATGTCGTCCACATGCTCGCGTTGTTTCTCAACGTTCTCCGTCCGTTTAATTGTTTCAGTACTAGCCGTCTTTCTTAATCTCCTGCGCTTTTCGTCCCATTTCACCAGTTCCTCCCTCTCCCTCGAATGTCGAACCAATAGTTCATCCCACACTGTTCTAGGCGTATCCCGGATGTAGCTTCTTAGAATCCATTCCGTGTCCAACATAGCTAGGTAAGTCACGTCGCACCATCCTTCTGCCCTTTCTTCACCCGGCGGCAGGTATACTGAGCGTCTCCGTATTCCCTCATGTTGGAAGCCGAGGCTCGTGAAGAGCATGTGAACAGCCTCTTTATCCACCGTATCAACTATCGCAGCTTGAACGCGGTGAAATCTCAGCTCTTCGAACGCCCAGTTTAACATGAGCACTACTGCCTGGCCTGCATAACCACAGCGGCGGTGCTCGGGGTCTATCACAACCCCAATATCGACTTCGCCAGCTGGAACGTTTGATAGACCAGCTTTCATATAGACGAGACCAATCAGTGATTGAGGGGTAGACAAATTTGTTGCCCTTTCATTTTCTAGGGGCCATGCACTGTAATCCAGATCATGACGGTCGGCGTTTGTGTATTCTATAGCGAATTTATGAGACCTGATCAGTATTCGTGAACTCTCATGATTGTCTAATATGATGTCACCTGGGGCTGCACTGTTGGACGGTTCCACGGACGAGCAACTCGCTTCCTCGTCTGTTGGTGGTTTTTTTAGATAGATATAAGCGAGATGCAAACACTCCTCCCCGAAAGAGGTAAAGTTAGGGGTAGATGCCTGGATGGCATCCAGTGATGTCTTCTGTAGTTCATCCCACAACTTCCAGGCCTTTGAGTTGCAAGAAGGTGTATCTAAGTTGGTGGAAAGTGTTATATCTTTGGAGGAGGTAAGCATTCTGACTTGGATCAGAGGTCAGTGCGCAAGAAAAGGGCTGCGGACCTTAGACAATGTATGTACTTATACAACACTTGAGCGCTAATTAGCTGTGTTGTCCATGACTGCGCGGATACTAGGCTGGAGTGATCATCAGACTCCAAATAGACTGGGAAGTGGTTCGGTCAATTCCGACCAGCTAAACTGGGGTCAGGTCCGGAAAGTCACTATCAACGCTCCAAGTGCGTTTATCGAGATCTGAAAGGGCGTCTAATCTCTATTGTCAACCAATATGTCTAAAAGACACCGGCCCATCATTACTTTTATAGATTGTGAACGTATTGTTGGATAATTGACCACGTAGATGGCCACGCTTCTGTATCAAGGATGGGCGCAGCCGGCCTGACTTGCAGTGGATTATGTTTTTGCTGATGCTCCTCGTAACTGCGGCGTCCTGCTTCTGAGCCAGGGCTCTCCCATGGTACGTTGAATCCACGTTCCCTGTAACCGCCAGATCACCGAAATTGAGCGCACATGAACACGAGGAGCCGCGTCCTGGGAAAACGTCTATGGTCTGGGGAAGTTACTCACCCTAATGAAAGCGCTCGAGAACCTAAACGAGCTGAACCAACGGGTCTTCTGATCTTTCCTGCTTTTGTGATAACGAACACTTCTCTCACGGGCAGATTCGGATCGCCTTTACTATTCAATTTCCGTAAACCATGAGGGTGATGTTGCAGTGACTATCGATGACTTCTGCCAGCGCTGGCGCTGGAAGAACTCCAAGTCGAATATTGGAGCCATACCCCTGGGTACGATTGTAAAAGGTTTGAACGCAGCGCTCAGGGGTTGAAATTTGCGATGGGACATCACCACACACCCTGATGCAATGACATTGCTACGTGATTTCGGGTACTGTCACTTGTTTTCGATATACAGTGTAACAATATTGATATCGATGACACTCGCGGTGTTTACTGATGGGATATATGCGTATCACCAGGCAGGTTCGAACAAGAGTCAACGAAACCCAGCAAGCCAGTCAGCCCAGTGTCATGATAGCGTATGTGTGATCGTTGACAATGTTGACTTGTCGACATACGAGCCACCCAGTATTTCGGAGCCGTTGCTGGAATCTGTCCAAGACACACAATGCTTGTAGAACTCGTGAAAAGTTATGGCAAGCACAAGAAAAAATAAAGTCCCGAGCCTGGACTGAGACAGACCTATCGTCTAGTGCATATAGCCGACCGGTATTATCCATGGCCAGTGCATGAATGGTGCAAGTCCCCGCCACCATGACTAGTCAATTTGTAGAATGATACTTTCCTGGTTGTATCTAAGTATGTACCTACAGGACAGAGTCCGATTAATCAAGATATCAGAGAGAACTATTGTCCATCGTCTCTTCCCACAACTATCATATATCATGTGGCTGTATGTGCTTCTTATCCACCGACCACCTCCTTTTCTCGCGCTGCACCAGCACTAGTGCTATCGCCCTTACCAAGCCTCTTACCACGAGCAAACATACCAACCTCGCTATCACGGATGAAGTTGATGATTACCATCGGCCAGCTTGGATGTGAAGGGAGGACGTCGTAAAATTCTGGAGCAAGAGCACGGAGCGCAGGGAGACGTGTCCATGGCACAGATGGGAAGTCATGGTGCTCGTTGTGGTAGCCAACCTAAACAGCAGCATCAAATGTGATCAGCGGTGGCTCTATTAATGCGCAGAAATCTCAGTAGGACAGGTACGAACATTGTATGCAAATATGTTCAAGATCCCATAATAGCTGTACGTTTCTTGCTCAAGCCCGTCCCACAGATAGTGCTCTGCTATGAAGTGGCCAGCACAGGGATGCAAACTTCCTGCGAAGAAGCTTGAAAATAGGAGGTAGAGGAACGGCCGAACCCCAAATGTGCGAATCAGGATATAATCAAATACGATCTGGATGACCAAGTTGATCAGATGCCATTTCGTAGGCGTCTGCACGCGAACGAATCCAGGTCGTAGTGCGTAAAAGAATATCTGGAACGTGCTGAATTGATGGTAGACCCATATTTCAAAGTGCACGTTGATTGGAACGGGTGCGGGTGCAATGGTGGTCAGTGTACGGTCAGGAAAACGGAAGTTCACTCACGCGAAGAACGTTTTGCCAAGAACGTTGTTCAAGCAAAGCAGCTCCAATCTTGTTGGAAGGTCAGTGTCTACTCCATCTTCACCAAGATGTTTATGGTGTTCAATGTGATATTTCTTTCAGTATGGTAAGCAACTACATGACAGGCACGAGTATTGGCAATAGGCGCACACCTTGAATGCAGCAGAATACGGAATCCCGATAGGTAGGTTTGCAAAGACAGCTAGTGCTTTGTTGGCGTTGACACCTTTAAAGGCGAGATTATGAGTGATCTCATGGATGGCGAGGAAGAGGTTATGGTTAGCGGTGCCGCCGACAGCGTAAGCGAGAAGTAGAAACGAAAAAGAGAGCGGGTGTGCGTTCCGGAGGTATATGGCAATTGAGACTTGAAGCATAACGACAGCAAGGACGACGAATTTCGTGAGAGGTTCGTGGCCCATCAGCTTGGTGACCTCTGGATGAGCCTTCATGATTGCCATGCGGCGCGTACGATGAGGCTCCTCTGTCATGAGCCAGAGAAAGTCGGTAGGGTCCTGTGGTGGTGCTGGATATGAATGTCCGTCATCTTTCTCCGTTGGCGATACTACGACTGTGCGACGAGGTGCACGCTTTTGCCGTCCTTCTGCTAAGGATTCTGCCCCACCAAAATAGCTGAAGTCTACATGGAAAAGCGTGAATGCAAGGTTGTGAAAACCTGAGAAAGACAACTCACCGACTTCTGCGCGCACGCACTTGGCAACAGACGGTCCTGACATGAGTTTGGGTGTGCTGTCGCGATCGCAGTAGAAACAAATGAGAATATCTCAGACCACTATAACATCCGTGAGAACTAATTACTGCTTTAGGAATGCCGACCTTAATTACAATAATGGTCCGATAAATGTGGCACCACCTACTGTTGCCTTTACCAGTTTATAAGAGCGCACGCAAACCACCTGATTCCCCGACTGCTCTTTCACCCCGTTTACGTTCTTCCAGCCATCAACGCGCCATGATGCATGGCTCAGAAGCAAATCCACAAGCCAGCGATACAGCAAACATGTCTGCAGAGCTTGGCTTGGACCCTTCTGATCCACTAAGCCTGCTTTTGCAGGGCAATGCTGCCGACTCAGAATCGATATCTTCGCAAGGTGCATCCCCACCAGATTGGTCGCAGTTCTCTGCACTGTGGCCACCCTCTGTTGAGAATGGTGCCCACTTCTCTGGCGGAAACGAGAATGTCAAATTTTCGGATTTTGGCATGGATTTTGATCTATCCGTTCCCATGGATCTCGACTTCAGCAACGCCGGTATATCCATTGATCCAAATGCTCTGCACTTCAATAAAGACTACCAACAGTCGACGTTTGGAGTACCATTGCAGCCGCATGAGTTGTACTCGACGCCTTTCCCTTTCACCTTTTCTTCTCCAAGTCTAAGTTCTGCTTCTACCTCGTCAGAGCATACGGATGAAGAGATTCGAACGAACATCCATTCTTCTGCGACAGAAGCTCCTTCGATGGTGGAGTATTACCCTGTCGCTGTTCCTCAGGCCCTCGCAGGTATGTATTGTTATCAGATGATTTTTATGTTGTTTTGTCTCATGCCAATTATCTAGCTTCAGCTGCACAGGCGAAACTTCCAATTCCCCGTCTGGCTCGTCCTGCAAAACCAACTCCCACGCCTAAGCCTGTTAAACGGTCGACAAAGTCTCCATCTCAGCCTCAGAGTCATGTCTCTTCATCTGCTTCATCGTCACCTTCTCCAGGACCCAGCTCTCCACATTCCAACTCGGACTCGACCCAAAGCGCTTCTACAGCGCAGGGAACCTCGGTGATACCACGTCCGAAGACCAGTCATACTACAATTGAACGGCGCTACCGGACAAATCTAAATGCTCGAATCAAGAGCTTGAGACAGGCTGTTCCAGCACTGCGCGTACTAGAACAGAATAACGGAGGTGAAGAATACATTATAGACGAACGTGGTTTCGTGGATGGCGTCAAAGTTGCAAGGAAAGGCAGTAAAGCCAACGTACTGGGAAAAGCCGTTGAATATATTCGGTTTGTACCGTCTAGATGTTATACTCCATTGGCTGATCATAGGTGCTCCTTTACAGTGTTCTCAAGAAGCGTGAGGCTCGCCTTAAGCGTGAACAGTCTGGCTTGCGGTCACTCATCTGCGGAGTCGTGGGAGGCGCAGCTTTATTGACGCAATGGGAAAGGGAATGGGTAGAAAAATATGGTGGCCCAGAAAAAGACGAGTTAGATGACGACGATGCAGATGAAGCTAGCGATGATGACGACGCTGAGGGTGATGGCGAAGACGAGGGAGATGACGAGGAACGTGCGCGCAAAAAGGTGAAGGTGGCGAAGGTACCAGCGCAGAAAAAGGACGGACGAAAGACGACCACTTCAGCCGTCATTAATGTCGGTGGCGAGATGATGAGTGCTACAGCGGGCATGGTGGTTCCCGAAAAAAGGAAGCGAGGCAGACCGCGCAAGAACCCTCCCGTCCCAGCGCCGCCTATCACTGCGTCTGCACCAGTAATGCTTTCTCCTCCTCCTGTGGCTCAGGAAGCGAATATATCCATGATGCAACAACAGATGCATTCACAGGGAATGCCACCGCAACAGTACTTACTTGCAGTTTTTGCGCTCTTTTCGTTCTTCAAGTCACCTTTGGCTTCATCGATGTCGGCACAGCATACACATACTCATAGCGGCTCTGTTTTATCAGACGTTACCGTGAAGTTGCCTACTTCGTCGATTTTATCCTCTGAGCAATGGACCTGGAATAACTTCGTTCAGGTCGTTCATCTCGTTGTCTCGCTGCTAGTTTTTGCAACTATCGTCTTTCCATGGCTCCCATTGCCTCGGGGGTTAAGACATACACGACTTATGCGATTAGTGTCTTTCGGTACAGCTTCACGTGATACTCGTGGATCTGCCCGTGGAGGCTTTACAACGCATATTTCTTCTACAGATGCCTTACCTACTCCACCTGCCTCGCCGTCAGCCAGTGATACCGAGTCTGATACCGATTCTTCGTCCTCAACCGAGGAACTTCACGCGCCTTCGCATGATAACGTACATGCTGCAAACCGCATTGCAGGCGCCATCGCCACGAAAGGTTTGCCCGAGGAGATGGATCATCTCGTGGCTGCCTTGGGTTTAGGACACGGTGTATTTGGGTTGGCTCGTGGTACGTTTACCATGGGAAGAAAGAGGAGCAAGGATAAAAGTGTTGATCGTGAGCTCGTCAGGCGTGCCTGGATACGCCTTGGCGAACTATTCGCCATGAATGTCTCTTGCAATACCGCTGTGACTGCGCGTTTACAGACTTACCTGCGCGCATTGTCGTTGCTAGGATCTCCTGCTAAATCGGCCATCCACTACACGTCGGATCTTTGTACGATGGCGTTGTTGGCGCGATGTATTCCTCTTCCTTTCGCTGACTCACGTGCTGAGGCCCTTTGGAACCGTGCCAAGATACACGAAAGTAAATTGGTTCAGCCGTACGAGCGGCTCGTCCTCAACAGTATCACCCTCAAAGAAGCGGCCACCCGTCTGCGTGAAACAACCTTACCCACTGCCAACTCGCCATTGCGCGCTCTTGCCACTTCTCTTGTGCTGGATCGGGTTCGCGAACATGCTTCGGTACTTTTCGTACGAACTGCCTCCCCCGATGAGGACGTGAGTGGAGATACCTGGGCATTCTCGGAGCAAAACGACAAGCGAGGTGAAAAAGATGAGGAGAAGCGCTGGCGTGAGACCATCAGTGCTGGAAGGAGTCTTGGAGGACAGGTTGGTGCCCTCGTTGACGCATTCGCGAAGGCGTGGCAGAGTGGTGTATTGGATATAGACGGGCTACTCTCAAGCGATGAGGAAGGCGAGTGTACTGAAATCGCCGCCTTGCTCAATGCGATCGTGCTGTATCGCCAAGTTTTCCCTCCGAGTGTCCTCTCGTGCACAGCTATTTCCGCAGTGGAAGAGGAGAGCTCCACCCAATCGATATTGTCGCCCCCGCCGAGCCCATCATCGTGCCCTAGTGGTTTAGTTCGAGTAGGCTACGATAAGGAAGCAGTGTTGAAGCTGCGGCGAGCATTAGGATCAAGTGCTTTCGACTTTAGAGAAATCGAAGGGAAGGTGCTCGAAGAAGGTGCGAAATTGGGGGAGACATTAGAAGAAACGAGGGACCGCGTTGTTGACTTGCTGGTTGAGTACGAGAGGAGGGGACGAGGTAGAATTTGTAAATTTAACGTTCAAGAACATTGATAATGCCTTGAGGAGTTTCTTAGTCTTATTTTTCTGCTTTTTCTCTCTCGTTCAATTATATCTAACATATCCGAGATCATACTCTTGTAATCTTGACTGTAATAGACCTGCTACTTATAGTACTACAACATCGAGTGCTAATTTCAGAACTGGACACTGCTCGGTCCGGAAAAGGAAATAGTTGTTTGGCTACAGCCTTTGAATCAAACAACGCGATCGGCTGTAGAATTTCAAGTTCTATTCAAGTCAGTACTAGGAGGTGTGGTACTACAAGGTCGCTACCCCTTATATCCTGCAGTAAATGACCAATACGTCTCGGATTGCAGGAGACACTCAATCTGTTGGTTTTACAGCGACACAACTATAACTTGAAGATAATCACTTTCAACCAACTTTAGCGGCAACAACCCAATCGGTCGTGACTAGCACTATCATCGACATCTACTTTACTATTTAGGTATCAGAACTATTTCCCGTCTCTGGTGCCACTATGGAAGCTCTCCCGCCGGGTATTGAAGGCAACTTGAAAGAATGTGCAAGTGGCGGGTCAGCGGATTGGATACTTTTTGAGAAAAGGAAGTTTTACACGAACGCCTTCATAGTAAAAGACAACAAGGTTTGTTTATATTGAAGATCAACTATCGTTATGCTTCACTTAGCATTCTAACTGGCTAGATACTGACGAAAAGCTGATAGATACTTCTTGGTTATAAAAAGCGGGGGTTTGGAGTGGGCAAGTAGGTCTACCACGACTGTCTCTATAACTGTTCTGACTCAAGCTTGTAGATATAACGGATTTGGAGGTAAGGTGGAGTCGGGTGAGACACCCGCTGAAGCTGCCTCGCGAGAATTGAAGGTTTGTTTCGCCCCTTCAACTCGTATAGTCCACGACTGACATTTACTCTAGGAAGAAGCCGGCATAGAGGCACCTCTCGAACATGCTGGATCTTTGCTTTGCGTCATTGAAGGAATTGAATTGGCATTCCAAATCGAGATTTACAGTGCTCGATCTTACACAGGGGTTTTGACAGAGTACTTTAACGTTTTCCTCTTGTGAACCATCGATCAAAGCTCACCTTTGTCTCTAGGACAGATGAAATGCGACCAGAGTGGTTCGCGTTGCCGCCCTCCGTCGAGGAATCTCGTAGTTCACGTGTTGCATCAGATGCACTCACAGAGTTACTACCTATACCCTATGACAAAATGTGGGACGATGACATTCATTGGTTACCTCTCCTAATCCGAGGACAACGCTTCGTCGGACGGGCAGACTGTAAGGAGAATGGGGATCAGTTTACAATGGCAAAGTGGTGGTTTGGAACGTTGGAAGACTAGTAATTTGGGTCCCTTAACTCGGAAAATCAAGCTTCAAAGTAGTACGTACAAAAAACCAATATTTCACTGTCTTTGATGGTACATAGATATTTACTAATACCCCAAACAAAAAGCAATCAATTTCCGGGAAGAAAGTCGGCCGTGGTTATTGGTGTATTTTTCTTGTTGTCCGAAGATCTTGCCTTTTCTTTGAGTGCATCTTCAAGAAGCTTTAGTGCTACCGAAGCTGAACCCCAGGACGACAAAAACCCGTATCCCGAATGACTTGCAAGACAAGGTTCAGCTTAAGAGCACTGACGAGCGTATAGTAAAACACACCCATAGTTGTATACAACAGGAATCGCGGTGTCTCCCCGGTCGAACCATTCAACTTCTAGCCTAATGCCGGACTTTCGCCCAGGACGCAAGCCGCAGCCTTCCTCTATGACTATAGGCAATAGATCCTCGACTGTGGGAGTACGACCTTCTCGACTGTGGGGAGGAGCAATTTCCGGTGCAAGAGCTAATGCGCGTGCGAGGATGTCCTTGGTAATTTCAGGCCGAGGGGTAGGGTGCCTATATGTGGGGAATTGTTAACGTTACAGTATAGCATGCAAAGATGAGGCACGAACCAATCGTTGGGCACCCTCGTTCCACCGACAAGCAGCTTGATGATAAACTAAGGAACGCGAGAATGACATAAAAGCCAAAATAGTACGTACATCTCCTCCTCTCCTTGGCATCAGATAAGTATATGTTCCGTCAGCAGCTGTCATAGTCCTCCCATAGCCCAACCACGGAGCCTTGAGTAGTACTGTCTGTCCTCGGATGGGGTACACATCTTTATCCTCCACTCCTCCTAGTGTGCGTGCGCCTATTCCAGGACACGCCACTACAGCATCGACTTTCCCAGAATGTCCAGCTCCTGTGAAAGGATGAGCACCACTTTCAAACACTTGGCTGATGTGTTGTAAGGAGGCTCGGACAATTGAACCGCCACGCGAAAGGAAGGAGGACATCAGCCAGTTTAAATACATTGGGGTATTCATCGTCACTGTGCTAAAGGAGAACGCCTTGGTGGCGCCAAGACGTAACTCATCTTCAGGAAGGTATCGGAACTGCGTGATGCGTCGAAGGAAACATGTGAAAACCAAAGTATACCAGAAGAGATCAAGAGCATACGTCTGGCATAAATTCAAGCCAATGAGGGGATGGGGACGCATCGCCGTGATATTCTGTCTGTGTATGTCGTAGGAAGCACCCTTCAGCTGCTCCGCCTGGGGCTGATAGCTCCCACATCACATCAAAGGTCTCCTTATCAATTCCTACGTGCCACGACACCACATGCATGATTTTTAGTGGTAGAAATTGTTTCATGGTCATGAATTCGCTCACCGAGCTGATTCAAGTCACTGCCTGCATGACTAACATGGTGGGCACCCTGGATCCAAGTTTAATGGTAATTGATATCGACGCACAAAGCATGAGATCTGCTTACCGCCCAGTGACTAGTGTATCGTATGGTTTTCGGATCGGTTGGAAAGGTCTCCGCGATTATTGTGACCTTGTAACCGCCCTGTTCTTGGACCTTCAATGCAGTTGTAAGGCCAACAACACCTAGTATTCATGTGATTGATTTGTGATGAATCTCGAGAATTTGGATATGAATGCTTCTTATCCTCACCGCAACCGACCACAATGATTTCTTTGACCTGCTTGTCATCCAAAAGAGCCATTTTTCACTTTCAGTTGAGACTACAATAGTTTGGATGCTTGGGAAACACGACCGCCGGTTCAAAGTGATTCATTCGGATAAGATAATGACTTGAACCTGGTACTTTAAGCTACATTACCCAAAAAGGTGCATGCTTACATCAGCGCCCTCTTTCTCCCTTTTACCACTGCGTGTCCTTCTTCCCCTTCATTGCGCGGTTGTCGTTTTCTTGTCGTCTAATGGTACAAACGCCAATAAAACGCACGGCCTCGAGATCTCCAGAAAATGAACGTCCTTTGAAAAGACTTACCACCTCGTCTCCAGAGGAAGGCGAATTAGACGACGGTTCTCCTCATCAGGAGACTCAGGCGTCTCGGAGGAGCCCATCACCCCCCAATAATTCCAAATTCCAGCCAAAAGTAAAATTTCCCTTCAAGAAAAAAATTGAAGCAGATGTCAAGGCAGGCCCATCCTCAAATGGTGGTGTGTTTGAAGGGAAAAAGCCTATTGTGATATATGAAAGGTCAGAGGAGGATGATAGACGCATACGTGAGGAGGAGCAAGTACGTCGAGCGAAACTTCCCAGTCGTCCCCTGAACGATGCCCCTCGAAGGCGTGCACCAAACCCAGGAGATCATTGGGAGCCTTCCCTTGGCCACAATAGAGATAGAGATTGGAACAGACCCCGTCAGCATGGGTGGGATAATTTTCGTGGTAACGGTAGGCAGGCATACGAGCGCGACCGACCAAGAGATAGAAGGCCGGAATGGAGTCATGGTCCTGGCGCAAGTGATCGAGACCGAGGACGGTCCCCTTATTCGTCTCAATCCCCTGATCGTTCTCGCTCTCCCTCCTCTCCTCCTTCGACGCATCGAGGGAAACACCGTTTACCATCTCATCGATCCCCTGCCTTGAATTTTAGCCCACCACATCGAGATTATGGCGTGGATCGAATACACGACCAAAGGCAGAGGAGTAGCGGCAGAGAATGGAGTAGGTATGATGATGACCATCCTCGTGAACATAGCGTACGCCACTCTCGAGAAAGGCAGTTGCAGGACACCGAATATCATGATCATCAGCTAAAGTATGAGGATCGCTCATGGCGGCCTGAGCGTGACGGACGACAATCCAGTCCGCAGCATGATTGGCCTCGGGAGCATGAAAGGGATGGACGTGGCGTAGGCCGTGAACATCATAGGACGGACAGTTACAGACCTACTTCCCCGAGCTATCATTCACGGCCTGCTTCCCGATCCCTTGTACATAGTAGCGTAGAGGGCCCTCGAACACCCCCACCACCCGTTTCATCACCACCACCTGCCCCGCCTGTTGAGGATAACAAGGACGATACCCTTCCTGTAGAGCATGCTGCTGTGTCTTTTACGATGCCTTTGAAAAGACCTGCTGCTCCTAAGGATGTTCATTCGCCTCCCTCGATGTCCCTGCCTCCTGCCAAAGAAGCTGATATTAAACAAGAGAAGGAGAAGAAGGATGTAGCGGTGGAGGTCTTGTATAGGCAAGAAGATTACTGTATTATCCCGCCGGAGGCACCGCGACGAAAAAAGCGTGATCCGGTGCAACGGACAAGGAAAGAGGAGTTCGAGGTTTATGGGCGAATTTTCGACGGTTGCGGCAAACAAAGTGATTATGACGCCACTACTAAACTGGGTGAAGGTACTTTTGGGTATGTATTCCGATGAACACCGTCTGCCTGTTTTGCTTACTTAGTGTTATATGTGACTAGGGAGGTTCACAAAGCTGTTCAGCTTGCCACGGGTCGCTCAGTGGCTCTCAAGCGTATATTGATGCACAATGAAAAAGAGGGGATGCCTGTCACTGCTCTTCGTGAAATCAAAATTCTCAAAGCAATGAGCCATCCTTGTGTTGTGGATATTTTAGATATGTTTGTGGTGAGAAGTAAGTGCAGTCCTGTATCGTCTAATGTTTTGCGGTAGGGGACGTTAATGCAACCCATCACAGGCAAAGGTAAAGATTCGACATTATCGGTTTACATGGTGTTTCCGTACATGGACCATGATCTGGCTGGTCTTTTGGAGAACGAGCGCGTCAAACTTCAGCCCAGTCAGATCAAGTTGTACATGAAACAACTCTTAGAGGGAACTGAATATATGCATCGAGTAAGCGCGCGCGAATATAGCTCACAAAGTCGTTGACTTCATCATGGATGTAGAACCATATCCTACATCGTGACATGAAGGCCGCTAATCTTCTCATATCGAACACTGGGTCTCTTCGCATCGCGGATTTTGGTCTAGCTCGTGCATATGATCCATCTATTGTCCGCGGAGGTGACTCGCGTTCGAAAGATCGTAGGTATACCAACTGTGTGGTCACGAGGTGGTATCGTCCTCCTGAACTTTTACTTGGTGCGCGCCAGTACGGTGGAGAAGTTGATATATGGGGTATAGGGTTTGTTATATTCTCTTATCACAAGACGAGCCAACTGGAGGTTGTGAATGCTAATGGTAATAATACACAGATGTGTCCTAGGCGAGATGTTCATGCGAAAGCCCATATTGCCAGGTACCTCAGACGTAGATCAGTTGGAAAAAATCTGGCAGTTGTGTGGGACTCCCAATCAACATACTTGGCCGAATCATGACGCATTACCTGGTTGTGAGGGCATAAAGCGATTCAATACGACGTATTCGAAAAAGCTAAGATCTGCGTATGAATCGTAAGTTCTTGGAACCCTTGGTGTGGATGCCATGGATTGAAAATGATTTGTAGCATCGGTGCAGAAACTTGTGATCTCCTCGACAAGCTTCTAACATGCAATCCGAGAGAGCGTATCACTGCTTCTCAAGCACTTGATCATGATTACTTTTGGACCGACCCCCTCCCCGCTGACCCCAAATCGTAAGCTTCTCCTATGCCCCTCTACTAATTCTATTCGGTCTAAACCTTTTTAGATTGCCCTCATATGAGGCTTCGCATGAATTTGATAGACGTGGACGTCACCACCATGCGCTCCCCGTGCAGTTCATGGCCCAAGATGCGCAACATAGACAACCCCCACCCGTTGTTCATCCCCCTCCGATATACTTCAATCGTGGCCCTCCTCCACGCGAAGCTTTCCGAGGTGGACCGCCCTTCCCTCCTCCTCATCCCCCTCCTGGCTTTATTCCTCCACTCACACACCCTGGGAATGTTCATCCCTTTAATCGTCCTCCACCGTATCCTCACCCAGGACAGCACAACAGAATGCATTATCCTCCACCGGGTCCGATGGGGAACCGGCAAGGGCCTCCAGATAGGTGGGACAGGCCCGCGCATCTCCCACCGAGGCCCCCACTGCCAATGGGTGCAGGTGTGCCCACTCACCCTACCCATAATCGTGATCGTAATAATCGACGTGGCGGATATGGCGGTGGCGGCGGCCCAGGCGGACTCAACTATGGATAAGCCTTTGCTATTGGTTATTTGTTTTACAGTACAGTCATGATTTAGTCTGCAGTGTTTTGTTGCATGTAATGATGTTCATGGAATGAACAATTTGGATATCACAGAAACTAGATAAATCACAGAAACTAGATAAATAGAACAGCATGTCGTATCCGAAAAGGAATATTGATGCGATCTACCATTACGCTCTTGTCACACTCACTCAAACATTAAATCAACACCCTGGTTTTGGGCAGGACCGTCAAGATGGCACAATTACTGTCATCAGCTTGGAAAATCATCCCAAAGTTCCAATCCCTCTCCATTTCAGCAACAATCGACTTTTACGTCAAAACACTGGGATTTATTATCGGTGGACTGCACCCTTCTGACGATGTATCTGAAGCGACATTCTGCTCAATCTTCATTGGTAAAAAAGCAGAAGCAAACATTTACTTCAGCAAATGCGAGTCAGATCAGTTCCATCCTCGAGAAGCGATGATTGCTCTGGGTACGAAGCAGCTCGATGAGTTTTATGAGGAACTTAAAGGGAAGGACGTTGAGATAGTTGAGCCGATTGAGGATCAGGAGTGGGGGTATAGGCAGTTTGCGATCCGGGATAATGATGGGAATGTCATTACTTTCTTCAAGTTTTTGGAAGGGGGAAATCCTGGAAATGAGGCAGATATAGTGGATTGAGATATTCTTTTTGGATACGAGGCCAAATTTGTTCCATTCATTCACCTTATATCATGATCATCCTACTAGTACTTTCACTGACAATACACCACGGGCATGAAAGGGTTCCAGCCAAGCCGGGAGAGGCATGATTCGTACACACACTGCATAATTTCAGCCACCTCGACGGCCTGACTGGAATACTTCAAGTATTATGAATATATACTATGTGATAGATTAACTAAAATTTTACCAATATTTTGAGAAATAGCTGTGATGGTTCGTGCCCAGTTTGAGGCTGACATGTTGCTGGTTCTTTATAAACTAGGCTTGTATTGGCTGCTGACTTTTCAAAGAACTAGCAATGTGTTAGGCACGAATCATCCCAGCTATTTCTCAAAAGATTGGTAAAATTTTAGTTAATCTATCACAAAGTATATATTTATAATATTTGAAGTATCCCAGCCAAGTGGCTGGAACTATGCTGTTTGTGTACGAATCATACCTCTCCCGGCTTGGCTGGAACCCTTTCATGCCCGTGGTGAATAGTTTCGAGTCCGAGTCACTGTATCCGGAGTTTGGTTGTAATACGTACTGGTCACGTGGTTGGCCTGGTTATAGTGTCTCATCGTCTGAGTTCGGGTTGTCCATCGCTTTCCCAACTGCACTACAATGAAGGCACTCAGTATACTGCCTCTGCTATGTTTCTCTGCTGTATTAGCTGCACCAGCTGTAGAAGAGCAGCTCGCCTTTGGTGATATCTTGGACTATGGCAGTTCACCATTCGAGAGACTCCAGCATCCAACAGTAAAGCACGTCCAAGATGTACTGAAAGAAGGCGAGAAGACCATTCACAAGTGGATTGAACACGGGAAATCATTTGTGAAGGAGAATGGGCTTACGTGTGAGTGCCATTGATTCACCCACATTTTCCAATGAATCTGACTGTCATATCATCGTCTAGACGAACTGGTCCAACATCCGCAGTTCACTGACTACCAACTGAGGGTTACCGAACCAAAGTTGTGTGACCCGAAAGTCAAGCAATACTCTGGATACCTTGATATCTCTGACGATAAGCATCTTTTCTTCTGGTAATTCGCCACCACATACTCCATTTCTACATATTGACCGACTACCTTAGGTTCTTCGAATCTCGGACTTCACCTGAGGATTCACCTCTTGTAATGTGGCTGAATGGAGGTCCCGGATGCAGTTCGTCCACAGGACTGCTATTCGAACTTGGTCCTTGCAACATTGCCGATGAAGGGACTAATACAACGGTTAACCCCCACAGCTGGAATTCTCATGCGAACATGATTTTCCTCGATCAACCCGTGAACGTTGGCTTCTCTTATTCGGAAGATGGAAGCTCTGTGAATACCACTCCTGTGGCTGGCAAGGACGTTTACGCGTTCATGCAGCTCTTCCTAAGCCGTTTCCCGGAGTATTCCACGCTGCCTTTCCACGTTGCTGCGGAAAGCTATGGCGGGCAGTATGCTCCCCATATCGCCAGCGTGATCCATAACGAGAACAAGCAGATCCCGTTCGCACCTACTCCAGGCCTTATTAAAGTTAATCTTGAGTCTATTATCATGGGAAATGGAATTACAGATAGCTATGTTCAATTTGCGTCGATACCCGAATACCTGTGCGAAGGACCATACCCGATCTTCAGTGACCCAGATGGACCTGAATGTACTGCACTCCGAAGCAAAGTGCCCACTTGTCAACGCCTCATCAAAGCTTGTTACGATTATAACAACCGTCTCACTTGTGTTCCAGCAGCGCTGTACTGCAATAGTCAGCTGTATGCTCCAATCCAACGTGCGTGCATCATTTCTAAACTCTGCTCTTTTGTCTCTGAATATCAACACTCTCTGTAGAATCTGGCCTTAACCCATACGATGCTAGAAGGAAGTGCGATCGTGAAACAGATGGGCCATTGTGCTACAAACAAATGGGCTGGATTGAGACCTGGATGAACGACCCCGAGGTCAAGGCCGCGCTTGGTGTTAACCCACAACGCTCCTTTGAGTCTTGCAATATGGCAGTGAATCAAGCCTTTTTGTTCCAAGGTGATGGGGTACGCAACACTGTGTCGCTGATTCCCGAAATGATCAACGATGGAATTCGTTTGTTGGTATATGCTGGCAATGCTGGTAAGAGGCTTTGCAACGAGTAATTATACTTCATGCTTACGCAAAGGTCTCTCATAGATATGATGTGCAACTACATGGTGATTCTAGTGTTCTCTTTATCTGAGAGGTTTAGCTAATGCAAATGCAGGGTAACGAGGCTTGGGTTTCCCAGCTGGACACGGTATTCCTAGACGAGTTCACGTCATCTCCTGCGGAGAACTGGGTAACAATGGCATCTGGCAAGGTAGCCGGAACAGTGCGAAGTGCCGGAGGTGCTGGCTTTGGCGCTGGTAATATCACGTTTGTTACTGTGCACGATGCAGGGTGAGTATGCCGCTCTTTACAGTTATACACATGTATTGATTATTTTTGTAGACATATGGTTCCCTATGATCAGCCAGAAGCTGCTTTAGTAAGTTTCACTTTATTATTATTTTTCCTGAATATGTCTTACTCTTCATTCACAGGATCTGATTACGAGGTGGATCATGGATATACCTCTCACCTTGAATGTGGCAGACGTAAGTACCATTCCCTTCGGCGGTTGGGCATAAATAGAACACGAGTCGTTCTCGACGTTACGGTTGTATAAATAAATGTAGAAGACGCACGTTTAAGATGGTGCGATCTTGCGGATGTTACAATATGCCTATCTACAAACAATACTATCAAATATCGCAATGGTCCAAGGAATGATCTACAACATGTCACGTGAGTGACTTTATATGGCAGTACAGCGGATTATCTCCAGCGCTTCTCTGGTTCGATTATTCCGGTTGACAGAACCTTTCTTTTCGAGCATGTATCTTTCACATATACTGGGTTGTGCCATCGATGGCAGACCACATTGCCAGGAAATCCTCAAAGTCAAACAACCCACCCAAGACTCTAGCCACGAAAGCTGCCAGGAAAACATGGTCAGAAGAAGATAGTAATGTACAAGATGCTGTTCCTTATCGCGATGGTCATGAAAGACCACCTGCACATGCAGGTCTCAATAGGCCAGAACATATTTTTCAGCAAGCCAGTGCCTCCGGTTCTTCATCCAGACCTGTAGTTGCTGCTAGAAAGACCGCGGCTGTCGCGGAATTGTCATCAGACTCTGAGTTGTCCGTGGAACCACAGCGGGGAAGATTGCTCGGTGCAAACCATGTTTCGATAACTCGTAATCATGCAGTCGCCTCTGGTTCTGCAAAATCCACTTCTAGTCTTCGACCTTCTTTGTCACTCCATCCAGCTTCGCGTTCTTCCGCCCAGAATATAAGGAGAGTCAGCTTTGCACTGCAAGATCGGTCACGAGAAGAAGTTGTCAATCCGCGTCATCTTGCAGTTAAAGGCGCTTTGCAAGGCTCAGGAAGCTCTCATCCGTCGGATCTGAATCCACGCCCCGCTTTACTCGCAAAGGCTCCTAGGCAGCCTATAGTTCCCCATATACCAGGAAGGCCATCAATTGCTGGACAAGCCAGACATGGTCCTCAAATGGGGGCGGTGAGGGCTGCCGCCGTAGAAAACATACCTGTCCCTCTAAACAGAAGAGGACATCGTGAACATCGTAGGCTTTCATGCCTTGGCTTTATGGCAGTAGTAACTTATACAGTAATCTAGCGAGACCCAATGCCCATGCCGCTCGCAACCCTCGTAGGTTCTTATTGAGATTTATTTCGCGTTATTACTCATTGGTCTGGTTAGTCGATCATTATCTTAAACCCAGGGCCTCAAAGTCTTCGCCGTTGACTCCTCTCAAGCTAATCGAGGAATCAAATTGGCAAGAAAAAAACGCTCCCAGACGGTTCCTTCGAGATTTGGGGCGAGCTGCTCCACGTAGATCAATAGCCTCTATGTCTGCACCCAGACGCGTCCCCAGTAAGAGTGGCCATGGAGGCCGTAGTGGGATAGGCGGCACTGGCAGAGCATACTATCTTGGTCAAAGGGCAGTAATAATGACTGTCGGTGAAGATGATGTCGACGACAGTGATCAAGATGTGGGATCAAGGTAATCATGGAAACCATCGTAATTACTGTTTGGGTGACACAGTTTTGTTTCAGGCAAATAGCACCCAAAGCTGCCCGTAAAACACAAATGGGGCGCAAATCAAGTAAAATGGCCGGCGCCACCTCTCCCCCTGCTGGACACTCTACTTCTGACTCGAGTGAGGAAACGGATGAGGATGTAGATGAATTGTCTAGCGATTCTTCAGTGGCTGCTGAGCCCCCAGATTCAGTTGCAGAGGCCCCCGAGAGCGAATCGGATGAAGACGACGAAATCTATGACAGTCCTTCAGAAGAACTCATGACTTATTTAGAGACTCTAACGTTCTCATCCGTCTGTCTACAAAGGGCTCGTTGCCTACCTTTTCTCCGGCGTAACTTACGGGCAGGTTTTGCGCATCGGTGCCAAATGAACGGTCTCAATACTAAATCAGTCATCCCTCCCTCCAGACAATCGGTTGTTGTCTATAGACTTCATGCTAAGCAGAAGAGAAACGAAGTGGAATACGACGAAAAGATCGATGAATACAAAGCACGGATGAAGGCATGGCGTTGTCCGTTGTGTGAGTTGCATGGGGTGTTCGGAACCAGAAGTTTGTTAGACGCACATCTGAAATGGGACCATAAGACTGTGGCTGTTATTTGGAAACGTGAAGGGGTAAGTTTAAAGAAAAGTAAAATCTATGCTTTGCTGATCAGGCTATTGCAGGAAGAGCTTATACTATCGCTAAATACTTCGTCGCTTGAAGGTGACTCGTTAGTACCAGCACAGTGAGTGGATCTCGGCCTTCGGAAGTGCTTTGCATATCTAATGCATCCCCACAGGCACTTAGTGCTGCCAACTGTGAAGGCCAAGGAGGAGGGCTCTCCTCCTGCATCCGAGCTATCATCAAACGTAGCTTACTCTACGTCTTTGCCTTCTGCACCGTCTATAGCTCCTCCTTCAATTACTGTATCCGACATTACGAAGGAAAGCTCACTCCCTGCATCCAATCCGTCATTAAAACCTGTTTATTCTACTTCTCCATCGTCTAGAGGTCTTTCGACCACTTCATCCGAGTTATCATCAAATGCTGCTTATACCACAACTTCTCCTTCTGCCTCGTCTAGAGCTCCTTCTACAGCTACATCTGAGACTGTAACTGCTACACCGGGATTCGACCTAGATGACAGTAAACCAAAATCCTTATACCCTCCTCTTTCCCCTGTACGTCCGAAAGGTCCTCCCACATCCCGATTATCGCTGCGAACTCGCTCGGGGTCTTCCGTTACGCTCTCTACCAGAGACGTGACTCGGACACCCTCAACTCAGCCTTCCGGGTATCCAGCCCCTCCACCTCAATCCGATCCGCTCGGTCCTGCTGCTGATGATGGTCCTCAATATTCCTGTCGTCCAGGCTCACCAAAATTATTCGATTTGTTGAACAGTCTTCCTTTGGAGCCATTTGGGGCTCTTAGCTGGTTGGTTATCGACAGGGAAGAAGAGCTTTTCGAGGCTGATGATATACGAGACGAGGACAAGGTCATGCAAGCATTGTGGTTGAGATGGATTTTCTTCAATAGGTCCGTCTTTTACGTTTATTCATTATATCTCAGCTCATACCGTCCAAAAAAGAACGAAATTTATTGCAAACTATTTTGATGCAACGAAAGCCTTTATAGATGACTCTTGGCGCATGATTCATCGAGCAGCTGGCTGGTCTGCGCTGAGGGTATTCCTCTTGGTGAGTGTCTCACGGCATATGTTGTGCACTCAGCTCAAGAGCCCCTACTCATTTAGGTACTTGTTGTCAATCGCTTCCTCACTGGTTTGGAGGTTGTTACGATCTTACGACAATACGAGAATTTGACGGGTATGGATCAATGGTGTCCTATCGGGAATTCTCAGACGTAAAATCCTGTGAATTGAACAATGGAAAACTCTTCATTATAAATTCTGTCGTTCTCTAGGTGACATCATCCATTACTTCTCGCAATAGTTGGTTTGCTGTTGGTTCGGCAAACTCAACCTGAAGTTCCGTTTGCCGTTTTATTTTGTAACTTGTTCTCGGATGTCATAATACCTCACCCTTTCCTTCGATGAGGTGTAACTCCTTGTGTTTGTTTGACTTACTATCGCCCCTTATCCTATTATGTATGGTATAGGATCACAGCCCCCACCACAGATACGTAGTTGAGTTTCAGTCAGTCAGGGGCCCTGTGACAAGAGTGACCCACCAGAGCGTTCTGTCAGAAGCCCAAATAGTGAAAACTGCGAAACAAGTCAACCTTGCAATTGGCTTTACATATCACCTATAGTGATTATATCCGCTTGGAGTTGACCACTAAGCTGTAATATGCTTCGACAAATGTGCAGTATGTTACTTCCTATTGTCAACTGCAAGCTGCTATTAGGAGAGAAGGTGATTTAGTAGATCTAGAGTAACATGCATCGGAATAACTCAAATATACAGAGTTATTAATCGATCTCTTCCGATTCTGGCATCTCCTCAAAGCTATAGAACGTCTTATCATCAGTTCCTTCTGACACCGCATCAAAGCAATAAAATGTGACATCATCAGAGGACGAGTCACTTTCTGTGTCGAAATAACTGTATTCCCCTTTTCCAAATTGACTCGTACCCCTCTGTGCTTGATCCGGCTTGGATGCCGGTGTATGCCCTTCCAGCAACTTGATTATATTGAGGTCTTTCGTGCTTTATGCAAGCATCAGTGGCGTGAGGCCATCATCGTCCTCCAAGTTTATATGAATGTTGCTCCGGGAAAGGAGCAGCTTTACTATTGCTTCTCGTGTACCTGAGTCCGCACTATCCGGAAGCATCTGTTCATTATTGTCGCGCGGGATAACCTGAACACCACAGTGTAACGGCGTCTTCCCAACCGCATTTTTCGAGTCGAGCAAGACATCATCCCGAGCAACAAGTAAAGATGTTATCTCCACTCTCTTGGAACGAATTGCAAGGTGCAGGGGCGAGTCGCCATTTTTATCTTGCAAGTTGACGTCGATGCCATCTATGGAAAGCAGCTCTTTCACGAAAGATGTGCTTCCGTTTTTCGCCGCCCTGGATAGAAGTGTTTCCCCGTGGTCGTTTCTCCAGTTCACATCAACGTTGCATCTTGCAAGCAGCAACCTCAAGATTACTTCCTTCCCTAATTCTAGGCGGTAATCTTTGCTGCTTTCATATATATTGCTGATAGCCATGTCAATAAGTATCATCAACACCACAAATGGACTGTACTTACCACTGTCTGGCAATGTCATCATCGCCCACGCTATGCCCTTGTTCAATGGAGGAATCGGTAGCCAAAATCTCATTCACTTTGTCTATGATATCGTTCGCGGCGACCCACAGTGGCGGTATACTAAACCAACCTCACTGGGGTCATGTTGACGTCGGTTCCGTCCGAGTCGTAGGCGACTTCATATTCCATTATCTTTTGACCACCCTGGTAAGTCTCCAACCATAGGAGCGTAAAACCACACTGGTCTGTCTGGTTAACTTCGACGCGTCCTGGTACCCGCACAACAAGCAATCGTGTCAATTCGCTACGATGAGGACGCTGTAGCGAGGATGTCATTTGCAGGCAGACGTCAAGATCAAACACGTGTAGAACGTAGTCCTTTCTTGCCGACAATAATTTGACCATTTCCACAGGCCCTGCGCCTGCGTGTAACAACCGTTTCAAATTATCCTGGTTCCTCCTGTTAACTCTTTCCATCAGCAACTCGACGACTTCCACATGGTTATGGAAGACTGCATAGAAGAGTGGTGTCCAGTCAGAGTCACTCCGCTCCTTCGAATTAACATCCAGGTCCTCTTTTTCTAGCAGCGACTATTTGTTTTTGACGCGGTCAAAGGTTGGAAGAGAATCTTGAACGAGCTGTTTCAAAAGGCTTGCGATAAGGTTATAGACCGTTTGCGTTGATTGTTCCATATAGCTGCAATAAACATAGGCCACAGCGACATCATCGGCTTTCTTTTGCTCGAGATGATTGATGATATATGACCTAGTAAAAATGAGCATGATGGTTGATCACAGGATAAACTGAGATAATGCGCTAAGGGACTTACGCAAGAATGGTCTTCCCAGCACCAGCTAGATGACATGGCCTAATCAATATATGACACCGCCAGTCATGCTTCCACCAGGCTTACGAATCCCGGGACACCATAGTGTCTTCACAGTTCCACTTTGCCAATCCTTGAAATTTTTGTCATCAAGCACCCATTTTCCTGTCCCCTCCCGCCTGTGTCCGTAAATGTCACCCCGCGTTTGACGAAAACTCAGAGGAGAAAGCCAATCTGCAAATTCCTGGCGTTCTTTTGCTGGGGTACAAGATATACTGTTACATTTAGACGACAGAAGAAAAAGAGACATGTTCGTACCATTGCCTTGAGTATACTGGTTGATTGTTGTGTTGATTGTTTGAGGGCCGTGATTCTCACTATTAAGTTGATAGCCATTGTCATGAACATCGTTAAAATTGCTGCCTCGAGCATCGACTGCAGACGCCTGGGCCATGGTCTTGGTAACATTGTCAAGCGCCATCGAGGACGTTGAAGGACTCATGTGTTAAACTATGACCACAGCTGTCGTGACTGCAACATTAGTAGGCAATACTACAGTAATCGCACGATGGATTGTATAGGATACAACATTGAAGCTTGAAGAACGATGGGAGTAAAAGAAGCGCCCTCCAGCTTTACAGCAGTATTTCTAGGTGGCGCCCATCATGCATCATGATTATTCCACAGCGTAAGTGTGACTATTTTAGGATAGTGTCACTGTAATGGTGTCACTGTCACGATCTGACATAGTGGCCTTTGCAGCGAAAAAAAGGGCAATGATAGAGATGATCGATGATCTCTTTTGCAGAGTGGAATTGTATTCCTAGTTACGGGGCTATGTCGCAGAAGAAGGTGACATCACAACATTGTGGCGTGGTCCATCATGATAAGGGAAATGGGAAAAGTGTTTCTGATTGCGCCAATGCATTCAATTGTAATATCAGAGGGCCTTTCACTGAAATTGGCTCCCCTTGCCAGTGAGACACGGGTCAACATGGAACATTACCATCAAGATATCTGGGAGATCAAGCGAGTGTTGTTTGATGATAGATGAAGATCCCGTCACGGTATCCTCTGGAGAAATGTTGGTCCATATTAAGTACTTAACTGGTAACAGTATGAAGGCGATACAAAATTCGTTTTCAAATGAGCATGTAATTTGACAAAAATAATAGATATTAAATGGTAAATTTCTCAAAATGTGTATGAATCCAACCCCTGTGAAAGCACGGGGGCTAGAGGTCAGTCATTCGAGTTAAACCGTCAGTCTCTATGCATACGACAGCTTAGAGCCTAGAACAAAGTATGCGGAAGTGGAATTCGAGTCACAAAAAAAATGATATGATGTAGTATGCAATGCGACGGGACGATGGTGTATCTATGGTGGTCTACAATCAAAAGCAAGAGCCCCATCGCGTTCACAACAAGAGATTTAGTTGGCCAACGAGTAGACAATTAACTAGCGCCACAAAATTGGAGCGCCGCGGCTGTGTCGCCTGAACTGCTTTCCTAATAAGGACCGCCTTGTAGTGGTTGTCCCAAAATGGGCGACAAAGGACAAAGAGAAACGAGAACAATGCCACGGCCAGAATTACGAGGACAGGCGACAAAAGGCTAAATGCATACGACAAAAAGGAGGACGACAATGAGAGTTATTGTATACTCAAGCGTGAATGGGGACTCTGGGAATATATACCTCGTTCGTTCTTTTCCAGGTCTATCGTTGACTTGTCCGCATATTTTTCTCTGGCGTTGACTGCAAGTCCCTACAACCTCTATTTACCACCACTTATTCAATCTCATCATACCATATAGCTCACATGGCTTGTACGTTCTATATTTTTTTCTGGTTATATAGCCACATGATACTGACTTATCGTTGCAGTATTTTCTGGAGACGCATTTTTACCATCTTTCAGACGATCCTACAAGACACGCTCTCGCAGTCGCAAACAAACCTCAGAGAGCAAGACGCTCTGCATTATTCCCGAAGTATCAGAAGAAGACGAGCCTCGTCCATCCACCAGCTCGCTTCCCGCCTCGCCCGCCCCTGCACCAACTAGACAGCACTCTACTCGCTCGCTCCCGCGTAAAACCGACGCACGGGTGACACTCTCTGCCTACACCTTCTCAATCGACGACGCTCTTCTTCTCATCTCAGATCAGAATGAGGTTGCGCAAACCCAAACCGACTGCGACTCTCCAGACTCATTTTCCCTTGCATTTGACTTCCCACGTCCCCCTTTCCTCTCCTCTGTTGCATCCTCCTCAGCTTCTTCCGCATCTTCTTCCTATTCATCAGACAGCCCACGCTCTATGAGCACCGGACTCCCGACTACGCCTGCCACCTCTGACGACGAGGACGGCGAGCACGTCCATGTACGCGGACCGCGCCTGGTTGCGCCCATACGCCCACTTTGTATCACTAAATCTAAAGGCTCAGATGTGAAGAGCGAGGTTGTACAAATTGAGCAAATGGAGAACGATGATGGAGAGGTTGAGAGGACACAGGCTGAGGAAGATGTAGAGGACTACGAATTCTATACACGCCAATTTCAAGATATCATTACCCTGTCCTCGCCCCTTCCTCCCTCTTTTCCTTCCACCTCGACGTCTTCATCCGCCTCTTCTCGCCCAGATTCGTTCATCCGTCCTCGTTCTGCTATATTGTCTTCCCCACAGGAGCCTGCTCTTGCTGATTCGAAGCGACAAGGGCGCAGCAGAATGAGCAAACCCCTCCCATCTATCCCAATCCCGTCACCACCCTCGCCATTCCTCCCTCCCGCTCTCCCACCCTCGTTCTCTCTTTCTCAACGTCCGCGCCGCAAGCGCGTCATCCCTCCCATGCCTCTGCGACCACCTCCACCTCCTCCTATGGGGGCATCATCGCCGAGCCGCTCGCCCGCATGCCTCGACTTGGATCGTGCACCTCCACGCATGTCTATTCCCGCAGATATATTCTTTGACGACTTCGAGAGCGACGACCTTTCTAATGAGGATGAGGTGGAAATTCGCGTTGAGCTCGCTTGCGACGAAGGTGAAATCGGAGTGGCATACAGTGATGAGCAGGATGAGGATGTGTATGGTATTCATCTCTCCAACAGGCAGCAGGATGGCTATGAAAGAGAACTTGAGCCTGCCTTCCCTGAAACTCCCACTCATGACATGTATGTACAGGCGTACAGTCCTGAGCTAGTCTCAGATGTTTCCCCGCGATCGAGTATTGACTCGGAAGTACGTACTTCATGCGAATCATACTCCCCCCAAGCTTCAGATCACGCCGACTCTTCTCAAAATCATGAGGACTACAGCACTGACTCACACATCCTAGACGAAGACAACTACGAACCATCACCAGCACTCCGTTCACGCTGGTCCTCATCCACCCTCGCTTCGCTCGAACAGACTCATGAACGCTCATCGCACGCTTCTCATGCCAAGTCGCCCAGTCTGACCTTGGCGTTTGGTGCTGCAAAGCTGAAGGGCGTTTTTGGGTCGCGAAAATCTGGCAAGGAGAGTATTGTTGGGCCCTCGATGGCACCAAGGGTAGCACTAGATTTGCAGACGACTAGAAGCCGCAGGACTTCAGCACGCAACGAATTTATCTACATTCGTCGGGAACAAATACCCTCCTCTCAGTTCCTCGCACCCAGCTCAAAATCGCCCTTTCTCGTGCCCTCGCCTCACTCACCCCGTTTCCCCCATTCCCCAGCTTCCTCCAACTACTCCCGCTCGCCTGCTTCCTCTATCCCTCACACCCCCACAAAGACCGTGAGAAGGCACAGGAGCCGGAGCAGCACCTCAACAACCTCTTCTTTCTCTACCAGCGCCTGCGGGAGTGATGCAGGTAGTGACATCAGTGGTAGCAGTGGCGGACTGAGGAGGAAGCCGATTCCTGTCGAGATGTTCTTAAGGGCGTAGACTCACTTGGATAGGATTGATAGGAAGTTATACAGTATGTCTATTTCTAATCTCGTAGTATCTGTTTGGAATTTTCTGTGCATTTTGTTTCATTTGTTCTACCTCTACCTTCGCATGGTTCCACACTCATTGTTTATTTCTGAATCACGACGGTGATGAATTCTACGTGTTTTTGTAGCGTTAGCTCCCATTTCCCTTCATATCTGTTCAACTTATTTATATAAATTGTAGCAATTAGCCAAATTCACTCTCTTGTCTCGATATTATATATATGTTAGATACATGACGATTACATCGTTTGCATTAATAATATACACTCGTTTTGAACAAATTACTTGCACGGTAGTCGATTGAATGTGAAAGTAACGACTCGAAGGTTTTCAAGACTTGAAATTATCCGATAAGGTCAATTAACGTTGCACTCAGTGAGCTGATAATCCTTATCCCTAATATATATCGAGATATATGCAGAACGACTCCCAGAGAATATTTTGATCTGTCAGATTTCTATTCTATTCAAGGTAATTATCAAAGTAAGCTTAAACATTACTACAGTTCTGTCACATGAAAGACAAGAATAACAATTAACATGATCAACGACGTTACCCAAGACTCCTAATTTTCTTCAGAATGCTTACACACGCCTTGTAATTAATACTTGATATATTTCATTGTGCAGATGTACAGCTTCACGACCCAACTCTATAGACATCTTCAAGAAATCCAAACAAGGGATAGGATGGGAGGGTGAAATAGAATGAAAACGGGAAATGGGAGAGGGAAAGCGGGAGGGGGACTGGTGTCAAACTAGACGGTATGAAGTGATATGAACATGCCATTTTCAAAGAGGAGCGAATGAAATCATGCAGTTATACCATGATAGTTTGGATAGCTAGCGACGAGTGGCAACCGCGAAATGCACTAGAAGAACAAATCGAGCACACAAAGACCGATACGACGGTGGCACACAAGTAGATGCACCGGATAGCGAGCGGAGAGAGCACATGCCACAAGAAGGCTGCTAGTAGCGAGGGGTAGCGTGATGTAGAACTGGAGATATGATTTGATGTGTATGATGACATTGCAAAGGTATCGCACGGAGCAAACAGCAGGCCAGCGATAGAAATGATCCGTGCAGGTAGAAGACAGAGCGAAGACGAGGTCAAATCAATTCGACGTTAACAACCACAAGGTTATCCGGGAACACGGGTTTCCGTCGATGTGGATAAGACACAGGGCAAAACACGGATCAGCATAGGCACTGTGAGGCGAAGAGACAACGCGGTTGTAAAAAAAAAACCATTTGATAATCATAAGATCAACAATAAAAACACAAAACGGATGTCGAAGGGAGATTGTGTGGTTTGAAAGAAATAAACAGAGATGCGTGGTGTGGTGTATGCGATAGGATGAGTGGTTGCGCTTGTATAAGGTGTCCATGGTAAATGCATTTTTGTCAGTCGACTATGGATGGGAATGATGGAAGGTAGGGAAATTTTCAGCCAGTCCGAGGCAGGAGTAACTTGCACGGGCCTTCATTATGACTCTTCGAGATACTCTTCGCCAGCCTCAACAGCTGTGACGGCTGCGGCAGCCTCTGCTCGTGCCCGTTCGGCACGGTTTTGTGCTTTCAACATCGGCAGTTCCTCCAATAGTGCCACCTGAGTACCCTCCGACCACCTTTCCAATGCCCAGTCCCGAACCCAAATACTTGACTGAAGAAAACATATCAATAAAAAGAAAGACGTATTGAAACAAAACTATTAACCTTCAAAAATCTCTTGCCAGCGTATTTCTTGTGGAACGACTCGTGCTTGATAGGTTTGAGAACGTAGTTCAGCATCAAGTTTGCGGTAGGAATGATGGTACTCTCGGCGTAGGACGAGTAATGAGCAAGATTCGGAGTCTAATAAAAATTTATTAATCAAACAAATGCGGATAATAATCCTGTCAGTCTACTCACCCACTTATCCTGACCCAAAATCAGCCTAGCAAGCCAAATAGCAGCAGCAGCTATCAATGATGGAGGTGCAGCCAACAATCTCCACTCTAGGCATTGAATTTCGAGGAAGTACTTGGCAATCGTGCGAGCCTTCACGTCATATTCGTCTGCCTTGCTGATCCGCCTCAAGAAGTGCATTGGGTTGGGATAACTCAAATTCCAGTCAAGCGTCTTCAAGACATAGCGCTCTGCTTGGAGGATCTCAGTCTCGGTGTACGAAGAATCGGCACAGTACAAGAAGTGCGCAACGGATGGAGCCACGATTTCTTCAACCTTTGCCGCGACGAAAAGGCAAGTGATACCGACTAGTTGCAACTTTGCGAGGGAGACAACACGTGCGGAAAGGAATCGATCGATAAGGTTAACGCACAAGAACAGCGTTTCCGGCAAAAGACGAAAACGGACGTGGACTTGGACCAGCCAGTCAGTGAGGATTCCACGCATCTTCCACGCGAGCTCTTTCTGGCTTTCCATGTAGTTCGGGTTGGGCATAGTGGTAAGCTGCACGTTATGAACCATCAGTGATGGCATTAATAAATATGTCAGAACAATACGCACCTCGATCTCTTTCATGTAGTTGAAGATCTCGATCACATACTCGCTAACCATCAAAGGGTCGTCTGCATCCTCGGCGTCGAGGTCATCCCACTGGTCACCGTAGGGATCTGCCTCTGGTTCACTATCGGCGTAAGCTTCAAGAGCAGCAGCAACTTCTTCGGCTTCCTGTTGTAACTGTTCTTGTTCGAAGAGTTTCGCTTCGTCGGGAATGTCTGAAGACGTGCGCCGCTTCTTAAAGACACGATTGTCCTCTACGTCATCCTCGTGCTTTGCAGGGGGCCGAGTTGGCAGGCGAGTTGGAATCTCTGATGGACGAGTCTCGTCTACAGCTGCTTGCGAAGCTAAACCCGAACGTCTCGTCGAGACCCGGCGTGGCTGAGGTTCTGCTGAGGGAGCAGCATTGGTAGTTGGATGGTCATCGATTGCCATGGCATCTTCATCTGCAACCTTTCCGGACTCCTCCTTCACCTTGTCCAGATTCTGCCCTTGAGGTGCCACAACTGTGCTTCTTGTGGCACGACGTGTCGTAGAGCCTGAGACAGTACGCAACGGTTGTCTTGCTGCAGCGACCAGCGATGGTTTCGACTGAATCACGACGCCGTCGAATTTCTCCTTAACCTCCTTAACGGGAGCAGCTTCTTTCCCTTTCCCTTTGACTTCCTTAGCTGGGACGTTAGTGGTTTTGTTCTTGTTCACGAATTTTGTGACTTCTCCCAGAGCCTCACGCTTTCTCTTCCCTTGAGCGGCGAGATCGACCTTGTTCTCATCATTACCGTTCGCCTTTGCTCGAGATGCAGCGGTTGCAGCAGTAGCTCGGGTCAGACCGCCTGTCGTAGCAGTACCAGAGCCATTCGATGATGGGGGTTTCACTCGAGCAGTAAGACGCGATGGACGAGCATTGGCATTCTCGTTATCTTTCAGAGTTGTCATACGAGTCGTCCGCGTTACACGCCGTGTCTATTAAATGAGCGCGCAATGAGCGATGAAGTCACGACGACGAGGGAGTAAAAGACAGAGAAAGCTTACAGGAATATTCGAAGCCATGAACAAGAAATGTCCGTTGAACAATAACTAGGATATGATAGATGACAGAAATGAAAAATGAAAGAGTAAGAACGTTGCAGGCTGAAGCTGAAGGTGGAGAACGACGGTCTTGAACAAATACGGAATTTCGGGTTTTCAACCATCCACACAAAATACGAACAAATAAACACGGACGCGTTAAGTCACGTGCTCCCGACTATTGTACGCTCGTTGGCGGTGGCCACAGGACTACTGAAACAACGGTGGCCCAAGTACAGCAAGGAACAAAGGAGACGGTCCATGCAGCGATGAATCTAACGGCGAGCATTATTTTACACTTTTTTGGCTGGCTGCTGAAGTTTACCTTCCCAGGATGGCAGACGGACTGTTACGTCTTGATGCGTGAACATCGTGTTATCTGATCAGCATCGTGTATCCGACGGCAGGCCGCCCATCGTATCTCATCGATGTTCTCAGACACTCAGATGAAGCTCTGATAACTTATACATCAAGATAATCTCTTGGTACTACACCTATCGTCAAATCGTCTTACATGAGGACAAAGACAACACACATCAAGTGCGTATTGTGCACTACGCGGCCGTTACGTGTCATATATCAATAATACCATCGCCGCCTCCTGACACAAGCGTCGATACTGCGGTCGAGTTTTCTGATCGCGGTCTTACTGTGTACTGTCTCAAACAAAACAAATCATTACACCACTGTTTCTGATGTTGGCAAACCGTAAGCGGCGGCGCAAGGTTCCCTCGGGCCAGCTTGAAAGGGAGAGTTAGAACTTTGAGGCAAAAGCTCGTGACCCTGGACACTTCGTAGAGCTCTGGAAGGTCAAATTCAAGTTGCGCCAATGCTATGATAGTTCTTATCGTCGATGCTGTATTCAAAGTGAACGCCGAAGAAAAGCCTCTGGACGATAGAAAAACTGTACTGCTGCGGCGATCGAAGGTAGTCTAACAAATAGAAGAGTGAGACCTTGCAAAGCTCATAGCGCTCAATACTTTTTGATATATTCCTGGATGGAATAAAATAATACTGTCCAAATGCAGAATGCTAGAAAACCAGCATTTTGACGAACATTGATAGTGGGATTAGCGTAGCAATGAATGTGACGTGACTGTTAGTGACACCACTCACGGTGTGACACTTTCCCGACGCGCGTCGTTCATTCAGAATCATTCAAAGTCTGACCGCGACCAGTATCATATATCTTTCCGAGTCTTCAATTATGCCGGAGCGTGTAGCATCTACCATTCAAGTTCCCTCAGAGGACCCGAAGAAGAAGAAAGCAGAGGCAGAAGAGAAGGACAAGAAGGAGGGCTCATCTAAGCTCAATGGCGAAACCAAAGAGGGAGAGGAACTCGTATGTCCATCGTCATCAAATTTAGTTCTCATCTAACCACTCCTGAGCTAGTCAGAAGAGGACGCACAGCTCAAGAATGAATTAGAGATGCTGATTGAACGGCTGAAGGTAACTTGGGAAAAATATTCAATGGAGCGGTCTTACTAACGTTAAGATGTGCTATAGGAATCCAATACTGAGCTCTATCGTCCTGCACTTGAAACCCTTCGCACACTGATAAGAACATCAACATCGTCTATGACCTCCGTACCAAAACCCTTGAAATTCCTTCGCCCACATTATCCCGATCTCCAAACACTGTATGATACTTGGTCCGCGTCTGAGGACAAGGTACGTAACGTGTCGATTTGCAGAGAAATATTAGACTCTTAATACCGCTCATGACCGTTATTTCTTGCAGAGTCTCTTTGCGGATATCCTTTCTGTTCTTGCCATGACATATTCTGATACGCAACCCCGAGGGACGCTCCGTTATCGCCTTTTTTCTGCTTCCATGCGTCCGCCTTCATCGCCTCTTTCTGAGCCAGGTTCATGGGGTCATGAATATGTCCGACATCTTGCAGCTGAGCTTGGTGAGGAGTATGTGATACGCTCGGACGGAGAGGAGACACCCCCTGCCCCAGTATCCGATAGCGCAGAAAAGCCCAAAGCAGAGCCGATCAAAATGCCTGGGACTATCGATGATTTGAAAGGGCTTGCGGCTCAATGTGCTAAATTCTTCCTCGGACATAACGCTGAACCTGATGCCGTTGATCTACTTGAGGAACTGGAGATGGTTGACCGGATAGCTGCTTTGGTGGACGAAAACACATATGCACGAGTATGCGCATATATGGTACGGTAAGTAAAGTGTTCATGTCTGAATAGCTAGAGTAGCACAGTTTTCCATTTCTGTGGCTGACCTTCCTCCTTCTGACCAGCTGCGTGGGTTTACTACCACCCCCGGATGACGCGGCTTTCTTGCGCACAGCGCATCAAATTTATATTCAATTTTCGAAATTCCCGGAAGCCCTTAGTTTAGCTATACGGCTGAATGACCAAGAGCTTATTCAACAAGATTATAATGCCCCTAGCAATCCGTAAGCCGCTGGTGTCATTTTGTCACTTTGTTGCGATTTGCTCACTCGACTATTTTTAAAAGCTTGATGAAGCGTCAGCTTGCTTTCCTTCTTGCACGTGCGCAGGTCCCACTCGAGTGGCTGATCCCCGCCGGAGGGGCAGATGAGGAAGAAGTTCCAAGCGACTTACTAGAATGTCTAAGTAATAGCCGACTGAGCACACATTTCAGGGAGTTCGGTAAGGAGGTTGGTGTTGCAGATCCCAAGAGTTTAGAAGACGTATATAAGAGCCATTTGGAGAACACTAGTGAGTTTGCTTTCATTTCCTTGGTTTTTCGAAGGATTGGGGTTGACCATTATGCTTGACAGGAACAGGAGCTGCAGCTAATGTGGATTCAGCCCGAGGGAATCTTGCAGGGACCTTTGTGAATGCCTTCGTGAACGCTGGCTTTGGGAATGACAAACTTATGGTGGAGGCTGAAGAAGGGAACAGCTGGATATACAAAAACAAGGAGCATGGTAAGTGTAGTTGAATCTTTCATCTGTGGTGTACATCACTGAGTTCGCTTCAGGCATGTTGAGCGCTGCCGCTAGTCTTGGTCTTAGTCTTTTGTGGGATACTGATGTCGGTCTGAGCCACGTTGACAAATATACATATTCCTCAGAAGAGTACATCAAAGTATGTTCATCCCCGTGTATTCATTGTTTGCTTCCGGATTCACTGTGCTTAGGCTGGAGCTCTTCTCGCAACTGGTCTTCTCAATACAAACGTTCTCACTGAAGCAGATGCTGCTCTGGCGCTTCTTAGTGAATATGTCGATAACAAATCCGTTCCTCTAAGGACGAGTGCTATCATGGGTCTTGGTCTTGCCTATGCAGGATCTCATCGCGAGGACCTTATATACGTACTTCTTCCAGCTGTAGCTGACGAGTCATTGTCGATGGAAGTCGCATCCCTGAGTGCGCTCGCCCTCGGTTTTGTCTTTGTTGGCAGCGCAAATGGCGAGATCTCGAGTACCATACTGCAAACGTTAATGGAGAGGGATGACAAAGCTCTATCAGAGAAATGGGGTAGATTTATGGTGCTGGGTTTAGCGTTTTTGTTCATTGGTAAGGGCGTGTTCTTGTTGGTAGCTGCCTGAGCTAAAACTTACAGTGGAACTTTTACGTAGGCCGAACAGAAGCTTCTGATGCAACGATGGAGACTTTGAAGGTAATCGAGCATCCAATTGCAAAACAGGCACAGGTCATCGTGGAGGCTTGTTCGTGTGCTGGGACTGGGGATGTCCTGAAAGTGCAAGCGATGCTACACTATTGCGGTGAGCATCTCGACGCCTCGAAGGAAAAGGATGCCGAGGACAAGGATGAAAATAAAGATGAGAACAAAGATGAGAAGAAGGAAGAACCGAAAGACGATACATTCCAAGCATTCGCCGTTCTCGGTATATCACTGATTGCTATGGGAGAAGACATTGGTTCGGATATGTCATCGAGACAGCTAAATCATCTCGTTAGTATAGTACTTGGCTCATCTATTTGAAGGGTTGCTAACGCTGAATATTACAGATGCACTACGGCGACCCCATTATCCGTAAAACAGTGCCCCTAGCTTTGGGTCTTGTTAGTGCCTCGAACCCCCAACTTCCCATCTTGGACACACTCTCGAAATACAGCCACGACAACGATCTCCAGGTTGCTCTCAATGCCATATTTGCCATGGGCCTTGTAGGTGCAGGCACGAACAATGCTCGTCTTGCCCAGATGCTACGACAACTGGCTGGGTACTACTACAAAGAGCCAGATTGTCTGTTCATGGTACGGATCGCTCAAGGACTGGTGCACATGGGGAAAGGCACGATTGGAATCAACCCTTTCTTCTCTGACAGAAGTATCATGAGTCGGACGGCCGTTGCTGGGTTGTTAGCTACACTGACTGCATTTACTGATGCCAAAGCCTGTGAGTAACTTCCATATTCATGACCTAACGGCATAACGAGCCATTGTTTCCAGTTGTGCTCGACAAATACCACTGGATGTTGTACTTCCTTGTCACTGCCATGTACCCACGATTCCTTATAACCCTTGACGAGAATCTAAACAACGCTCCTGTCACTGTTCGTGTTGGTCAGGTATGTATAATCGAGATTTTTGTTGTCGTCATAGTCTGATCTGTCCTTTTCCTCCAGGCTGTCGACGTCGTTGGTCAAGCTGGTAAGCCACGGACAATATCAGGCTTCCAGACCCACCAAACACCGGTGCGCCTGGGTACGACTGAACGAGCGGAGCTTGCGACGGAAGAGTTCATACCATTCGGTCATGTACTCGAGGGCTTCGTGATCTTACAGAAAAACCCAGGATGGGAAAAAGAAGATACGATGCAAGCGTAGATCGTTACTTGTTTTGACTAGATGGACTGAAATGCAACATGACTTTTTTTCACGATTTCTACTACCATTACTGCAGCGCTACGGCCAGTTGAGGGATGCAGGATTTAAGTGCATGTGGCGTGTGAATTTGTGAATTGAGTGATTGCTTGCCTGCCGAGATCACTCCGAGCCTCATGACATCAGTTTGATCCAATGAGGATACTCACTGCGACGAAGCATATGGCGGTTGAGAACAGCGTTCGAGCTGCTATTATTTGTTTCTCTCCATTCACAGCTATCATTCTGAGGCAACCTGGGTCATGACCGACTATATTCGACGTCTGGTCTCTGGCAACAAAGCCAGATTTAAGGACGGAAAACTGAACCTTGAGCTTGGTATGTACTTCACCGTCGCTCCACATACAAATTGCTTACTTGTATCCTTCATGTAGATTTAGTATATATTACAGATCAGGTCATTGTCATGGGATACCCCGCTATAGGCTTAGAAGGACTCTATCGCAATCGCAGAGAAGATGCCAAGAAATTTCTAGAGCACCGTCATGGCAATAACTTTTGGGTCTTCAATTTTTGTCCCGTGAAAGAAAACGCTTATCCAGCTAGTGTATTCGACGGACGAGTTAGCAGATACCCTTTTCCAGATCACCAGTGCGTATTAGAATGCTGTTGATAATGTATCACCTCTAGCTCGCGATCTGATGTATGAAGCCAGTGCACCTCCTCTTGCTTTACTACCACTGGTTTCCCGCGAAATAAATGCCTGGTTATCTGAATCTCGCGATCGCGTGGTCGCTCTACACTGTAAAGGTGCCCACAGTCAGATATCTATCTTTGACTATACTATATTGATATCTTGTGCATTCTTCAAATCAGCCGGGAAAGGCAGATCAGGAACTTTAGCATGCACGTATCTGCTTTCTCTTGACGTCTCCCCTTCCGCTCCGCGCCTCGAGCGCAGCTATTCTGCCAAAGAGTGGGCTCGAGTGCGTGCAGACGAATGGATGGAGGTAATGCCCGACGACAACGATACTTCGCAAGGAGAGGATAAGAAAGACATATTGCATTCACTCATCGACGATGATAGATCTCAAGTCGAAGAAAATGGGAAAAATAAAAATGGACATGAAATCCATGAATCTCACTCCGAAAACTCAGCAGCGCTCGCTCCCAGCAGTCCAACTCATGATCGAACGGAATTAGGGACAATGAAGATACTGCCTACTTCATTGAAGGATGTTCTGGATCTGCACACCTCGCGCCGGATGCAAAGTCCAAGCCCTTCTAGCAAAGGAAAGCAAGGAGTAAGTATCCCGAGTCAAAGACGCTGGTTATACTACTGGTCGCTACTATTGGCGAATCAGGGTCCGCTCGATTTTTGGCCCATCAGCACACCTTCGACTAGAGATGCACCATCGCCGAAGGTTAGACTGAGTCAAATCAAGCTGCGCATGAGGGAGTTGTCTGGTTTAAAATTGCAACTGATCAAAGCGGCTAGTATGGTAATGGATCGGGCGGGTTATGGAAGAAAGGGTTATGAGAAAGGGCATGTATGGGCGTCATTGGCGAGATATGACGATGAGATGGTGGAAGGGTTGGAAAAGTTTGAACGATTGACGCGTCACGAGAGTGGTAATATAGGAAAACGAAACACGGAAAGTGGGCATATTGGCGACGAAAAGCTGGAGGAGTTCTTTGCCGATGGGACATGGGACAATCAGAAGATGGTCCATAGCTTTGCGCGGATGGGTCCAGTAGGTGAATTGTCTGTTCAAAAAGGCGAGTCCAGTGATGTAAGTATTTTTCCTTTGGCTTTTCCGTATGTGAACTGAAACAATTATATGATTTAGGCTGAGAAGACCGTCACCTATATTTTACAGCCTCTGTCTCGGGCGAGTTGGGTGAAGATTAGAAATGAAATTCCGCGAGAGCAACCCAATGGCTTAGTTGATAACTCAGTACCTTCAGAGGCCAATTCTATGTACGACGCAACACAGGTTAGCCATGAAGATGGGATAATTTTGGAAGCGAACCGCGAAGTACGCATCAAGCTTTACATGGGACAAGTAAGTACCTCCGTTTGTTCGTGTACTCCTTATCTTATTGAATGCGATGTAGGTATTCATGGGATGGTTATGGATAATACCGGCATTTCATATCCCACGCGCTTCACCTCAAGATAACTCTATAACACGCCTACTCTTCACACGAAAGGATATTGACTTTCCCTTGGGCATTGGCTCATCACTTGTAGACGTTGAGGTGACACTAGAGTGGTGTTCTGAATTGGAGGCCTCGCAGCTTGTCGACAGTGTTGCGAGTGATGCTTCGAAAGAGGCATCGGAGCCGGCTGAAATGGCTTCGGACATCCCAGCTATCGCCACAAGAAGTGTAGAAGCGAAACAGGCTGCAGGGGACTGACGATCTCTCAACCCCAGTCCAGGAGGACACGAGTAATGAGGTTTGAGAGAACAAGTCTGAATGCGAACGAGATTAATGTACACAGTGATATCTATTTGGTATAATAACTTTATAATGAGCAAGGACGAATGTTTTACTAGTATCTGGGAAGAACGAGACGAATAAGATTAATGGCATGTTGAATGCGCGAAGACATCCAGCTTAGGGAAATAAGGTCACACGCACCAGAAAATCTCTTGTCTGTCATATGCCAGTCATATCCATTGAATAGTAAAGACAATAGGGGAACAAAATGCGCTGAACCGCGGTTCCAAGTCCAGAGACAAAACTCCGGTTTCTGTCACAGGCTGTCAGATGTAGTGTAATCCAATCTTTCAAGTGTCTTTCAAGTTGCCGATGAATACGGATGCCACAGTGACGGGCATCAATTATGAGAAGCCCAAGCTGATACAAATAGTGATCTGAGCCGCTGGTTTCCATAGCCCATAAGGACATGTGATGCCTTGTCAAAGTGTCCGATTGACATAAGTCTGCTGTGAAGTTGACCAGAGTAAACCCGCGTTAACAGTGTACTGGGCGACTTGTGCACTCGCTGGGTCCCTATTAGCGGTACAACCATGCTGAACCCAGACACACTAACGGCAATAATCAGCGGAACATGGACAGCGACAAGGTTTTGTTGAGATCATATGGACCCTAGGTGAGGGGGAGGGGGGGAAAGCGCCGTGCAATCCGACTCATCAAGAGAACCTCGCTTGAACGATGAACAACGATGTGCGGCCCGTAACATGCCCATCACGGTGCTTTAACTTGAAGCATGAGCGCATCCGCATAAGGTTGAACGGAGTGCCGTGCTAGTAATATTATAGTAGCATGCCTAGTAGTGGCAAATGAGAGCCTGAGTCTAAAACGTTGAAATTGGGGCTTCATCGATGCTTCATCCGAGTCGCTTGGATTTCTTCCCACTAGTGAACTACTAGTGCTCATGATTTGATGTTTAGCTTGAGTGAAGTGAGGTGAGAAAGAAACTGCGAGATCGACGTTCAGGATGAGAAACGTGCTAATATTCCCATTTACTCGCGTGTGAATCCAAGCTTTACTTTCCCTCCATTGCTGTTCTTTGCAATGTGCCTCAATGTTATCCTTTATCCGTTAAATCTCAACATTGACAACGTGCCGGTAACCCATCAATACAACGGCATGAGAGGATTGATGGCTTTTTAGGGTAGCAAGACTATGGTGATCAGGCGCCACCCCCAGATTGTTTCATTCCTTAGGTACTTCTCTGGAAGGTGAGCTATACATATCATGTCCCTGATTACAGTCGTGGATCGACTATGGACCGTCGTGTTTGTCTCCATCAAGGCCATTTCATAGCTCTTCCCAGCTAAACCTCAATTGGTTAAACGCATCTGGATCGCTGTCCCTGCCTTGCGGTCTAGCCACAAGTTCTGATAGGATGCGGACTCCGCGACGGCTGCACCTGCCAAGTTTCCTTCCACTTCGCATGGCGGGGACCAAGTCGGGACCGTGACCAAGGACGCGGGACAGGCGGGTGTAGTAACCATCATTAATGAAAATGTTTTCTTTGGAAACAGTGGAGCTGACCTCGGTACCTATGAGGCGGAGACGATATCATACAACATTTGCAAACTTAATCAACAACAATCTTTATGACCAAATTTCAAATTCATTCGCCCTGGTTGAACACCTTGTAACGCTGAGAACAGGCTTTAACTTATTACTACTTATTACTGTAAACCTCAAACCCACCGCTCAGCGTCCTTTGACCTGAAGGCGATGTTGCCCTTTGGACTGAAGGCGGTATGGTTCTCTCTGTCGCTTTCAGGTAAGTCTCTTTCACTAATGCGGTCAAGTACGAGTAGCAGAGGTTAACGCTCGAATTCCAGGCATCTTCAGTTGCTGGATAGTGCTATGGACTTTTTCAAGGGCGGTGGGGAGCTACTGGGGCCCGATATCTTATTGTGTATTCGCCACTATCCTTCAAGGTGTTTTCTGTCTCGGTAATTTCGTCATCCCTCCCTTAAATCCCTAGAAATTCATTACACTGGGTGTCAGGCATGATCTATAGAATGGATCCATTCCAAATGCCTCGATCGTTCTGCATTGGTATGTACAATCAATTCACCACACTCTTTTGACTTGTGGTTTACATTTATTGATAGCACAAACATTTCTAATCTACTACGGAGCATTTTCCCTGACTGGTGTCTGCGCAGCCTTCACTTTCGCGACGACAAGTTCAGTTCTGTGGCCTTCACAACTACACAGTACGACATCTTCGTGAGTAGAATTATTGCATGCACCAATGCTCCCAGCTGGCGTGTATTCATGAGTTTTTTTCAAGGACTCTAGCCTGGCGGCGTCAGTATCTTTGGCCTATGGTCGCTTTTCCCCTCGCTTCAATAGCTATATCAATCGGAGTCCTACTCAAATACGATGCTATACATCCTACTGATGACTTGCATTGCGATGCCAGCCATCCAGAATGGTATGCAACTCTATCATATGTTTTGGCAGTAGCTCATCCTCGGAGTATTCGACTCAAAAAGGGGCCGATTTTTGGGCTATGCTGGCATTCCAATGATCGTGTCGTTACCGTGTTTCTTCCTGTCAACGGCAGCTGCGTTCCGGATCATGAAGATGCACATCCAGCGGTCGCGTTCTCGTCGTCCATTCTCAAATGAGAACGTGCTCAGTTCAAATCGTTCACACCAGCGATCAAAGTCCAGTAATATCATAGACTTTGCGGGCAGGAAATCATCACCGCATATCATTCTCCCATCACGCTCTCCATCGATGTCAAAATCACCGACATCAAGTGGATCAGGCCGTATCATGTTGGAGCCAGAAACAGAAACAGGGAACTATATCGTTCCATTCTCTGCTGTTGATGAGGAGCGATTACATGGCCATGTTGCCGATGACGACTATGAAACTGGTCCGCCCACCTCGCCTTCCCCTGTCTTCGCACCTCCAACCCCGTCAAATGAGCCTAGCTTGCGTAGTCCTCCTTACATGCCATTCAGAAAGCACTCAGAGCCACTTGGATTCGTTGATCCGACAGTTGACCATGATCCCTATAAATGGGAGTCGACCAAAAAGGCTATAGATGAAGAGGCGAGTTTTGGTAACGATATCGGTCATAGGCGTACTGCCAGTATACCCCTTTCAGGTATACTTTTTTCACTCAAGTAATTTGTCTTTGGCATACTCAATTCGATTTATCTTAGCGGCTGCGTTGTCACGGCAGTCTCATATACCTGCGCCAAGGAGTCTGGCGCCCGCCGTATGGCGGCTCATTATTTTTCAAATGTAAGCCCGGTGTATTTGGTTACTCGTGTAAAGATGAGCTCATCGCATTTGTCTTGGACGAGCAGGGCATTCTTTATCATACAGTGTTTAGCTGCACTTTCCACTATCATTGACGTTGCAAACCATCGTCCAACCCCTACGCCTTTTGGCACGCAGCATGTAGCTCTCATTTTGGCTGGCTGGGGCCCAGCCGTTGTATTTGGTAAGCCTTTAATCACGATACTGCATCCAGCACATATATTCATATGGGTATATCTATAGGACACTTACCAGCTGTTCGACGACGTCTTATGTTCTGGAAGCGCCGGCAATAAGTTGATCAAGTCATTATTTAACTGCTCGCAGAACGGTCAGCATATCAATTAAAAATACGGGCTACTGTCCATGCGTGGTCTTCGCACTTCTAGTTCTGGTAGTTGGAGTGCAGAATACGTTATTTACCCGCGCATACACTTATCAGCTATTATAAACATTACATATGTACATTCACTGGTGTCGTCTTTTTTCAAAAATCAATGGAGGCGAGTGTGAATGAAGTTACTACTGAACTGCCTACATTATAATACACAGACGAAAAATGACAAGTTGGTACTCAACGTTGTACTCAGCTCTGGCACTTATCCTTAAACATGTGCGAGCCAAGATCGATAGTTTCACGGGCTGCAACAACGCAAGTCGTACAAATGCAATATATTACGAATATATACATCAGAGAGTAGAATGCGCATGAAGTAACAGCGAACTGTCAATCAGAGACCCCGGCGTGAAACAAAGTTCTGTTGGTTGCATAAGAAAAGCCTTTGGTTTAGAACTTGATATAAGACTTACTTCTAGGTCCTGGGATGTTGCCACAGCAAGTACAAATTTGCGATCATAATCCGTAACTGAGATTGATTTATCAGAGAGCACACGTTAAGGGGTAAACGAGAACTAACCTAGCGCAAAGATATTCTGTTGAAGGAATTCTTCCAGTTCATTCAGAGGCGTGGAAGGGGTAATAAGAGTGTATGGTTCTGATGCTTTCCGTTGAAATTTCGTCATATACTGGACCACATTGTCAGTCTATATCATCCAGGCGGTTAGATACAAATAATAAATGTCCAGTGGGATTGCATCGTACAGGATTTGCGGTTCCTGCTTCCCATTTGGCTTTCAAACCTGCGACATCAACATAACCAATCGGTCGCCGATCACGACTCAAAACGCTATGCGGTATTGTCAGCTCGCATTCATGATTCTAAGGTCACATGGTTAAATTGACAAGCCGACTTACGGGATATGAGAAAAATCACGATCATAAGCAAGCTCTATTGCACGTAGTATTGCCTCGTCTGAAGGTAAAGAGAAAGCAGGTGGCAATTGGAGATCCTATTAAAAAGCAAGGTGCACAAGAAGACGGGCGATATCAGGGACGACACTAGCGAGAACGAACTTGTAAGGAAAGCTACCTCGACTACAGCACCTCGATATTTGTCGTTCGCTAAACCTGAAGGAAACATTGCTATAGAGGAAGATGCAGCTGAAAGGACGGAAGCCGACATTTCACGTTCTCACTGTGTTCAGTCTGGAATGGTCGCGGTAATGTCATGAGCGGCCGTCTGATTTCGATCTCATATGCTTTCGTGAATCACGTGATCGGTGCGCGTACACCGTCACAGCGTCTTTCTCTTGACCTCCACCACCTTGGACTCGCTCCATTAGCCTTTTGTTCGCACATAAGCTACGTGGAATCCCGAATTCCTACAAAAACATATAAAATATACCAGAGATTAACTCGTCGCTCACTTCTGTGCTACGCTACGACCTGCCAAAGGCGTCAGGCTAAACTCTGCTGAATATTGGAATAAGTTATCCAGCTGCAGTACGCATATATAGCGTTTGTGATGGTACGGTCAAGGACTGACCAATGATTCTTTAGCATCTGATCTAACAAAGTAAAATGGACACTGAACGCCGCTCATCTTCACCAGAATTGGAACCCCAACCAATCCACCGTCTTCAAGAAGCAGTAATCAACCGAATCGCTGCAGGAGAAGTGCGTCCTACCAGTCACGCTATGATATGTACCCTTTGGCATCATCTAAAAAATACCTGAAGATCATTCATAGGCCGGCCTCAGCCCTTAAAGAACTCATCGAGAATAGCCTTGATGCTGGGTCAACTTCAATACGAGTCACTGTTAAAGAAGGTGGTATGAAACTTCTACAAATTCAGGATAATGGAAGTGGTATACGGGTATGTATGGAGCGTTGATAGAGATATGTTTATGATTTATGCGCATACAGAAAGCAGATCTGCCCATTTTGGCTGAAAGATTTACAACATCGAAATTATCCACTTTCTCCGATTTAACACGACTCACAACATATGGGTTTCGTGGAGAAGCTCTGGCATCTATTTCGCATGTTGCCCATTTGTCAATCATCACCAAGACCAAGAAAGATGCCTGTGCTTGGAAGTAAGCGCTACAGGACCTAAATAATTACATCCTGACCTTTCTCAGGGCAGCCTATTCTGACGGCTCCCTAGCTCCCATCAAGGCAGGACAGACAGTAGATCCAAAACCATGTGCTGGTAATGATGGAACGACTATAACAGTGCGTCACAGCTCGATTATAACAAAGAAAAAATACTTCATTGTCTACTAACAGATTGAGGACTTATTCTACAACACTCCTACCCGCTTATCTGCTTTGCGAAGCTCGTCCGAAGAGTATTCTCGAATACTCGACGTAATGACAAGGTATGCTGTGCATAATCCTAAGATAGCTTTCGTATGTAAGAAGGTACGAAAGACTTTTCTTAGCTGTTATTCATTGCCGAGCAGCGTATCACATCCTAATCATAGGCGGGGTCACCTAGCTTAGATCTGTCTACTCCTTCTTCTTCGGACGTTCCTCAAGCAATACGTCTGTTATATAGTCATTCAATCGCCAAGGAGTTGCTACATGAGTCAATATCGTCTACGGGTAACAGTCAACGAGACGACGACGAAAATGACGATATCGATGATACCCCCAAGTCATGGTCTGCTGATGTCCATTTTACGAACGCGAACTATCAGGCCAAGAAAATGGTGTTTTTGTTGTTCATAAACCGTTAGTACAATGATCTATCCTAAGCTCACAGAAGCGTGAAGTTGAATGGCGTTCTCGTAGACCGACTTGTTGAATCTTCACGTATCAAAAGAAGCATCGAATCAGTTTACAGTGGTGTCCTCCCAAAAGGTGCTTCACCGTTTGTTTATTTGAGGTATGGTTTAGTGCTATAATTCATGAAGGCGGGGATTATATTTTACTTGCAGCCTGGAAATTGACCCGCGTTCTGTGGACGTCAATGTCCATCCAACTAAACGAGAAGTTCATTTCCTCGATGAAGAAGCTATAATGGAAAAAATAGCAGATGCCATTCAGAAAACACTAGCCGGCCAGAGTCAGTCTAGAATTTTCGAGTACCAGGTAATCTCATCCAGTCGTTGTATCATCATGCTCTGAGATAGCTCCTCGTCTCAGACTCTCTTGACAGGTGCTATATCAGGCTCGGGGGAGCCTAGCAAGAAAGGCAAAGAAAAGGAAAGGAGAATAGATACAGAAGACGAAGACGAAGAAGAGAGTACTCAATCACCTCTTCCCAAAGGTAAAATAAATTTCCAGTTACACTTGTTCAAGTTTAGATCTTTTCCTCGTCATTTTCAAGTGGGAGAGCCGAAGAAGAAAATTTCGTCTCAACACAAGGTTCGCACGTCCTTACAAGATCGCACACTGGATTCCATGTTTCCGATCGCCGACCCACTAATATTGGACGACCCACTGGCCAGTACTGACCATAACAGCCCTAGTACTAGTGCTGTTAAGGTCGCAGAAATCAAAGAGTCTGCTGTTGCTCTGTGTTCTGTGCAGACACTGAGACAGGCAGTAGTCACAGGAAAACATCATCGTAAGTAAACTTTCCTTTCGTTAATCGAAGTTTACCATAAAATGTCCATATTCAGAATTGACCGAGATTATCGGGAAGCACACGTTTGTTGGTTTTGTTGACCTTCCTCGCTGCCTTTCCCTCGTTCAACATTCTACGAAGTTATATTTGGTAAACTATGGAGCCCTTGCGTAAGTGTATAGTTATCACTTACCTACCGCTAAGTCTAAAATTCAGGTTATCTGATGTACGCACGCAGAGAAGAACTCTTTTATCAACTGGGTTTGCGGCAGTTTGCTAATTTTGGAAAATTGAAACTGGATCCTCCACCCCCATTAAGAACATTGGTATCGCTTGCAGTCGACAACGAGGAAGGGATTGAGAATAGCCGTTTGACTAAAAGTCAGATAGTTGACGTATTATACTCTTTCAAGAATATTCACTCTCAAGGCTGACGAGCCCTTTTTATTGTAGCATATAGTGGAGATATTGATGAGACATAGAGACATGCTTGCAGAGTACTTTCAACTGCATTTTGACACGGAAGGAATGGTCGTGTGTCTCCCTCTTCTTCTGAGAGATTACACGCCCAATCTCGACAAGCTTCCGCTGTTTCTCATGCGGCTTGGTGCTCAGGTGAGCTATTGGTTAATTACTATCCTTGTTGCTCATGTAAAGTCGAAAAGGTTCGGTGGGGCTCCGAAAGTGAATGTTTCATCTCATTTTTACGCGAGCTAGCTTATTTCTATTCCCCTGGACCGCTTCCTGTCACCCCTACCCACGATTCGGAAGGTCCGAGCGACCAGAATGAGGCACGAGAGAAGTCAGCTAAATGGCAAATTCAATATATCTTGTTTCCGACGATGAGGCGTTACCTTTCACCGCCGAAGTATCTGTTGGATAGAGATGTTGTTCAAGTAGCGAGCCTTCCTGATCTTTACCGCGTATTCGAGAGGTGCTAGTGTCTACATATCTGAAGAACACGCTTATAATTCCACCAGTGCTGGTCGGACTACCACCAGCGCCGCTCTGAATTGCAGAGGATCTGCATAACTTTATCAACATCCAACGATATTATACTTGATGCCAATCTATGCAATGCGGTACTATACATGTATATGTCTCAATATTATATCAAAAAATGTTCCAACTTGAGGATATAGGGGCTCAACGTAGTGTATGACCATTCGGAGCGCTGCGATACAGGGATGGGGAATCAAAAATAAAGGCATCAAATTCGGATTCGTTGTCAGAATCATCATCAGAGTCGTCAGATATGTCATGAGTCCTGCCAACTTTGAAAACATCCACGAATGGAGTTTGGGGAACATCTGTAACAGTGTCCCTTGATTTGGCTAGAATTGCTGCCACACGTGCTTCTAGTTGTTGGCTAGGGACGAGTACGGGGGTATGGGACCTGGGGTTCTGAAAAAATCTGCTCAATTCATGCAGATCTTGTACAAGACCGCCGAGATCCTCCTCCAATCCATCAGATAGTGCTACAGCTAATGATTCTGCTTCCGGCTCGAATTCGATCATAGAAGGTCTGTATGATACCTTGCATGTTTCGAATATAGCAGTGATATTAAAGCGACACTGTTGTCGCAAAGTGTCCGGCTGAGCAACACACCAACCAGAGTCCTCCGGAACTCCAAAGACGTCGGTGACGTTGTCGGTACCCTTGGTAAGCATACTCATGTGCATACTCATGCGTAAAATATGCTTAGCAGCTGGGCCTCCAGCGATTGTCATGGGCTCTTCAAGAACCTCCAAAGCTTGCGAGGAGAGATCGCTCTCTACCAACCGCAATAATGGCATCAACAACTCGGAGCCCAAGGGTGCCATCAGACTGCGGGATTCGCGTTGTTGGAAAAATATTTTGAGAACTTGCATGGAATGTACTCGTAACCAGCGTTCACGATTCAGCACCAGTCCCAGAAGTAGCGTAGCAATTTCAGTCCAATGATCGACACCATAGTGTTCGCGCAGGCTTAACACAGATTGTCGAAGGAAATCATCCTTGGTCCTGAAGCGATTCTTCACGAAAGACGTCATGATGCGGCTGATACTATCTCGGCCTTCTCGGTCTGCTAGTCGAGCAATGCTGTAGGCAAATTCGTTAAGTGACTCGTCATGTGAATCGTTCGCCATCGCATGTAGACACCATGGCAGAGATACTGTATAAAGATCGCGCAAACGTCCCTCCGTCGAATCAATCAAGCGAGAGTCGTTGATGCTTCCCAAAGACTTGAAAGATTTGAAAGTCGCTTCAACGGTAGTAGACGAACGGAGACCGGCTAGTAAAGACGATTGTAGCGAAGAGTAGCCCTTCCAATCTAAAGGACGCTGAGACATGATAAGGTCCACCATGGCGGGATCATCCAAGTTAATGCGAGTGAGTAGCACGGTGAGGAGTTTCAACACTTGCGTAAATTCACTTTCGATAGCAGTCGAAAGACATGCGTGAGTAGTCCAGAAAAGTTGTGGCAGGAGCGAGCGGTCTAATTCCTCAGTTGATGCCAACGCAATGAGAGTCAGAACTATCTCATTGGTAAATAGCTGGATGTTGACATCCGTAGCAGAAATGGTAGCTGATAAACGAGCAAGGAGTTGCCCCAGACTGTCTTGCGACATTGGTGGCATGAGGATTCGGTACAGTTGCAAGGAACGGAAGGCAATTGGGCGTATTGCACAGGTAGTTCCATATGCTAGTGCCAGTTTCCCCCATTTCCGCAACAGTTCAGGAGTGATAGGATTCAGGATGGAAACCACTTGAGAACAGAGCTGCTTCATTTTGGGTCCCGCATCTTCATTCGTATCATCATCGTTCCAGAACACAGATTCTCCTTGCTCCAGTGCAGAAATTGTAGACTTAAGGGTTGATCGAGTAACATGAACTGATCGATCGTTGAGCTCGGCATACGCGGGAATGCAAGATCGTATGAGCTGGAAAAGCATGTGCTGTGCTTGTTGCCGGACGAAAAGTATGCGATGGTCAAGGTGCGAGAAGATGGCATGTAGTAAGACAGGAATTTGATCATGCATCGTCCACTGACGATCTAAAGCAACGTCAGCAATGAATAGCATGGCGTATTGCGCAGAGCCCAAAGAAAGTTTTGGCTGGTCTTCTGCAAAAAGTATATCTAAATCTGACCATAACTCAACCTCTTCTGCATCGGGAATACCCAGTTTGTGATCGATATTGGGTAACATCCGTTCAGGCTCTATAATACTACAGAGTTGCTCGAATATCTGCCGTCCAATAGCAGTTCGGGACAAGCAAGCCACGATATGAGCAGCACATTTAATGAACGCTGTGGTGGCCACTTTCTGGGATTTTTCTACCAAGAATGTGATAGTGGCCAGCCCATTAGCTTGATGCGGGGAATCTACAAATCGAGTCCATATTGCAGCAATCTGTTCCGGGTGACTGTCACCATGGCGCTGAGTTAACGAGACCATGTGATAAAGAGCCGTACGACCTTCGCTGGAAATCCGCGAGACACCTGATTCGTCTTGCTGCAGGAGTTGGATATTCTGAACCCAGCCCTCGAGACTTTGCAAGAGGAGAAGTGACAATCTATGACTCCCTCGGCTATGAATTCGGGGTAACCACGTAGCAAGGTGCGAAAGAACATTGATAGCTTGGGTGGGATGTTCTCCAGCAAGACAGTCAGAGATGAGGTGGTGAGCATGCAGATAAGTGCTAGGTGCCGAGCTACCGACCAGACTTTCAAACTCAGTCATCGAAAGGATGCCGAACGACCGCTCGTGAATCGTCTCGAGAATATTAAAAGCATTCCGGCGAATCCCTGGGTCAGTGTGACATAGGTTAGACAAACCGAGAGTCACAACTTGACTATATGTGAAACCATGTTCGCTGGTCGTGCAGATGATATCTGAGACGATTTCGAAAAATAAGGCACTTCCTGAGAGCAATTCCTTGTAGCCAACAAATGCACGGCGTAAAGTTTCATCGAGCAGAATGGCATCTGGCTTCGGGAAAAGCAGCAAGGAACGAAGTGCTTTTCTAAAAACGCAAGGGACGTGGGTAAATAGAAACAAGAGCGACTCGAAACCAAGCTTACCTCCCACGAGCTTGCATTTGTGGATTGGATGTGGCAAATATAGCACCGATCCTCTCTAAAGTTGACGATGCCTCCAAAGGTTTTAGGAGCTCCATGGAGGGACGCTCAGTAGGTGAACTCGAAGAGACCTCAGGAGGAAAGTAAGCTTTTTGCTACAAGTAATGATCAGTTAAAGCTACATTCCAAATTCCAATCACGACTCGACTTACACATAGCGAGGCCAAAGCACCGACAGCAGCGCTGGATAACAGCTTCGTCTCATGCTGGAAACGTTCTGCAGCGTCAGATTCTGCCTGTGGATCATTCGCTGCAGCTGCAGATGCTCTTTGCATGATTATAAAGCGGTGCTTAGCGGCATCGGATTGATGCCCGTACTGACACCATTCTTCACACAATCTATAAAGCGTCAAGTGCATATTTGGTGGGATGAAGCGTTCAGAGTCAATCAGATTAGCAAGTCCGTCGAATAGACGTTCCACAGTTCCACAGAAGTAGCGCCGCAAACGTTGTAACGCATAGTTTTCGCGGTTTTCTGCAAGAAATAACTGGGTACTTCGGACGAACTTGAGTACGTGCGAAAGCGCAGCTTGCTTCGCAGCCGACCGCTGACGGGGCAGCAAATCTGCGGTGAGATAGTAAATGCGAGCCACAGCGGAATGTAGGCGATCTTGACGACGCGTTCTTCCAATAGGCGTTGAGGACCCAGCCTTTGGTCGAGTTTCATTGTAGAATTGACGTGAAGCTAAGGATCCAAGATCTTCTAAGAGTGTTGGGTAAGCTCCAGAGGGGAATGAGTTGATACAAAGAACAGCAGCGTCGCGGAAAGGAGTGTAATCGGAGTCGAGGAATGGAGTAAGATATCTGAAAAGATGGCGAGCCGTCATCATACGTTCGCGTTCAAAATTAGAGTCTGAAGGAACGCGCGAATGCTCGCGACCCACATTGGTCATGGCGGAACGACCATCGGACACAGCTGTAGTTGCACATAGGATCTTGATCCACATGTGCCATTGATCAATGGTATGCATGTGTTCCTTGATCACCCTGTACCCATCCTTTTCTCCCGTAAATGGGGCTCGACCGCCCACACCAGTCGGAGCCCTGGAAAGGAGGCCTGCAAGATGGAGCATGACAGGATGATACCGAGAAGATGCTGCAACGAGCGTATCACGGAAAGCATTCGATGCCTTGACGGAATGATGAATGCATATTTGCATAAACGCGGGGAACACATGTCGCCACAATTTACGGTCCTTCTCGTTGCTGCTGTCAGCAAGCCGCAGGAGAACATCTGTGCGTGTCGATTCTCGCCATTGCTGTAAACGGTCAAGCTCGGATCTATCCAGCAACTCGTCATACCCTTCGAAGTACGTTTTTCCAATTCCTTTCCCGTGCAGCAGGTCGGCGATGTGAGAAGAGGGAGTCGATCCATCTACTTCAGGGATATTGGCACCTATATGTCCTGACAGCATTCTAAGCATGCGAATCACCTTCACACCTGACGAATGGATAGACCGTGTCTCGTGTGAGAGTAGAAATAGAGCACCGGCAGATAATTCATCGCTCAGTAACGATATAGTCTTTCTATCGTCATCACTCAATAAATCCTTCTGCCGTCCGATAGTATCGTTTATCCAACTATCCACGAGAACACTCCAGAACTCCAGCAGCCTGACACTTTCCAGGGCAAAATTCATTCCAGACCCCTCCCGCACAACGTGACTGGGATCGAAAAGGAACGTTGTGAACCGAGATAGAACTACAACGGCACTTTGAGGTTCAGCTATGAATCGTTTCATCGTTTCAATAGCTATTTCCCCTAGGCGGGGCTCTACATGAACGACACCATGTATGAGCATATCAACAGCATCCTGGAGAGGTAACGAAGAATGCAGACAACGAGGCCACGATTGAAAGCAGGTTTGCAACATATTAATCTGGGACGCGAGGTAACTGGGATATGCGACGATTGCTTCCGGATGGCGCCGAATTACAATGCCAGGAGATTCCTCATGAGAAAGATTAAATCGAGCGGAGGACCACTGTTCATCGAAAATCGACATCTGTCCGACAGTACTACTGCAATACCTTGCGATAGCAGTTAAAACCACACCACAGCGATCGAAGAAATCCTGCATGCCAGGCTTCGACAGGATAGCCTGAGGCAAGATATCCGAAGACGATGGATAGTCTGTCTGTGGGGGTACCACAAAGAAATCTGTGCTCGAAGGCCATGTGGGGTTCGGCTCCTCCCGTTCAATAGCAGCCAAGGTAAGTAGGATTGCTTGAACAGAAATCGCCAATCGCTCTGGAGCCAGAATATTAGGAATGTTTTGCGTCGGAGATGCACGGATAGCAAATTCCTGCATCAACTCCAGGCAAAAGTCACTGCCGTAATCGAAGTGTCGAGAGAGAACGAAATGGACGGTATATACAAAGGGCTCTAAATGCTCCTCGTGGGGAAAAACAGAAGGACGGTTGGTAGGAAAGAAATGCTTCATCAATGATTCCAGTTTCGAAGTGGTGGTTGAGGCCGGCTCCTGACATCGATATAAATAAGTCCAAATTAAACGCATCATTCCATTCATGACAGGTAGGCGATGAGGTTTCTCCTGCTCGACAGACGTTAGTGATTAGAAAACCAAACTTGTATAAGAAGAACTAACTTTTAACTTCGAAAGCCCTGCTTCAAAGCAAGCCATCCAATTACGCAGGAAAAATTGGTGTGGCGCAACACAAAGGCAAGCAATTGTGAGTGGATATGCTACATTCCAATATCGTGGCTTGCCCATCATATCTCGAGCCCGTGGAAAGATTTTCTCGATCGCCTTTGCCCACTGTGGATGGTTGACTTCTGCTTGAGCGGTCTACAATATGACGTCAGATAACAAATATAAACAAAGAGCGTCTAAACTTACCTTGCCGATTGAGTGCAAGAGGCGAGTCAGAGTTTCTGCAAAAGTCGTCTTGAAACGAAGCCCGTGTGTGTTTTCGAAAGACTTCGACAGTGACTCCATGAACTCTGCACCTTCCTCAAATGCTTCTGGCGGCCAGACCTGGATATAACCATGCATAAATGGAGAAGTCAACATAGATCCTGATTGTATATCACCTTAATCTGGATGTGTCGGAGGCCCTTCACCAAATTTTCGTACTTGGTGTCAAGATCCTTAGCTACCTGACCCATAGCCACAGGATTCAATTCTCCTAAGAATCTATCCGTTACACTGACGAAGCTAAGATATATGAATTAAGCGGATGGACGTCTGCGTGTGAGGGTGTCATAATCATTATTCTTACCGAACATTAGCCAAGTGTCCCAAAAGTGTCGCAAATAAATCCGCGTTAATCCGATGGTTAGCAGACTGAGCAAGCAGCTTTAGGTCCGGCTTCTTAAACTGATCAAACGTCGTCTCTTCCAAGCTCCATCCCAAAGACTCCCCCAATGCGTCCTTAGATATGAGTTGCAAGACTGCAACCAAAGCGCGACACATAATATAGATAGAAGCAAGCGATTTACGCTCGTTGACAGCAAAAGAAACTTCGTGCTGTCTCATACTGCGGTTTAGGGTTGGGGATTGAGTAAGATGATGTCGCAGAATATGCGAGCTAACACTCTCATTTTGACTTTTTCTCCAACGCATCACTGAATCAATGACAGGCTTCGTATGCTTCTGTGCTATCTTTCCGAGGGAGATAAGCAGACCGTCGAATTTCGGATCTATATTTGGGCCCAAAAAGTCCGACAGTAAACAATCGCGGTCCTATGTCATGTTTAGTTTAAAAGCAGAGCGTATCAGTAAAATAAATTTACCAATGATTCTCGCAGAAAGCTCTCAATTTTAGCCTCAGCTAATGTAGCAAAACGTATGAAAACTGCATGCAAAGCATAGTCGGAAGGTGTCTTTGGGTCCATGACAATTTTATCATCTTCATCCGTAATCAAAGACACTTCGCTCTTGCCAAACTGCCCTCCGAAAGCGCCGGGCATCCTGGGTACCGGGGGTGGTGAGGATGACCCAAAGCCATGGCCCAAGTCACTACCGGTATCTGAGCTATGAAATATAGAGCCATTATGAGAATGTTGTGATTTGACAACAGAGTGGCCTCTGGCTCTAGATGCAGCACGTGGACGAGACTCGCTCGCGCCAGGCGTTGGTGCTCGAGGATGAGGCGGGCTTGTAGTGAAAGACGGCTTTTGAGAAGATATCGTAGGTGCATGAGCGAGGGACGAAGTTGAACGATTGAATGGGTTCTTGAGAATGGGATAAGCTTGGTGGTCAATCTGTGGTAGGGGTGGAACGTCGCTGCTCTTGACAGTGATCTTGAAAGCATTACGAATTGAAGCAAATGAAGGCTTCTTTGTAAAAGGCGAACTACTTGTCGTGGCCACAGAAGATTGTGATGAATGGGCAAAAGGTTTTGCTACGTGACGTGTGGACTGTGAGTGTATAGAATCTTCAGATGTTACGGAGTCGCCGCGGGAATGAAAGTAACCCCGTTCAATGCGTTCAGGAAGGGCAATGGGAGTAATTAACGTAGGTGACTCTGGTCCAGAGCCGGTATTTCCGAAAGCTCCAAACGCATTACCACCCGAGCGACCGAACGGAATGGGAGTCGACTGGAAATCCTCGTCAAAATCTGAAACAACAGTCAGTGGTGCTTCCAGCGCTAATCAATTGGGACAGACCAGGTATGGTGATTTGTATAGCATCTGAATTCATTTCTCAATACCCTGATTCCACTTGAACACGGTATTCGGATCGTGCCCACACGCCTGTGTCCGTGCACTGCTAAAGCCTTGTACGTTGACTTGCCAGTGCCTGAAGTTCTAAGAAGGTGACAGAAAAAAGGAAAGCTGAAAGAAGGATAGAAAAGAGTCAAAGAGAAACGGCGTAAGAAAAAGCAGCGAAAAGGCGACTACCCGCAAATCGTTGCGAAGATCAAGAACACCGAGTCGCTACAGTAACGACTTCAGTACAGCATTGTTGACTTGTACCACTGTTTGGCACTCGCAGCCGGCCGCACCGTGACTAATGATCAGTACTAGGCCACGTTGTTATTCTTGGTAAGTTTATCTATAGTTTGTAAGGTTCTAGATAAGCAGGGGAGGTTCTTCATGATTGCATCCAGGTAGCTCAATATTCACATGCATCAATCTATCAGCATTGGTTTAACTCAAAACACCTTGCAGTACTAATACTACAAACTCCAAATAACCCTTGTCTATCACCAGTGCCCTCAGTTTAGAAACAGTAGGTCGAATCGAGATACGCCTCGGCCAAAAGGCTCTATTGCCAACAACAGCAAAGGTAACAGTATTCTACAATACACAACGATTCAGAAGGCGGTACATGAAAGCGGATGCACTCAACGACAGCATTGCATGATTCCATAGCAGGTGGTGGAAGAAATGGAGTTTCGCGTTTACCAACGGAAAGGAGAAGATGGACGCAGGATTGAAAGGGGAATTAGAAGAACAAACTGGGAAAGAGAAGCTGTAGGAAAGGTAGGGACATTAAATGATGGCCAAAGCACCATGGAACGCAGATATGTATAGGCAGAGCAAAAACGTGTAGCAGTATTGGAGGTTCGTGAATGGAAGAAGCAGGTAAGGGAAGAATGTGGAAGCGACTGTGTATGGATATTGTATGTAACTTTTTGACCAGAGTCCCATAGAACAAGAAAAGGAGGCTTGAAAAAATGAAGGGAACACATTTGAACCGGCGTAATGACATTTCCATCATAGACGTTAATCGTGTCGGTTGCGATGTGATTCAAGAAATAATGCAAAGGGAGGAAGGGGGTGGCCTTAAAGCAAGAAAGCAAAGACCGTGATTTTTGGGATTTCACAACCCGTTAAGCCTCTGCACAAGGGCTTGTACCAGCTGTTCCTCGACTCCAAATTCCCTGGCAATCATGCTGAATGGATCAGCATCATGCACAACAACGTCCTTGATGCCATGAGGACCAGTCGCACGCGCACCAGAGTTCGAGCTTTCGGAGCGGAAGGGACCAACTTGGTCGCTTTGCACATGTCCCGTGCTGGATCTACGGAAATGTGTAATCGACGTGGCAGAGTCAGGAGTGTGGAGACTATGGGTATTGGTATTCGGAGAACTGGTATTCGAGAAAGATAGCGGGAGCGAGCAAGAGTCAGCAAGGTCTGATAGCACGTTCATTTGCTGAGTGGTGAATACTACATGAAGCTTTTAAAGGGATGGCTACGATAACGAAAAGGAACGAAAATACCTTGGCATTCAGCACCAGCGCGGAGTAAATCATATACGAGCTGTACTTCCTCCGTGTTTGTGTTCTCACGCATACGAGAGAGTAAGACTTGAACAGCAGCATGCGTGAGGTCTGTTGTCAAATGTCAGCATCCTTCAAAAGAAAGGCGAACTGAAAACATACTGAACAAGACATCCCTTAGTGCGGTGGACCAAAATACTCGACTATCGATGTCTGCCGGGAATTTGCTGAGAATACTCACGAGAGAGTGGAAAGGGAGAGTAGGAACTTTGAGAAAATGGGACTGTGAACCAACGGATAAATCAGCATGATAACTTTAATGAGCGAGTCAGAAACCTACTTCGGGCGAACGAATAAGATGCAACAAAGAGCTGAGCTCTCCCTCGGTAATCAGCCCTGTATTCAGAGTAGTGATGACATGCTCATGGCTCAATCCGGTCAGCGACGGCTTTGAGCCGTCGAAGCTACCTTTCCAAGAAGGAAACAACTGGCAGACGATATAATCGTCAGTGAGCGCTCACGAGGGGTATGTTATGAAAGGACATACAGCGCGCATCAGCTCCTCTTGGCCACTCCTTGTGACAGTCACCCCCCTTGCTCGCTTTCCGCGGCCAAGGACAGAATTCTGCGCCCCTCTTAACGCAGCTTTAGCAATTTCCTCATTCCCAAGCTCCACATATGCATGGCTCATTGTTTTACCCCGCCGGTCGAGCAAAACGTGTACCCTCTCAACGGGCTGCTTCAGCCAGGTGCAGATTGCGGGCGGTGTGATATCCTGCAGCGAGCCTACAGTCAACGACAACTCAATGCAAAGAGATATGATATGACGGCATACCCAAGGAACATTATCAATGCGCAGCACGATATTCTCATTTGGGCGTGAAGACACTGCCGGCTGCCTTCCCGGGATAGGCGTCGAGGAATCACGCGGTTGACCAAAAAGGTTGGACGGGCCCATCAGAGACCCGAAGGCAGTCAACTCGAACGCACTGGGAAGGAGACTGTGGTGCTCATTCTTGCTACGTTTCTGCAAGGGTGATGCAGCGCCGTACGATTCAGGTACCATATCCATACGTTTCTCACTGAAAGACATCGAGGTAGTGTTCTGGAGGTGAAAGTTATCAACGCCCCTTTTGCATACTGCACATTCCATGTCCTTTTCTCCAACGATGTTTAATGCACTAGTGAGGCATGCAGAACACAGCGGATGTAAGCAAGGTTCCAAGATGGCCAATGGACCAGTAGCGCGCCCGCACACAGAGCATGAAGTGTCACTGGCCTTTGTGGCGTTACTGTGCATAAGCGGATCGGGTAAGTGCTGCTGAACAGATTCTGCAATTGTAGAAAGAGTGGGGGCGTGAAAGGGGTCCTGGAATGCAAAAGGGAGGCCTACGGGTTGTGCAATCGAAGTTGAGAAGGATTGAGGGTATGGGGAGTACGAGTTTTCGTCGATGTCGAATAGTTCGGTAGACATCTACACAAATTGAAATGGTTCAGTGAGCTATTTATGATGATATATTATGGAAGCGCTTTGACAGACCTGTCCAAAAGAGGGGCGACGGCGCGTGTGCGCGGGATCAGTGAAGCTTCCTTTGAGTTTTAATTGGCTAACGTTTGTAGGCTTTTGAGGCGGTGTGTTCAAAGCCATAAGGGTCCGTCGTGCGGGTGTCCGAGTCACTTGGGGTGATAGGGGCGCGTGGAGTGGTACGGCATTGGATTGCGCACGAACACGGTGATGGGTAGACAAGAATGGAGGAAGAAGCACTATATCCAATATGGTCATTATCATATGAAAATTGCCAGGCAGACGAAAACAAACAAACCATCTTCTGCTTGGAATCCTGATGAGTTAACGTCAGATAGAGTCTGGTCGCTTTCTGAGAGCGCATACATCCGGTGTGGGTATCGTGTAGTAGGGTGTAGAGCGGGTCAAAACGTTATGGAATAACGTGGCATACGTACGATAGCACACGACAATGTGTGTGGGTGAACGGATAAAGAGAAACAACACGTCAATAGCATAAAATACGCATATAAGCGATATTACAGACCTTCATCATCGGCAAAGTTGGAATCGTCTGTGGAAGATACCTTTATTCCATTCTCGTTGGCACGAGAGCGCCAATTTTCTGCGATATCTGCAAGACTTCTATCGGTATATTGTGCGCTTGGAATGGATCCTTTTTGAGGTGACACAACTACGGGAATACGCTTCAGACTAGTTGCGGATCCGGGGGTAGTAAGGGTAGAGCCATTTGAGGAAGCAAATGAGCGTATGCTAAGTGGCGTGTACGGCGTTGAAAAGGAGCTTGCAGGAGTCACTGGTGTGCGAAGGTTATGTTTTGGTGCACGGGGAAAACGCTGGGGAGTGACGGGAGGAGCGCTAAGACGGTCTGATCTATTAAGGCGAGTAGCAGCTGGAGAAGTGGGAGCAGACACGGGAACTGATGGAACAGAAAAAGAGTGTTTATGCATGATCCTTTGTTCTCTTTTACCTTTAAGAAATACGAGGATGAAATGTCGTGGTCGTCGTCAATGGCGATGGAGGCAATACTGGGAAATAGGCAGCGACAAGTCAAACTGGGCGGTGGCTCGTCGTGAAAGGCTGAAGCAAGTAAATTCAAGCGTGGGAACCCTGTATTTGACCCGCGTCGCGTAACCGTCACGTGATACGCTTTCTTCCGTACCTCGAGATGCCTGTCAACAGGAACAACAAAACAGCGTCCCCACCGACGGCGACAGTGATCCACAGAGACGAGGACAAGGTTGATTATCAGCCTTAATCATACTGCTTCATATCAACCACACATTTAAGGTGTTCAAATTACTCTTTCCAACCCTGAACTACTATTTGGTGCGTTGCAACGCTTCATTTGGCCATGCTTCACTGAAAACGTTGCGGTCATGTCATGATCCTTGTTATGGTCCATCAATGAACTCGATGCGAGGACGCAAGTATCACGTCCCTTATCTATCTGTGGATATAGTTCAATCGTGACGATAACGCCGCAACCAGATTGACTATAATGAGCGTCAGTCTGAGTTATGCCAATGATCTGCTAGATAAGCTGGTTGCCATCCTTAGCTTTCCTCTGCAAAATAATAATCCGCTTCATCATGGACTCGTCTGAATCATATGCTCCCCATAGAAAGCAATATTTATAGTGCGTCTTAAAATCGACGAAGTGGACGGCAAAGGATACGTACTTTGATTTGCATTCAAAACCCATGGCATGATATCTGTGGCTCGTATTACCACGTCTCAGGACATAGATGCACCAAATATTCTCATCTATTATCATAACTGTGCAAGAGACATAACAGAGCGTGCGTAGTCGAGTTCGTAGATTAAAAAGTGTTCTGAAAAATGTAACAATGAATGCGTCTAAAATTGACGAGGAAAATGCAGAATGCAGTAAACGGAACATAGTTCCTCGTTCCGAAAGACTCCTCAACCCATCAGGCCCTCCCCATCAGACCAAGCTGCAGAGCTGTATCCGCTTCCACCCATCTCGTTGTACTGAGCAATACGTAACCGTTGGCTGGGAGGAATAGACTTGTCTTCTAACCCGTGAGGCGCACCGCCATGCAGAACACCAACCCGTTTCATGGCAAGTAACTAGGTACCCGTTCGTTAGAACATGCCAAATTCAACAAGCAAAGAGCACTCACGTTGTGGGCGGCGTTGCTATGATCGTATACACCACCGAAAAAGGCGGTGGTCGCATCTTTACCAATGTTCTTTGTAAGAAGATGACGACCACCAGGATGCTCGTCAAGGAAGTCGCCAACATCGTGGATGAAGCCCGCAACACAAATCAGTGGTCGACTTTGAGCTTGTTGCAGATCTAAACCGCCCATCGTTATTACGCACAATGATAAAATATGAATACGAGAACGGTAACTTACAGCTCTCCCAATTGATTACAGGCAGATGGCTATTATCTTCGGGCCATGAAAGCTTGTCTTGCGTCTCACGCAGACGCTTCAATTGCATCGTTAACTGGCCTTTGCGGACCTCGTTGTCAGGGAAAACCTACGGACATAAGTTTAGTCAAAATAAGGTCATATCAGTGTTTACAACGTACTTTAAGGTGACTTGCGAGTCCAGCTTTCTTGCAAACCCAAATGAACCATTTTGTAGGGTCATATTGATACCACTTGATGGCATTACGGTAATCCATAGGGAACTGGTGGTGGAAGTTGTGGTAGCCCTCGCCAATGGTAACAAGAGCAGTGACAAGATGATCTCTTGGAGAGTGCTTGTCGTCAAATGGCGTTTCACCTAGCCAGTGAGCAAGGGAGTTCACGCAAAAAGTGGACTAAAGAATATGATTAGTTAGAAGACTAATCAAATGCTGAAAAAGGACTGACGTGATGAACAAATACGAGTCTCAAAAGTCCTGCGTACACGTAACCACCCTTCCAGTCGCCCCATCCAAGCCCAGGAATGATAGTGGGCACGACGAAGGCCATTATGAAAATCAAAGTTAAATAATGGCGATGTTGCCATCTTACAATCTCGCTCTTTGTGAGGTCACTGACGTCAGCAACACCAGGCTTGCGACGGGGCTTAACGATCATCCATCCTATATGCGACCAAAGCAGACCCCTGTGTGCGTTGTAAGGGTCGAGATCGGTATCTGTGTAGCGGTGATGTGCGCGGTGACCACGGGCCCACCACTTGATAGAACCCTCGACAGCACCAGCACCAAGTAACGCAAGGATGTATTGCAGAGGTTTTGAGGCGTTATAAGAACGATGGGCCCAGAGACGATGGTACCCAGCAGTGATACCTAATCATAATCAGTATAAAGGAAGGGACCTCCGGACGGGACGAGCACACCTAGACCAGTGAGGTAGTAATAAATGACAGCCCAGACAGCAGTCTCCCAACGTAAGGGAGTAAAACATGCGCTGACAATGCCGATAATGGGAGTGAGACCAAGGATACCAACGTTGAGCCAGTTAAGCTCAGTTGTCCAGTTGTCCCATGTGATGGGTGGCAAAGGCTTTTGATGCTTAAGTGTATACGTGACATAGTTGTCAGGGATATTCATGTCAGCTGGTTCTTCGTCAGCTTTAGGCTTGGAGGCATGAGCGTTGGCAAGCTTTGGGGTGACGGGAGGAGTGATACTGGCCATTGCAGGCGGTGGAGACTTGCGTGAAGGATAGACTGAAGACATCGTCGTTGGTGGTCTGAGTAAGAAAGACGAGACAACGTGAGGAGTGACTAGCCCGAATTTATGAAGTAAATCTTTGGGGTTGCAGTTTTTCTGGGCTGGGCAGGAGCGTGGAAATTAAATGACCCAGCGCTTTTTTTACCATTACGGCTCGATTTTTGGCTGTTCTTTCAAGAACGCTCCTTACTGTACCTCGCCATTTGGCGAATATCGTGTCGTCTACGAGTATTGGATACATATGTGACGTATTGTGTTCATGACCTTGGTCTATTGGCTTGTGGCAGCACGAATGCCACAGGGCAACTCTTTGGGGCAAGACTCCGCAGGATGTTGTTACTATTTATGGCAACTACAGTATCCAAATGGCGACTCAGACTCAGGTTGGTGTGCGCGCAGCAATCATATGAATCTAGTTCATCCAGGACGTGGAGCAACTTTGGGGAGGCAACCATAGCAGGGGAAGGTTCAAACGTTCAAGGCGGGCCGTGGAACAGTCTACTTTCGCTCTCAGTAACGATGACAATGCTATAATCATGCTACAATCTGCTCCCCAAATATCAGGTGCCTCCTAGTCATCAAGAAATCTTCCCCCTGGCCATCATAGACCAATGCTGTCAGTAACAATACTGCAAGCAATTCGTGCCTTTCTGACACAAGTACAAGCATCAACAGTAGTGCTGATGCAAAGAAAGAAAGTGACATATCAGGAGCAATTTGAACACCAGCAACTTCGCCGCAGTGCTGTTGGGCGACAGAGACTTGTGTCTAAGGTTGATTCCACTAGATACTATTAGTAAAAAAAAATACGCATCCACCAGACCACTGAAATTGGCAACTGGGACCCCCACCAACCGTCATCAAATGCCGTCTGCGAGTCATAGTAGTATCACGGTTGTGGGTAGAGTTGGTTTTCTGGATTCAAAGAAGACCTTGGTTTCAGGATCGTCGAACCTTGATTATCAAAGAAACGGTGCAAATCCTCTGCCTGTCATTCCATAATCATCCACACTGTTTAGGTATGGTATGCCATCATGATGATCGCGAGTTTACTCAGCTGAGAAGCCATCGCAAGCCTACGAGGAACTGTAGAGGGCTAGTTGCATCAAGATGATGTGTGCAGTGGCAACAGCTTAGTGATGGTTGTAATAGCACTGTGAGTCCTTCGTGTCTCAGATCTCAGGGCCTCACTTTGTTTCAAGTTTATGGAAATGCGACACCATGTTCGGGATACAGGAATATCTTGCCACAGCATCGACGTCTTATGAAACGACGGTTTTCGAAGTTTCAATCTCCAAAATATTCCCTGTGGTACTATAGTCGGCTAAAGCGACTATACTACTGTGTCCGTGGTACTCATAAGAAATATCAAGGGAAAATTTATGAGATCAAAATTTGACGACTTTCCCTCGAACTCCGACCTACCGTGCCCGTGATGGCTCAAGAATGTTGCTGAGTGGATGTTAAGAATATTCCTGAACGTCTCCTCCCTTCTACAACGCTATGTTATGGATTCCGGTCCCGCCGCGAGCACGAATTGGCCAACCTCCGATCAGAATCCCGTCTTTGCTTCTGCCACCAGAGTCAACGGTCACGTTGGAGGTCAGTCACTTTGTGATCGCTGTCAGTTTGACACGAGTTAGATCTCATTCTCTCACAAGTCGCTTCTTTATGTTTTTTGGCATGGGACATTCTCATACATCTTGGAGATGAGGTCGAGTATATCTGGCAGTAAGTTGCATCCGTCTCGGCTGGGTACCCCGTTTTAACTTTTATGTTTAGAGGCGGGAACACTTGGCTGAAATACATGTACCTTCTCATTCGCTATATCCCAGTATTAACACAAGGGTATTTTGCCAATGTTTCCTCATCCTTTTCGCTATGATGGAATGTATTGTATTGCAGATGCCTTTTAATCATAACGACAGGCTATAGCTCTGGTATACGCTTTCCACTTTACACTTGCAGAGGTTGGGTTCTCTACCAAGGTTTAGCATCCGAGTTCATGAGTTTGGCTGTCGAAACAGTCCTGCTCGTTCGAGGTACGTGTATATGTGTTTTCGGTTGTTTATTTTTTCAAGATAACCCTCGACACAGTTTACGCTCTATATAACCGCAGCAAATTTATCCTCTGGACGCTATCCACATTATTTCTCGCCGAGATCGCTGCAACGCTCACTGTAATCATACTAACAACGCCAAAGATAGAATTCAATAGAGAATGTATCGTCACCTTTGCACCTCGGATTTATGGTGGATATTGGCACGTTCACTTTCTCTTCTCAACATCGTCGTGTTCTCAATTCGGCTGTCTTTCGATAATGACTTTATATAGGCTCTCCTCTCTCGGGTTCGAAACCATCCTTTTTCTGTTAACTATCTTTAAGTTTGCCACTGTCGTCCGGCGTGGTCTCGGTGATAACACCGTTATCAATGTTATTGTTCGGGATGGAACATGGGCCTACGCCATGGTCTTCGGTACGCTCTTTTTCCTCCGTTTTGCCTTTCATAAGTATGTTTCATCATTCAATTTTATTGATTCCCATTACGATCGTGCAGCCATCCTTCTTCTCAATCTCTCAATGTACCGGTTCGATCACACAGCTATGGCCGGTATCTTTTATTTGTGAGCATACTTTCCTAATTTAAGTTTTTGATATCTGCACATACTAAAAGCGATGGCACCGCTACCCCCTGTCCTCAGTTGGCACTTAACCGTTATGTCATTTGCCGTAAGTGTCTTGATTGCAATCCCCACGACGATGATAAGCCTTGTGGTCCTCCGACTAACTGAAACAAGCAGGGCTCTCACCTCCTCCTAAATCTCCGTCGCCTTAGCACTCGAGTTCGCCTAACCCACACATTAAGCGCCCACTTCACTTCAGGATTTGACGTTGGCTATCAGCTCTCCTCTTTCGGCCAGAAGGGCCACTTTGATGCCTCCGGTGATTATCATCGTCTTCTTTAATCATCATCATTGTTTTGTCTTTGCGTTGGCGTTTTACCTCCTGTCATTTTTTTCTCACCCCCATTTCTCTTGTCTCAGCATCCGAAATCTCTGGAATGGCTGATCGTGAAAGTATTCCCGTTCCTTCTCCTTTATCCCGCACATCTTCCATGCAAGGTAAATAGTTATAATACAGACGACTCACTTTTTGTTCCATTCACCTTTTCTGATCTCTTAATCACCGCTTCCCCAGTTATTCCAGGTCCACACAGCTTCGATCCATAACCTCGGAAAACTTCGCATGAACAAACAGTCTCTCATAGACAATAACTCGCCCCGTATTAGACGTCTCTTCACTTTCCCAAACAGCACCTCCACCCTCATCAGCCGCCTTGCATCCCCCCTCCTCTCGTTTAACCACACCACAAAGCGTCACCTCCAACTACTCCCATATAACGACAGAAATGTACCTCATGACCCCCCGTGCCGTCTAACTTACTGTATGCTGCACTATTGTTACCCCGGCATTCAAATGATTCCCCCCTTTTTTCATATTCAAACATATGTTTCCGCCGATGATATCGAATTGCCCCAGTGACTTCATACTTCCGTTTAAGTGATATCCAGACTACACATGATCACACCATGATCACCCACATTGTAGCTGTTCTCAGAACGTTAGACCGATAGACCGAGTGAGCCCCTGGGCGGACATGGGACTGTAGACTGCGTTATTTGGCCGAGTATTGACTGTGGCGTACTACGGGTGAACCTCAGCCTCCAGACTCTGATCCATTCATGCACTCCTTAAAACATTCGTATTGTACTCCGTTGAAGTCCGCCCTGGGTGCCAACCTCAGTTCGTTCATAGAGGTCTGGCGTTCCGAGAACAGCTGGAATTTGTTTTACATTGTACTTTTTAGAAACGCCGCTGAGCACGTATTCAGGCACATCTATTTATCCCCCTCAAATCCTGAGATTCACAAAAAAAGAGAGCTGTGAACGATCTTCTCAAGCGTTGGGGATAATCCAAAACTCACGGAACTGTCACAAACGCACTTTCGAGAACCCCGCGGAGCTGACACGCCCCCAACTTTATGCAAAATCTATTATGAGCTTTGATCACTACGCCCGCCATCATGCCACATCATGCATCACGGGCTGGGTTCATAACACATTGCGTATCGAATATACAGTCTATCATTCTTTAATCCTCGATGCCAAGTATAAAGATATTTCTTTTTCATTCTTGCATGCTCAAAATTATGGGACATGACAAAAGTAGAAGCGTGCGTCCATGTAGGTAGTTGGACGCCACGATGATTCGAGAGATTTGTAGACGGCGAATTGTAAAAGTAAATTGGGGGGAGAGAGTAGGGTAAATTCTACTGCTATGAGATGTTGATACAACAGCGCCATCCATCCTTCTAAAGATGACAAGGCCACTGTGAGAGGCAGAATATCCTCACTTCATCCAATGACAGGACGCAACGAGGTGGAGAGGACTTTGCCCGAAAGTCAGAAAGAGAGACCAAGGATTGATTGCGACTATTAGACCAAGAATTGAAGGAAAGACAACGCGGATGGGATGATTGAGGTGAGGGGGAAAGGATTGTGAGTTGTGCGTCCACTTTGTGGACCATGAGTGGGTTGATACATTGGTATGATTTTGCCTCGCAAAATGAGCGAGCGAGCGAGGGGGAATGAGGAGTTGTTACGTGAAAGTCGTTTGGATGCCATAACGAGTTGATTCTAGTTCTTTCGGGTGTATCGCAAGTGGATTGAACGAAATAAATGTCTTGAGTGATTTTGGGAGAAGTGCAAATACGACCACTTCATGCCACAAGCGCACTCTTCTTCAAGTTATCTCGCACAATCATATCTTGCACTGTAGAATCACACGCCAAGATCAGAATTTGGAGCAAGGTGGGGCATTTGAGCGCTTACCATTCTCGAGGATAATGATCGTTGACTTCGTATCCTACAATGCCCATCAGTACATCAAGAAATTTGAAAACCTCATGGGTACCCACGGTAACAGAAGTAAAATGACAATAGAAAGGACGCTCAGGAGAATGGTCCTTTAGTAGCGCTGCGAATTTCTTCTGAAGGTCTAGAAAAGATAACAATCAGCTTATCTATGCGCGTCAGTTCAGCCGCCGAAGAACTGACACCGTGAAGCGCTTTCAAAGTCATTTGGCCTATTTCCGTAAGAGACGATATAATGACCCAGTTGTATCCCTGAAGTAAGTTTTGCCTTGAGAATATCGCATTTGTTCAAGAAAAGTATAAGGTCTGTCTTCTTGAGCAGCGGATTTGATACGATGGCCTTCCATAGCAAGACTGAATCAGCCTAATAGAGACAAGAATCAATCAAGTCAGCATCACACGTTGGGACGAATTTGGAAGTAATTCAAGTGAAACAACGGACGTACCAGCCGGTTCACGGTAGGGTCCTCCGCCAAAACCTGGTCAAAACAACTTATCGGCGCCAAGAAGATGATGGCGTTCATATCATCGAAAAATGGAACCCAGGCAGCTGTCATTATCAATTCATTCCGTCAGTCTCACATAGTCCACAACATCATGAGTTGGAATTTTTGATTGCATACCTCGCTAGAATGGTATTATTAGCAATGCGTCCATCGCTGACAACCGAATATTCACACTCACCAGTGATCTCTGGCCGCCGACGTCAAATACTCGCCAGTCGTGGCTCATAGCACTTCCTAGGGGACCTAACGAGACATGTGAACAGGGGTCTTTGGTAATAATTACCAAGCTGTAATACCTGTTTTCATCGTGAAACGATATTCTGTGACGCCTATGGTCTTCAAACGAGCTCGTAGGATATCATCTGGAATGTAAATGAGGATTCCACCAAGAAATCTAGCACAGGTTTATACTCACCATCTGTCGGCACATATCGAGGTGATGTCACTCGATCTAGAGCATCCAAGAAGCTAGAATGTTGTGATTAGCCAGTGACCTCACTAAACGAAAGATGTAACGTACAAACCAGCCATCTCTTCTAGGCGCATCTTTTCAACTTGAAGCAGCTGCTTGATAGTAGGGTCATTCCAGAGCCGTGTCATGTCCTCAGCGCACGCATGGAGGATCACACCAGGATCGTCAGGATCATCCCAGTTCACCAAGTTCTCGCTCTCGCAGCTTTCTCGGGAATTCATAAGCCTTGCGAAGGCTCCTTTCCACAAGCTCGTAGAGTTCACAGTAACTTCCTTTACATTATTCATGCGCTCGGAATATGGAAGGTTCGTGATTGCTGAGAGATGAGAAGCGGCAAATGCAGGAGAACAGGCAGGTAACAGCTTTCGTAGGAGACCCTCCTCGACTTGCATAAGTGGTGCGAGACGCATTTTTAATTTAAGATGTTCTCCTGTTAAGTTGGGGTACTCCTTAAACGGCGTATTCGGGCGTGAAGAGACAGATGAGGAGGAATAACTGGAGGCTTGTGCTTTGTTCATGAGGTCGATTATGGTACGGACGGAATGTACGACGTTGAGCTGTATAACAGCTCGCCATGACGCCCGTTCAGCACGGAAAGCCTAATTACAGAGCTGTGAGACATGGAACAAGAAGCACAATGAAGAGGACCATGTACTTTGGGCGAGTTCATGAGCTGAAAGTCTAGGAGAAGGCTAATGTCAGCTGGTATAGGGCACCTAGAGTGTAAACACGAGGTTACTTTTCAGGGTGGTTGATTTGCCTTCATAATAAAGACACGGTTAGAGCGAGAGCTGGTGATTGGAAGAGAGACCATACCTGATTCGCTCTGGCCTGAGGAGAAATAGGGAAGAAGTGAGGAGATGACGAGGTGAGTGGGGGACGTGCATACCTAGAAGAAGAATCTTGATGGGTTTTGGGCCCTTCTTCTCAGCTTGGCGCTGGCGATTGAGTTCGTCGTCGATTGCGTCTGAGATGCGTTTTGCTTCCTGCTCTTCATGTATTCTGACTTCGCGTTCTGCTAGGGATTCGTTCAGAGGCGGAGCGATGGCGCGGGCGAGAGGGTCGTCGTCGGACGACCTGAACGCTTTGGAGGGCATGGTGAGGGGAGTGGCGAACAGGATGGCGGCGAGAGGGGAGGAGAGGATGGAGGAGGAGGAGGAAGAAGAGAGAACTAAAGTTTGAGCGAGGTTCTCGTCATTCCTGCCAAAGAGAAGCAGGAGGAGAACCTCACGACAGAAATGGCACGGAGCCGGCAGCGGAACGAGCCTGTGCCTTTTTCGTCGCATGTCATTGTCCCCTTATGTAACTTGATCTATCCTCTTCCGGCTATTCCTCCCTGGGGTCCTACCGCGCTCCCTCCCGGGTCCTCCTGTGGCTCTCCACCCACGCCCCGTGCTGCGCAGAAGGGGATGAGGGTCGCCCGTAGAGGATTAGCAGCCTTGACGCCCGTCTTACAGCACACAACAAACCTCGTCTTCTAAGCATCCTTTCTCGCCGCTTCTTCGTCCTTTTCTCCCCCGTGCTGACACAACCCTCCTCATATCTTCAGCCGCCGGCTCACACATCTCTACACACCATCTCACCATCATTCCACGGAACCAGACTTTGTCTGCTATGTTCTCGGCAACCACTAATCTTACCGTCTTTGCACTTTCTCGACTTCCCCTCATTGTCTTTATGTCTCGCTCCGATGTCCGACCGGTGGTTACCGCATCTTCCGAAGCCACCGTATCTAAGTCACTTCTGCGTATTACCAGCTATCAGTGGGAGTATCAACCTGTCTGGCATATGACTATCCTGAAAATCATGCTGCCTACAATATGCGGTATCACTCCTTCAAGCGACGGCCTCCGAGTATAGCACATAGTACAGCTACTCTGATCTCTCCAACCCAACTCCAATCATCGTACCATACTTGCTTTTGTCACTCGTCAATACGTTACTCCAGAACCCATCAGCCACGTCTGCCAAACACGTACTGACACTATGACAGATCTTCGGGGACTCTTCTGATTAAGTACACCCCATCAAGATATGTAAATGTTTTCTGTTGTGCACCTCATCACCTCAAGGGTCCACCTAGGGTACTTCCGTCAGCTCTCCTGCTGCATGTCATGCCAACCTCCACCATCACACAGCCCAACGCCTCTGACCTTTCTGACTACGTAGACTCCTGACTTCAATTTCGACATCACACGCCATATTTCGCGAATAAATAGCTGCATTCTTCCCACCGAGGCCTCAAGTCGCGTGTGGATCACTTTCTATTGACAAGAACACTCCCATCTGTTACTATTTCATGACAGCCTCTGCCACAACTCACAAACGTTCGCACAATCGATCGTCCACGGATGATGGGTAAGTAACGATCAGCCACTTCCCCCGAACTTTCTGATTGACCATATTGCCGCAGCACCCTATACTATAGCGCCATATTGCCACGTTTGCATCCCTGCTGCCTTGCGTACTAATTGTATACCAAGCATTGCAGCGCCCAGCAAACGACGACGTCGCCAGTCCCGACTCTTTCGTTTCCGTTCTCAATTCATTTTTCGAGGGCATCAAATCGTGCTGCGCGTAAGAATATAATAATTGAGTGCCGTCAACACTGGAATTGACAATTCAATAAATGTGTTTTTTTGAAATTCCCTTTTCTTTATTTCCTCGGCGCTTCACGCGTCAGCTTTACGACGGGTACCTCGACAATTACGCTTTCGATACTCTTCTACAGCACTCTTCTTGTAAGTTCCATTTCTCCTCTTCCTCCTAGATTCGAGTCTATATGGAATGTCAGATTTTCCAATGATGCTAGCCACGGCTGAAACGCCATTTGTATACTTATGCGAGTCACTTTACTCAAGGTGTTGAGTCACTTCTGGTACTAGCACGATGTCGCTTCTAACGACTCCGAGACAAGTCGCAGATGGCTAAACGGCGGCTGCATTTTCTATGCTTCAGTATCAGTACACTGGCAACTTCAGTTATGCCTGAAATGGCAATTATCAACTTTAGGGGTTGACTAGTATCTACATTCAGTCTAAAAGCTTAACCCACCCCCCTATAGATGCCAGCCGCATCTATCCGAATCACCCATCTGTCCACGGCTGGCAGCCCCGGTAACCAGTTAACCAGTTAATCAGAGCATCCTTGTTTATACCCCATCACACCACTGTTTCACTGATCCCAGTTGTTTATCTTTCATTCGGCATTTCTTTCCGTATTCGCCTCCTCACACCCGCGCTCCATCGCACGATTCGCACCCAATGCATCGCCACGCTTCTATTTATTCATGACTCGCCAACGTCAAACAAGCCCTTCCACTCAGTGTCTCGATGTTTACTTTTTTTAAATAGTTTTATTGTTTTGTCTTCGCAAGAACCCGAATCAAGCACTTGACTTCCTCGAGCTCCCACTGCGGCATGAAAAACTCATGACTTGGCCTTCTATGGGCTGTGGCCCAGATGCCCAGTATCATGATCAAACTTCCATTTTCTCACCACCATTTCCCACCACTGTGGCTCGCCGTTCGTTGGGGCTCTCGATAAAGGGTTCATTGGAGTCTGGTTCTTGACTTTCCGCCTTTTGTTTTCTCCACCTGCTGTTTCAGTGACTGTCGGCGGTACATATGTTGCAAGTCCGTTATCGGCGCTCGTATAGTTCCGCAATGGAAGAAGCAGACGGAAGGCCTCTGGACTATTTATGCCTTCGAACTTGAGCTCCAGTACTTCAGCATTGGCTTGCGAAGTTGGTGGTGGGTGTTCTTGCCGTGACGGCAAAAGCGAAAGGTACTTTCTAACATCGCCTTTGATGTATTGCTGTCCATCTTCCCCATGTCAGCAGCCAATGGTACTTTCTTTTCTATCAGTTCAGACGATAATGGCGCTCTATGCGCGGGGATCACGTGGTGACCTGTGTTGCAATCACACTGCTTCGATCTTGAACAGAGATTCTAGAGCAAGACCACTGAGCTTCCCTGAGGAACACAGGTCATAGAGTACCGAGTGTACGGGCAGAGCCAACACACGAACGATGATCGATCATCGCACAGTAAATTCGCCGATGCCAACCTATGCAGATCAACTTGAAAGCAGCATCAGAGCTATCACGCACCGTTCGTCCTCGCCAATCATGGTTATCCCTGTGACTCGATGCTTGAAAAACCACACGAACAGGGGACGCAACGTACCTTCGATCGACACTAGCAGTTGCTTTCGACATCCCTGGAACTAGTATCAAAGAAGAAGGCTTCGTTCACTTACCCGGCTATCCCGGCTACTTCTCTGACCGCCGATCCTGGCTCGCCCACAGACCCTGTCGAATTTATTGCGAAGCACTCTCCTTGAGAATTACCCGGCGTCGAAGCATTCCAATTGCTCCATTCTGTCGATGACATCTGTTGCGCTGAGTCTTTGCCCTCGCTTCCGACAAAGAGTCGCGGTACGCCACAGCGTCGTTGAATGCCACTGTTGTCAATGATCTTCTCTTGATTCGGGCGGCCTGATTACCTATGGTCCGTAAAGATGAATGTATCACTTCGAGGAAGAAGAGACGATCGTCGAGTGAGTCTAGCTATATCCATCTCTCAGAACTTCTATACAACCCTAAGAAGTCTGGTTTCCGTACTTTGGAAGCTTTCGTTGTAGAAGCCCATTAAATTATTCAGTTTTCGTCATGACTTGTCATCATCGAGGGGCTCGGAGGTCGTCCCCTTATGAGGCGTGCGACATGGGGTGGGGGATATCTATTGCGAGTCAGATGTGAATTCAAACACTGGAACGGTGTGATGTATACTGTCATTTTGTCGAGGTCAAGGAGGCGTTGTGGACACGAACAGGGTGGCAAACAAGAGAGGGAGGGAAGAGGAAGGAATTGTTGATGTAGGGCAATGAGCCGGAGCGTATATACCAACTAGAGCCTAAGGTCACTATCTGACGTTGTGATAATTTGTGAGACTCATTTTAAAGGTGCACTTGTGGTATCAGAGTATTCAATTTATGTCTGTTAAGCGGAAAGTCATCGTTGCGAGATGCTGCGTCTAAATTGTACCGGTAGTACGAATCACCCACCACCTGTTCTAGCATATATAATAAATACCGTACCAAGTCATCTTTTACGTTTCAGCCCTATCAAAAGCCTGTTATTACAGTCATACCGTTGCAGCCAATGCAGAATTATTGACCATAGGATCTATGTTACCATATTTATAAAACGACACAATAACATCAAAATACCAGAAAATGATTCTAGTCCGGTGAAGGTGGGTTTTCTGGAAGGATAATGGGGGACTCCGATAGGTAATGGTCTAAAATGAGATCAATGATTATGACTCAACGAGGGGAGGTAAAGTCAACCATATCACAGACATACCTTGGTCGTCATTATGCACATAGGTGATGATCCGTTGTATGGGACATAATAAAGGTCGTGCAATATTTGTCCTATGTAATGTCTGATGGCCAACAATTGTCGTGCCAGTTAATGGTGCTCTGTTCATCCACCGAGTGCGATTTTCTCTGGTCCTTCTTGTTATATATGCTTCAAGGAGTTTCACCACTGCTATAGCCTTGAAAGAGCGAGCAAGCATCAACGGCGTCCATCCGTTATCGTCCTCCAGATCGACATGAATTTCATGGTGTGCAAGAAGAAGGCTCACAATTGCCTCACATGTGCCAGTGTTTGCATTTGTGCTGGTGCTCGCAGAAATTGGGCTTTGAGTCGACAACTCCAATTCATCTTCTCCGTCGATACCCAAGATCGCGCAGTGCAATGGTGTCCGTCCCATCTCGTTCTTCAAATTGGGTGCGATGGCGCGGTGTTGGAGAAGCAGGGAGGTTACATTCACATATCCAGAACGCACCGCATAATGCAGGGGTGACTCTCCATCTTCATCTTGCAGGTTTACGTTAATATCTCCCGTAGTGGGAACAGCCTCACATCGATTTTTGGCCGCACCCCTTTCCAGCAATAGCTTGACAATCTTGTCGAGGCCATTCTTGGCTGCAAATGAGAGGGGTGTCCGACCTCTTTCATCTTTCGAGTCGACCTCCACGCCAGCTCTTTCCAGCAACAAAATGACGACTTCTGTATTTGCTTCACTGGCTGCTAAGGAGAGTGGTGTCCGGCCCCTTTCATCTTCCGAGTTGACATCCACATCATTTCTTGCCAGCAACAAACTGACAATCTCCTCGTTTCCATATTGGGCTGCAAAGGATAGTGGTGTCCCGGCCCTCTTCATCTTTCGAGTCGGCCTCGACATTCTCTCTTGCCAGCAGCAACTTGGCAATCTCCTTATTTCCATTCTCGGCTGCAAAGGAGAGTGAAGTCCGGCCGTCTTCGTCTGTCGAGTCTGCCTTCACATCATCTCTTTCCAGCAACAAACTGACAATCTTTGTGTGTCCTCTCCTGGCTGCAAAGGAGAGCGGAGTCCGGCCCCTTTCACTTTTTGAGTCGGCCTCCACATCATCTCTTGTCAGCAACAAGGTGATGATATCTATGTTTCCTCCACTAGCTGCAAATGAGAGTGGTGTCCGGCCCTCTTTAGCTTTTGAGTCAGCCTCCACATCATCTCTTGCCAGCAACAAAGCGACGACCTTCTTGTTTCTACCCTGGGCTGCGAATGAGAGCGGAGTCCGGCCCCTTTCATCTTTCGAGTCAGCCTCCACATCATTTCTTGCCAGCAACAAACTGACGATTTCTTCATTTCCATATTGGGCTGCGTATGAGAGTGGTGTCTGGCCCTCTTCGTCTTTCGAGTCGGCCTCCACATCATCTCTTGCCAACAACAAGCTGACAATTTCTTCATTTCCATCTTGGGCTGCGTATGAGAGTGGTGTCCGACCCTCTTCGTCTTTCGAGTCTGCCTCTACATCATCCCTTTCCAGCAACAAACTGATAATGTCCTCGTTTCCATATTCGACTGCGGATGAGAGTGGAGTTCGGCCCTTTTCGTCTTTTGAGTTTGCCTCCACATCATCTCTTGCCAATAACAAAGCGACAATTTCCTTGTTTCCACTCTGAGCTGCGAATGAGAGTGGTGTCCGCCCTTCTTTATCCTTCGAGTCTGCCTTTACATCATCTCTTGCTAGCAACATCGCAACGATCTCCTTGTTTCTACCCTGGGCTGCGAATGAGAGTGGAATCCGGCCCTCTTCGTCTTTCGAGTCCGCCTCCACATCATCTTTTGCCAGTAACAAAGCGACAGTTTCCTTGTTCCTACCCTGGGCTGCGAATGAGAGTGGTGTCCGACCCCATCTAGCTTTTGAGTCGGCCTCCACGTCATTCCTTGTCAGCAACATACAGACAACTTCCTCGTTCCCATACTGGGCTGCTATTGAGAGTGGAGTCTGGCCCCATCTAGTTTTCGAGTCAGCCTCCACATCATCTCTTTCCAGCAACAAGCTGGCGATTTCCTTGATTCCATTTTGGGCTGCGAGTGAGAGTGGTGTCCGGCCCTCTTCGTCTTTCGAGTCGGCCTTTATATCATCTATTGACAGCAACAAGGTGACGACCTCTGTGTTTCCTGCATTGGCTGCATAAAAGAGTGGTGTCACGGCTTCGTTGCCTTGTGAATTGACATCGTGACCTCGAGCGAGCAGTAGCCTCACCACCTCTACATGATTCATGCCTGCTGCCATGTGTAGCGCTGTTCTACCCGTATCATCGTCTCGTTGAATTACAACAGCTCCATTTTGCAGTTGATATTCGATGGTCCGAGTTAAGCCCCAATAGGCGCATATATGCATCACGGAGCTATGGGAGCCTCCCGTGAGATTCGTACTCCTTAGTCTTTCAATGTTCTGCTTGCAATGAAGAAATTCATGTATAATGGCCTTATTTGTCTCCTCAACAATACCTCGCGCATGATTTCCCCAGTTTTCCACGGCATAACGGCTTAATTCCCCACTGAATGGCCACCAGATATTGGTATCGGCAGGTGGCGGTAGTGACAAAACTTTGAGGAGGATATTCGTGAGTTCTGCATGAGGATTTGAGCATAGCCATTTCTTATATCCGCTGAAATACTCTTGCGCAGTGTAGTCTAACAGAATACCAATCAGATGTAGTCCATGTTAGTATTATAAACTACTCACGAATCAGGCGAGCCACAGAACGCTCTGCATCAATCACAACTAGACCAGCACAAGCCCCCACGATGGTGGTTATATTCACGAGATCATTACTACTGATCCCTAGACCGCCACGTAAAAGCGTCACAGCTTGCTGAAGTTCCTTATCTCTCAGTGGTCGGAGAGCATAAGTGATACACATGATAGCCGTGAAAGCAAGTTCTCGAAGTTTCCCGTCTAATTTGTTGATCCGGATCATCGTTTCATCGTAGGCACTGTTCACCTCTTTGGATAGATTTATGAGAGCATCCCGGACCTCTTGACGAGTGATCATGGTTGCCAAAGACCCTATATGCAGACGACAGAGGAGAAACCTTTCCAGCATTGGATTGCGGCTTTTAGAAGAATAAATTGAAGAAGTACACACATGCCATCTGCGTATTTCGTGACACAGTCGACGACTTCTTCTTTTAGACGGGGTTCTTCAGCAACAAACTCTTCCAATGGTGTCCCGAGAATAGCACATTCGATGTACTGACGTATATCGTCGTCACTTGCACGAATGTACACACATTGCGCACCACGAAGATCCTTCCCAATTGACTCAATATCGCGTGAAGTGACTAGTAGGTTGCATCCAAGAGATTGGAGCCTATGGAGTATCTCATAACGCTTTTTGCGCTCTTCCGCAATTTCGTCTAAAGCATCAACGATGATGAAAACTTGTGAAAAGGCCTTTATTTCCGATATTAGCGTATCGTGAATTTCTTTGAGAGTGGGGCGGAATTTTTGTTGCCGATGAGATTGGTATCGACTCTCAACGCGCTCGAATGTTGGCCAGAAATCTTGGACGAGTTGCTTTAGGAGACTTGCAACAAGGTCAAAAACCGTTTGGCTTGACTGGTCTTTGTAGTCGCAGTATATGTACGCTACAGCAACACTCGGGCTCTTGAGCGTATTGACAAGATGATTGATGATATGCGATCTAGAAGTGTGAAAACGATCAATACAGATTTGTAGTTCTTCACTACGATATTTACGCAATAACCGTTTTCCCAGCACCGGCTGCCAAATAGCATCAGCAACATCAACATTGATCAGGCTTCATACTTACGAATCCCGGGACACCATAATGTTTTAACATCGCCTCTCTCCCACTCCTTGAATCTTTCGTTATCAAATACCCAATCTCCAGTCCCCTCTTGTTTATTGCCGTAGGTATCGTTTTGTTTTTGACGGAAATTCAAAAGAGTCAGCCAGTCAGACAGTTCATGTCGCTCTTTATCTAAAACAAGTGAATATGTTAAATGCCACTAAGGATATGTAATAATATGACTCATACCACTATTCCTGCTGTTTTGGTTGATTGTTATATGATTGCCATTGATTTGCTGTCCATTGGGATGAATTTCGGTGAACGTGCTGCGGCTAGCATCGACAAATTGAGCTTGTCCTATCGCTTCCCGAACATCTATATCGTGAGCAGGCATGAGGAGAGCGGGAAAAAAGATTGATGGAATAAGATAGTGTCCGGAAGCTTCTACAACTTTAACGGTTAGTACCAGTAAGGATGTTGATCAAACAGCAGTTGCATAAGGAAAGGGGAACATGTGTAGACTGTAGATGGCGACTTTGGTCGTACCACAAACTCTGAGATGTGAGCGCTTACTGACACTGACATGGTACCGCAACGCGTCTAATTTGAACGTTCTACTTATCAGTATGGTTTAGCTTGAACCTTACAGTGAGGAAAACCACTACTTATCCCGAATAACCTCCGGTCCTGCCATTTTCCCACAGCGTCGCGGCACTTCAACTTCTACTGCCAGTGGTTTCATCAAACTTGTGGTCAGGGAACACTACAGTACTTGAATTGAATTGTCGGACTAGGTACATATTTTCACTTTCTCTGATCACGAATGCATGAACCTTATTGTACATGGGCAAGCCTGGGCTTATCATATTTGGGGGCAGCTCAAAGTCAACTTAGTAACTGGATTCGCTTTTTTGCCCCACATAATCACATAATGGGAGGATGGTTGGATATTCTTACTCGTGGAATATGCGAGTAGTTATCGTTGCCATTGCACCCTTCTTGGTTTGTTCATTTGCCCATAGATTCGATTACCAATGGGTATACACCTGTTGCGATGGATCTTGGCATGGGTATGTAAATGCAGTTCGCCTCGGGTTTTCACGTCCACTCATTTTAGTTTTTTTTTGTGCTCTGACGATGATCATTCAAGGTGATCCTGGCAATGGTAAGTGCCAACCGAAGTTAGATGTATATTTTTTCAATCATATCTGACCCTATGCAATCTAGGTACACCAGTGACTGGCTGGCAGAAGCACGCGCTCTCCGACGCTGGATGCTTATGCCAGCTCTGGTACCTCAAACCTTATAACGGCGAAGCGGATACATTTACCATACAAAATCTTAGAGGCGGCACTTATCTAGATCTTTCGAATGGTGGGTTAGCATGATATATAACAGTTATATTTTACGATAGCTACTTTTTCAGGGAGCCGCGACAATGGCACGCGTATCATGGGATTTCAACGCACTGGCGAAAATCAAGTATGGATCATTCGACAGGTTCCAGGGACCATGTTCTACAAGTAAGTCTTGGTATGCTTCCCATAGCTGATCAAAGTCCCAAACTTGGCTAACTGGATTGCACAGAATTCAGAACAGACACTCTCAAAGTACGTCTTTATTACTCAACTTCGAATTTTAACCCACGTTATTCCTTCAGCATTTGTCGACCTCAAGGATGGGTATGTTTCTCCTTCTATCGCACTCTTATTTTCTTAGGATTGACCAAATGTCATTAGACTTGATGCGAATGGGACCGAGATTAGGGGCTGGCAAGGGGACTGGCCGGACATATATTACAGTCGTAATCAACTCTGGTCTTTCCAGCGGTTGAGCCAAACAGGACGAGAAATAAACACAATTATCAATGCTAATCGCTATTTGGAAAACCGCTTGAGCCTGAACACTCCTGATAAAATGTGGGAATTCTTCTCCCCTTTTTTTATATCCACTAAGCGATGGATGAAATGATGTATGCAGATACTGGGTAGTCGATCATGGTTTGCTGAAGTCAATATGGTATAATGCCAACCTCGGCAGAGGATGGCAATACCATTATGTCAAGGATAAATTTGACTTTAATGACCTTGCTCTTGGTGTGTATTTTATGCCTTGCTCAAACCATCTTCTAAGTCAAATTTTGACCATGCCTAGCGTTCAAGTCGGAAATGGCCAAATGGCGGAACGACAACGTCCGAGCAGAAGTGAGCTATTCATCATCCATTGGTAGCCGAGTTCATTGTCAACATGTGACTTTTTCGAAGGAGTTCGGTATTCTCTGTGGTGTCGTGTTTACAGCACCCGGCCAACAAGGGCAAAATGAGAATGCATACAACTTCGTGCTAGGTAACAATGGTCGGGGTGTCTATTTCTTCGAGTGAGTTCATCCCATTAAAAACTTGTAGCTGACGCCTGCTCGCATATTCTGATGGTATACGTTGCAAAAGGCCTGAAACAGGTCGATTCTCGGTCTGTTGATATCTTCCAATCCTTCGCTTTCTGACTGCCGTACTGACCAAGATATTTGATAGGAAAATATTGGTTACGACGCGACTTTAGCCTTTCTCTGAACAATTTGATGGTGGTGGATCGCACAGTATATGCAGAATAAAGGTCAGATCATGAGTCTTAAGGTTGTATCGTACTAATGGAGCACAACAGATGACTTTGACCAGTATCAACGTGGGACCACGGTTTTCTGGTTCTCGAGGTTCTTGGTTGTACAAAACATACGTCGGCATGTTGGACCAGCGTTGAGAGTTGAACCTCGATGAATGTCGTAACTTGCTGCATATCGATAATACATGCGTTCGTATTTATCGCCTGGTGACGTATTTTGAGCGTGTGTCAACATAGATCTAGGAAATGTGTCTGGCGTGTTCGGCAGAAAACCGCTTGTTTATCATATCTCACGTTTTATTTCAGGTTGGCGAAGGATGATATGAAAATGCATTCTCATGACTTATCGAAACATCATTAAAGCGCTGATGGATGGCATGCAGCGGACTGCGACACAGTACCCTATCGAAGTTTGACAAAATCTGCCCAGCTCGCAAATGAACCCATTAATGGTGAGTGTCAAAGTGTATATTTATGTCAGCTCTTGCACAAATATATAGCTCATTTTGCTATACAGACCTCATCTGATCGCAACAATGCCACGCTCAAGATATATCTCAGAAACAGAACACTCATGTTCCGCTCCATCCTATTATTGTCTCCAATTATCCCCAGCGGTACATACCCCCCACAAAAGCACCTGATAAACGTGTTCGTGGCTAAAACTGTCGTCGCGATGGTGTACATTCTACAGCACATAGATGAAACCTTAACTTCTGGATGACACGCACACGCCGGTCCCCTAGCTTGAGCGCAGAACTTTACTATGATACAGGACCATTCATGGTTTGTGACATGTGCATGTATGTACGTTTCAGCTGCTGCTGAGGGACCAACCACTGATTAACATGACCAACATATAGCATATACGAAGCGGCCAATCTTTCAAACCATCAACGTATCTAGCTATCACCTCGTCAACCCGTCAGTCTACCAGCAATATATATGGTACGTAACTCGCTCAAGCTAACTAAGTCTCTTCTTTGTTCACGTCACTATGCGATTACACGGCGCCCGAAATTAAAGTTGGCTCAACTTTGTCGTCTAGATAACCGTACATGGGTTGACACGGGTTAATAGAAACTGGGTCCATGTCGCGTCTCATATCTATTCTGCCAGGCGGCGAGGTCATACTAACAACAGAATTCCTCCGATGCATACACTCGATCGCCTTCCTTTCTAATATCATGGTTATGACAATAACGTGTCTTGATCAAAGTCACCTATTACAGCCCCACGCATCTACTCACCGTCGTCCATCAATCTCCACGCTTGGCGAGTGCAGATAGACGTAGGTGAGATAGACGCTGATGCTTCTGCGCACACGCGCATATCCGTGCTTTACACGCGTATTCTTCGGATCTGCCGCACAGCCCGGAAATGACTAGATTGACTAGGCAACTGTGTATCCTATCCTTTCTATTGCGATTCTACAGTGCTATGAACACTCGAGTTTTGACACTCTTCTGGCTGAAGGATTACTTCTTGGTGAGAGGAATTGATAGAGATATGGATGTTTGTGGTAGTGCAATGTACTACTACATCCGTAATGCAGAATAGGAGATTCGGCACTAGCAAGCAGCACTTTATGGCAACACGTGTAGTGTGCAGACTCAACCGAGGAGATGTACACGGTAAGTGACATATTCCTCTGACCGCGGGCTATTGATGACACTTCTTGTTTCCACGAACCATCTACAGGATGTGCGTAACAAAACGTCAGTGAGAAACAGAGACAAGATGAAGGTAAGGAGACAGAGAACTCGAAGTCACAGCGCCGACCTGTGTCGGATGCTGTGGAAGCTTCATAACACCTGCCTGAGTGTACCGTACGTTTGGTCAAGTTTATAGGCACCTTAACCACGGAAGATAACCGGTGCAAGATGCAACATAGCCATTGAGAAACCACAGGTCTCTTCTGGCGCAAGGCATTAGGTCATACCCTGAACGAATTGTAACCGTTTCCCATCCACGTCAAGTGAGGGAATCAGATAACCCGGGAACATGGCAAAACGAGTGCGACAAACGGCAGATCCATAACGCGTCGTCCACGTCGAAGCCAAAATCCATATCATCGTATCAATAGAGGAACAATCAGGCAGATTGTTTTATTCAGGTTTGATCTAAATCTTCAAGTTGACGCTGAAACTGACTGTGCCCCCTCCTCTAAAGGTTTTTGAATGTTGCCGCCACCTGGGAAAAAAGAAACTTTCCGACTATCCAGATTGTTTGATCTCCAATGGTGCCGGAGGAAGTACTGATATGTTCCTTCGATCGTAACGGTGACGAGAGCCTGTGATTGATGAGAGCCACCTCGCTTTACAGCGCCTCTCAGTTCATATCACCTCCGCTATCAATTTTCCCACTCACCCATATCTTCAGCGCCTACTGATATCCCCTGGTCACGCGCCCCGCATTATCAAGCGCCAATTGATAACTTGAGATTGCTACTTGTGGAAACTTACAGCATCTTTTCAATAGTATGGCTAGCTCACCTTCTGGCGCTGAACTTCACGTTCATCACTGTTCGCTGACGTTGTGCCATTGTTCCGTATACTCCAGCGTTGCTGCTGTCAACTCAGCGTCAACCATAAGTATGACGCAGATGCACAGTATTCGGGGTTCCTCCAGTCTTCCACCGTGCACACTTTTTTATCGAGTCAACTACCGTCCCTGGTCCCTGGGCCCCAAAACGAGCAGCATACCGTGCGATGCTATGCTCCAGCGCTGTCAAGGCGTCCAGCCACTCAGTCCAAAGTTAGGCAATCGTCGTTCTACTAATCCTGCTGCACACGTTCCACGTCCACTCCAAGCCTAATTCGCGTCTCCGAAAGCTCGCACGTTGCATCCATATCTTCCCCTCATCTTCGGCGTTTAGATCTACATTTAAGTCCATACAGCAACTTTATCATCTATTCCCTCTTCTATGTTCTGCATGTGATGCACAGAAGCATTCAACGGGTGTGTTTCGATAGAATATGCATAGCATAGCTCCGATGCTATTCATGCTATTCATATCCTCCTTCCAGCTCACTCCGAGTCATTCGTCGCTTCCTTCCGTGGAGACCTCTTGAAGTCGACACGTCGCAAATACCGCAGAATGCACCGCTGTTCACGTAGCACGTAGCACGCCCGCCACTCGTCCACAAGCGTAAAAACGGACAATGCTCAGCATCAAAGATCCGTAAAGCGAGCAGCGCAGACAGTCTCCGAAAGTCATCATCGAGTGCCTGGCCTCCATCCTAAGCTCCTAAAGTTCCCGCAGGCCGCTTATCGCACGAGTCCTCATCGTCAGGCATCACCGGCATTTGTTATCTACTATTCCTACACTTCCGTGCCCCTTCTACTCCGCAATGGTTAGCGTTTGTCAGGATATTGTCAAAGAGTTCCGAAAGTATGGCTCGCTTGAACACGCATTTGAATTCGTTGAACCTGGCATTGACACTGACGTTGACATTAATCACCACTGGAGAACCTGAAGACGACCCTGTCGTCGTCAGTCGTTTTCCCCCCGCGACATGGTACCTCTTGTTGTTACCTTCCTTGCTACACATTCAATATGCACGTACGACCCGCTGGACTAAACATAAGCTGAGAACAAGATAAACGGATGCTTTATGATAAATTTCCATCCTCCGCACCACAGCACGGGTCTGAATGCAGTCCGTATGGATGGCTTAAGGAAGACCTGTGTCGTCTGCAGTGGTAATACGCGCCGGAGTTAAGGCTCGAGGTTCCTGCCAATGATAACATCTCTGAAAATAAGTACGAATTTTAAAGTCAAAATGAAACGCACCCTACGGATGAGCGGTGAGATCGACAGGGCAAAGCGTCTGGTTTCGCACCCGAGTCAAAGTACGTAGGTGGAAGATGATCGCTCGCTATCTTCACTCTTGCCTCATGTGCCAGCCAGGCCTACCCCTTCGGACTTTAGACGTCCCCTGTCATCAAACACGCCTTCCTCCTCAATTCTTGATTCGGGGCCACCGCAATATGGATACGCCAATTCAACAGCTTTCCCCTTGACAACTACATCAGTCGCATCTGAAAAGTCCTCACAACAACTCACCAGTCTCTCGCTCGCTCCTCGTCTGGCTAAATAGCCAAGGGCGATTGCACTGGGTATTTCACAAGGTGTTTCAAAATATTCAGAGCAATCGGGTGTCTTTCTCACGGACGCCCAGAAGTGAGCTCATGCTCATGGTCTCATCAGAGGGGCTGAACATGTGATTATTCATGATACATGATTGCAATAGGACGAAGACTGGGATGGTGCTCACTCAAAACCACTGATGGCATAGCTTGTGATAGTTGAGACGCATCTCAAACTCGCACGAAGAGATGTATCAATTCGCAAGGCATTCTCTCACCAGAGCGCTGATATGTGCCAGTGGGGTGGGTCCTGATACTATGATAGACCAATAAGCCTTCTGATCTCTGATAAATCAGTAAATATACCACCATGGCACCGTCCACTGAAACACGATGGCACTGATGGTGTCCGAGTCAAAACAGCGAACCACCATCCCAAATTCTTCCTGACTTAGATTCGAAGGTGGGAAGGATCGATCAGTGACTCGGATTGAACCAAATTGAACTGACTATCAACAGATTGACTGAACGGCCTACCCTAAACTACGTACACCTCTAATCACCTGACCTCTAAACTCGTTATAACCATTCCTCGTCTCGGTTCTGAGAGTCGCGCCAACATGGCAAGTCTAAAAAGTTCAAGTTCCTTCATCACACCCTTGACGTTCGACGTTTGTGACCGTTTTGATGTCCGAGTCAGAGATGTAGATATCCACGGACACCCCACGACTATCTGCTTACAAACTTCCCCGAACTCGAATCAATGTTTTAAACTTCCTAGATGAGTGGTCACATCCATCGATAGACGCGCGTAGACCTTGCCCAGAGTGCCTTACCTATGGATCCTCAACCGGACAATCTGCTCGAGCGGAGGGAGAGATTCATTCTAGTCACAGCCGACTGATCGGTAACTGGTCATCCTTCTTCCCGATCAATCTTGCCCAACGTTCTCGAACGGACACTCAGGAAGAGAGTGAGAGAGTGGGAAGTGGGTGATGGGGCAGGCTGGGGGCAAGTTGTCACGACGGGCAGTGGGGCAGTGGAAAATGTATGAGCAGGGAAGAAGCGACCGATAAAGCCGTACGAACGAAGAAAGAACGAGACGCACTGAATTAGCTGAGTCGTACTCAATTCCATGTCTATCCCTTGGGCTTGGGGGGGCGCGTGTGGCGCGTGCATGAGTACGTATAATGGAAGTATGATGGACGCATGGGCTGCGATGCATGGCGCATCATGTGAATCACTATGATCCTCAGATTGTGAAAAAAGAGAAAATTTCAGACGCAAGACGAGCGAGGATTGATGCATGCATAGCTCATGATTCTCGACTCCCGACCATACATATATATTTCGGGACTCTCGGTGAATCCCATCTTGACGTATCTGAAGAGAGAATCGAACGGACGTCCTTGCAGGAAGTCCATGGGTTGATATCGATGAATGATGCGCGGCGGGCCCAAGGACTTGCGAAAACCGATGCTCAACTAGGGCTTATGATCACCATCGTTATACCTTTTGCTGCCACTTCGCCATATGGCACGGACATCACCGATGATTCACCGTAGACCAGTCCCGCGATACACAGCGCTGCTGTCATCGCCGTCGCTATCGTCGTTCTCTTGTCATTATCCTTGTCAATCGTTGTCGTGGCGTAGGTGGCTGTCCAGTGTTAAGTTTAGGTTGAAAAGGAATTAGGTTTGGGTATACTCTATAAGGTATAGGAGGGTGCCAAAAACGTCGGGGTCGGTTTCCATAATCAACCCGCGAAAGGTGGAGGGGAGCCCCGGCTCCAGCCAGTTGTCATGGTCGTTTACGTCGGCGTACGTGGTGGCAGCAAGTGGCAAGTACTAACTACTAGTAGTCGTGTTGACTCGAGTGACGTTGACGCATGATCGATGCATGATCCATGATGCTCGTGCTTTCAGGTAATGAGGTGCTAGGGTGGCGTTAACGAACACACACACACACACACACACACCGAGATTAGTTGACGTTGTAAATGCAATGACTTGAGAAACAACACCATCCGTGGGGAAGCCGATTCGAGATACGAGGTAGATAATGGAAGCGGCTTAGTAGTGTCATAACCGGTGTGGGAGGAGGCGAATGCCGAGGACGTCAAACCGCGGGCTCTCGGTGGTCATTTGTAGGCCGGCGGAGGTGACACTTCTGAATCGCGATGCTTTCGAGTGACTGTCGACAGAAGCTTCGAGTCAAGTCGTTCACATTCATTCTTCTACATCGGAGACACCTGGGCAGGCCATCAGCGACCAATAGGAACGCACGACTCGTCTGAGAGAGTCCACAAGGAGCCAAGGCGCCAAAACTCGACGCAAATAGGACCACGAGACGCCGAACGGCGCACGTGTGATGCGTCCCCAGTCAAAAAAAACGGGGGGCCAGGCTAAGCATCGGGTATGCCACGGAACGGAATGCGCTTTGAACGTTTTCGCATATCTGATGACGTCCCCAGGTGTGGGTCGCATGTACATAGTTTGGTGTGATGTGAGTGTCGCATCACACATCCCAAGGGCATGGCCCACGGCATCCCCCCCGACGTCATCGCACCCATTGCAACAACTTCGCCAGAGATGATATCGGATCGTGACCACAGAGGACAGCACGCGATTCGCATGGGTCCTAAGTAAAGGTATAGGGGCTTGAAGATCAAGATCAAGATCGCGAATCAAAAAATGAAAAAGAACATGAAAAGCCGGCATAGGGGAAGGGGGGAGGCAGCCTCTGTCAGAGAGGCGCACATTGATGAGCAGGGCGCATCACCACCGCCGCGATTCGATTATCTTTGGAAGCCACTGATACGAGTTAGCGTTATGGGTGCGAAAAATATGCTTTCCACAAGCGCCGGAGTGTAGTGCCCCAATGGCTTTCGAAACGTGGAAGAGGCTGTGGTTTGGGAAAAAAGGCATGAGAGTATGACTTGTGATTGAGGCATCTACTCTGCCCATGATCGATGATACCTGTGATTGCTGCTGCAAAACCAAGCCAACAGACCCCCAGCATGGAAGCGGAATGTACCCACCTCCAGACCAAACTTTGGAATGCCGCGGAGAATAGGGGGGGCAGTGCCAGCCAAAAGACGCCTACGATTCTGATAGCCAGCGACGCGGCGGCAAGGTGGCCAAAAAGACGCCTACAACCCCGCGGTAGCCATTAAATCATCCATATTAACGGCCTTTCGCAATCCATAAGCAGACAACAAGGCCTTTAAGCCTCACGATCAGACACTTTTTCATGCCTCATCGCCACCCGGCCGTGCCACGACGTATCGGAATATCAAATGCAAATGCTTCATTGACGGCGTCCCCGCCTTCGCAGTAGACCCGGAGCCGCTGGGGAACGAAAAGAGAAGGATGTGAGTCGATAGTGGAGTTGTGTGTAATTGGTCTGGATGTGGCCTTGGAGAGTATGGTAAGTTGAGTACGGCGGTGGGAAGTCGACCGCGGGGTGTTGATACTGAGGACTTCCTGACAGGAGATGAACAAAACTGCGATGTCAATTAACCCATTAACCCAAATAACCAACAGACATGACACCCCGCCGCATCTGATCAACGGCGCTAGCCTTCTTCATTGATGCACCCCACGATCAACTGGCACCACTTCAATTTTATGCAGATAGCAGCTTGCGGCAACGGGTCAATTAATTTTAGGACGCACCACCACCGCCCCCGGTATGGCTGGCGGCTGAAGGCGGAGATAATCGAGGTGTTTAATTGATTTGATTTGGTTGCTTATTGCTATTGCTATTGCTATTGCTATTGCTATTGTTATTGTTATTGTTATTGCTTTTAATGATGGAGAGCCTGAGAGGCCGCGGGCTTCCAAGGCTGTGTGCGCTGTGCCAGTTATGCATATGACTGGTATGTGTATGATGGAGAGCTTGAAGCACCGCTTTCGTGTGTGTGTACGAGCCGCCAGTTTCGCGAGCCTTGTCCCACTGATCTGAGTCGTAGTCGTATGAACGGTTGTGGCGCATCATGTCATGAATCGATGTTCGCGGGGCTGTCGCACCATCCCCAGGCCTCCCGTCCAGACGCTACAAAGACCAGTCTGACAGCCCCCCAACAGGGAACCTAAACAGGCCATCAGAAGTGCAACCGGAGTAGATATGCTGTCCCCGCGGCCCATGATGATTCCAACACCCGCCACTGATCCATCCCACCACAAACGACATTCATTTAGAATGATAGCGGCGCAACCACAACCCGTAAGAGACATTGGATTGGCGCTAGCGTCAGAGGGAAAGGGAAAGGGAACCGCGTGCTAGAACTGAACCGACAAGGGCTGAAGGGGATCGTGGAACGTGGATTGTGGATAGAGATGGGTGGCGATGGTGGCGGTGCGGATACCAGTGCGAAATGCGAGTGTGTGTGGGGAGGGGGGGGGGCTGAGATGCTGTGTTAGGCATGTACGGAGTACAGAGTCATTGTTTCCTGTTTGCGTTTTGCTTCTCTATAGTGTATTAAGGTAGCAGTGGGTGCTGAAACGCTGTGCCAGGTCCTATCCCATACGTATACATAAACATATACATTCTTTCCTTCCGCCCCTTCCGCCCTTCCTTCCTATCTGGTTTCAAGTTGGCATATCAGCGAGAACCAGTGAGACCAACGATGCGGTGCGGTGCGGTGCGGCGGTGCGCGGGGTGATTGACATGCTGCCTGAATGGACCGATGACGCTTTGGGATGATCACGCTATGGCAGATATGTGCAGCTGGGATGGGAATGGGACGGGATGTGACAGTCGATGCGCCACTTGAGCTGCCCCCGACGTCATCGCACAAAGAAGGGGAGGCAGAGAGACAGAGAGATGGGGGGAGCACCATGAGTACGACGTCGGAAAAACACGTTGGACATGTACGAGTACGCAGTGAGTGCGGGTGCGGGTGGACGGGGTGCTGGGACGCTGTGTCAGGTCTATACATATACTTCGTTTCTGTCTATTCCTATCACGTAGCTTATTGTATCAACGTACCACCCAAAACCAGTGCGACAGACGGTACGACACGGAGCGGTACGTTGCGGTACGGTGCAGTGCAATGAAAACTAGAGTGACTGACATACTGCTCGAATGGAAGGATGACACGATAGCATGGAATGCACAACTGAAATGGTCACTTTGTTGTAATGTTACACTCGCAGCGCACCTGCCCCGACGTCATCGCACGAGGCAGAGAGGCAGGGCAGGCAGAGAGATCATCAGCGGGAAGGAGGAGCCCCACGAGCACGTCGGAACGCACGTACACGCTGCGACTGTCACGAACCAACACACATACTGATGCGGATAACGCACTGAGGACATGTTAGGCTAGTGTGTAACGTCTCGTCAGATAAATTCCGATTCCAATTTGCACTCGCCATTCGCCATTGAGCATGCTACTGCGTTTCCTTGAGTGGGTTCTTGGGCCCTTGAAGCTCTGACTCACATAGCGATACTCAACTCAGCGTGTCCACACTCCAGGCGGGGGTGGCAGAGCTGCGAGAAAGGCCCTGGCTATAGGGATAGGCTGACTGCCGGTGTGTGGTGGCACGACGAATGGGGGCGGGGGGTCATCACGCGAGGACGTCGGATGCACCGACTTCGGAGTAACCACGGCGCAGGCTGGGACGTTCAAACGCGTTTCTGGTGCTGGGTCCTTGCGCTGCTGCAAGTGGTGGCAAAGACCCACAAATGGGACATGTGTGTGTGAGGGGGATGTTTAACGAAAAAGAGGCAAGTGACATTTGAGGTTTCAAAGCTCCATGTTTCGTATGTACGCAGGCATGCGTCCGTCGTTCGTTGTTTTGTCAGTGTTCATTTCATTGCACGGGCGGATAAAAGTATAGGGGCGTTTGTAAGGCGCCGAAGCTGTAGGCGGCGACGACCTCTAAAACAACATAAAGACCGCCCCAGGGACAGTGGGCGTGCAGTGTCGGTAAGGCGTCGGGGTATGTGGGTCGAAGAATATTGGTGTCAGGGATGAGATATATTTTGACGTTATGTGCAGTCGATGAAGGAGGTGTGTCGTGGAGAGGCGTGGAATGTGGAGGTGGCATATGAGAAAGGACGGTGGGATGGATTTAGGGACGGAGATGAGTGGATTGTAGGATCTACAAACAGTGAGATTGGATCTGGAATGCTGCAGCCGAGAGTGGCGGAGCGGGAGGACCGAGGTGGACGGAGGGTCGGATGGGCGAGAAATAGATCGAGATGAGATCTGGATCCGTGGTATGCGGTCTGGATCTGAGATCTGACGACCGATCTCGACGCTCCGACAAGACAGGACGAGCACGTGCAGGCTTTGTACACCATAGTCCGCCCATCGAGGC